TTCCACGCACTAACGTTATTCTTAATTTCAACTTTGGACCAAACACTGTACCGATCCCATTCATAAACCCGATACATTCACCCCCTCCTCCCTTTTTTCATGACGAAAGCAGGCTAGGAGCAATGGAGCAAATGTCTTATTCCCACATTATTAACGCAATAAAGTAAGAAAATAAGAAGCTTCGTCATAATAATTCTGATGTATATCTAGTGGTATCTCTCAAGGGAATGCTTGGGATCGATAGGTCCGCCAATGAAAAACCTACTATTTAAATACTTTCAAGAGCGATCTAATAACTATTTTCGTTCAAAGAATTGATGCGAAAACATTCTATGACGCCTAGATACCAAATTAATTGGGATTTGATTGTTTTTATTTGTTTTCAGAACAATATTCCTGTATTCAGCCCCGCCATCACAGACGGAGGAATAGGCGATGAGATTCTATATCTACATCAAAGAAATAAGAACAATAATCTACGAATCGACATAGCAGAAGGTACGGTGAATTTTGTAATCTATCACTGACATTATAACAAAATTTGTTCATATAACATAATCAGATAAAATAAATAACACAAAAGAAGAATGTTGAATACAGTCAACGAAACATTTAAACGTAACTATATGCATCTTGTGGGTATAAATATTTCGCATACTTTACATTTCAAAGTACCCAATTATGCATTCGAGTCAGTGATTTGAACAGAGTCTTTCTGATTCTGACTTCCATCAGCTTTTTTTGTGCGTGGGTGTGGCAGAAAGTATCTGAGAGAGATAGAGAGAGCCGGGGCAGAGAATGGCGAGGAAATTGAGAGTGAAGAAAATACTTTTAATGGTCAATCAACAATGATCCCAATTCCAATGTCAGCAATTTTGATGGTCCTTTTCTTCATCCTCTTCTCTGTTTCTTTTATTATCATCACATTTCTCCTTTTTTCTATTTTTACCATTTAAAAACTATATCATTAATATTTCACCAGGGTTGCTCATTTAAGAAAAGTTGTTCTTTTATGGGGCACTGAAAAAACATCACAACAACATGTGTAGATAGATAGATAGTTTATTGGTTTCCACAATATCTCATTATACAAAGAGTGTAACAACATATTGAAAATGATTATAATATACATGTACATACAATACCGGTACACACTATTCAGAATATTGTCCATTAAGTTGAACTTAAGAGATATAGTGGCGGAGCCTATAGAAAAGCAGAGCTTATTGTGGATACGCTCCTTAAACTATTTAATGACATAATTAACTAAGGTAAAGTTTATAAAATACAAATACACGCTAAAGCAGGGAAAGGGAGATTACAGTTAGAAATATAAAACACAATCAAAGTAGAATAGATACAGTAAATTAAAATTATACATACTGGACGAATTCATTGAATATTTAAAACACAATAAATAATCAATATCAATAATGAAGCTAGAAAGGATTCGCCAGAAAGAAAAAAATATGTTTGCTTGTTGAGAGACGAAAAGAAAAGAAAGAAAAAGAAAAAAGAAAGAAGAGGGAATAGGCCAGTAGAGGAAGTGAAGGACTACGGCAGAGTACGGATGAAGGCACCAATACCAAGGGAGGATAGAGAGAAAAAGGGAGCAGAAAAAAATGGGTTCTATTTTTTATTTTTTCCCATTGCAGATAGTAATCATATAATCGAGCTGGCCCAGTCATCCATTAACACTGGTATGATCACCGTCGGGGCTGGTATTGGAAAGCATCACATCTGCCAGGCCAACGCACATGTAAGATACTCTTTTAGTTCACTAGATATCAGACACAAGACCGACTACCGACCGTACAATACATTACCTCTCTTTCATTTTACTTTATTTTTTCAGGGTTCGTGCGGTTCTGTATCCCTTAAAAAAATACACTGAAAATGAACTCTAAATGTAAATTGAATTTATTAGACTCGAATATTAAACATGTTCAGTTATATCGCTTATGTTTTGTTTATTGAAATATATATATATTCAATTTACTGTTTATTCTACTTTCCTCATGATTGCATAAACTTTATTGATCTTTATGTAATAGCTGTTTATCTGGACCCCATGGGAGAGAGAACATGTGTATTTTGTCAATACGCCTGAATTGGGCTTTCCGCCATATATTACGTTTATGTATGTAGGGCCTATATGTATGTTGTGATGATTGTATACGGAAATAAAAACAAAAAAACAAACATAACCTTACGACCAATAATCTGTCCGTTTGGAGGTGTTACTGTCGCAGAGACTTTTGAGAAATCCTCTCAAGAACAATTTCAATACGGTATTGTGTCCTACTATCTTAGAGAAGTTAGTTTGCCTTTCCGTAATACATCATCGTGATGCATGTTCACAGATTTCCAAAGGTGTTGGGCAGGCTTTTGAAATTACCTTAATGTGGTTTTAAAAAAGATTTTGAGATTGTATTCACTACATTTCGTACAATTTCTTGTTATCTAAACAAGGTATGACGAGATTGCTTTGATTTATTAGACATTTACAAGCCCTCTGCGTCCTCAGTCCGGCACTAATCATCACCTACAGTACCAACAAACGTGTGATTGAAAAGCTTTCCTTGCGTCTCTCTTTCCTTACTACAGCGCACACCTGAGGGAGCCGACTATGCGGTGTATTTGAATACAGCTCAAGAATTCGATGGTTCCGACTCGGGTGCCATGCCTGAGGAAGCAGTATCGTGGGGAAAGATCAAGGGTACAGCGAAACCCGTTAAGGTAAGAATAAGCCATTTCGTAAATTCTATCTGAACTTGTTTTACTTTCGACTTCCCCACATTTACTGACACAATCATGTACAAAATATGGTCCACTTTTCTTCGTGTAATTTCATTTACTAATGCCAGATGCATACTATGCGTCATTTTCCTGGCGCAGGATTGCGTCACCGACAACCACAGACTTTGAAGCACGATATGAGAGTAATGTCGTACAAAAAGAGAATTAACAGTGCAAACGTGTATGAAATAGTCCTTCACATGCTTGAGGTAGTAACGTAACTGAATTGATTCGTCCTGTCCAATGGGCCTGTTGAAATTTACTGTTATCATTATCATTATTGTTATTATCATCATTACTATTATCATTACTCTTATTATTGTTGTTGTTCTTGAACATACAGGTTTTCGGAGAAGCGTCCATCATATTCCCGCTCCTCGTAGCAGAGACCTTCGCAAAGATGGTATATCCATGATGCAACTGACCTTCTACAAGTCAGAATTGGGAGGGGGGTCGAAACGTTCTCCTCCTCCCCCGTTAAACAAAAATAAAAGAAAATGGTAATGGCCTTTCTAACTCACATTTCAAAAATACTTTTGGAAACAATTCCCATTCCACACCCTTGGATGGCGAGATTATCGAAATCATATTTATAGAAGAAGAAAAAAAAAAACTATCCGCGGGAAGTACATGTAAATGTTTATTATTTTTCGAGAAAAGCTCGGGAAAGATAAATTGTTACTCCTAATCATGAGAGATTCTAGAAAGGGCGGTTTTGATTCTGGAAAGCATGTGCCAGGGTAAATTTTTTGACGGGGTAAATGTTTCCCCCATCCCTCCCCTTTAGTTCTGCCTTGTATCCACTCATGTAATGGGTTGTAAATGCTTTTAATGAATATTCAGGTTTTGTAAAATGGGGAAGCGGTTTGCCATATTGTGTGTAAGAGGGGAATACAGATATAGGTTTGATTATCTATTCTTTTTTATTATTACAGAGTTTAGTAGAGCGTGGGGTATTGTTTTTTCTACTAACTGAAATGAATATGTGAAATATAATTCATAGAGTATATATTCATTAGATAATATTATTTAATGTTGCATATTGAACATTTAATATTATATGATATGATGTTTTAATTGATAGTAGCTTATTACATATTCAAATTAAGATTTCTATCATATTATTTGATATTTTGTAAACCAGAAAATGACTTCTTCATGAATAGTTGGATTTTTTCGGATTGTATTTGTGTGTTTTTTTTAAGAAAGGAAGTAAAGAATATTGAACAGTTATGCTTCTGTAAACGTTACATGCATTTAGTTTGATATAATCAAACTTTTATTATATAGCATTCGAAATTGAATAATGGAATAGCCTACTACACTTGTAATTAGACCATACGCAATTGGATGAGACATGAACAGAATATCAGATTGTAATAATTTTCGTTTTGGGGGATTTCATTGACTTTGTCTTTCATTATTTCGTCTTTCACGGTGTTTTTTTTTAATGTGAGAGTGTTCGAACAGACGTTATACAGTGTAAGTTCAAAAAAAAATTATACCTAGAAAATTGGTAATTATTTTAAAAATCATCTATGAACAGTAAAATATTATACATTTTCATGAAAGAGTGTTTTATCCCGAATCATTTAGTATCATTTTGTGTGGTATGTGTTCACGCTTGGATGGACAGGAGGCATTGTTTGCGAGAGTGTAAACATCGACTTGCGCCAAAGTTGCTTATGTGATGCACACCTTTCTAGGTCAACATTAGCATAATTTTTATTTTTTATTTTTTTAATAAACAAAAATAAGGGGGTTCGACCCCCCCCCCCTGCGTACGCGCCTGTGAAAATGTATATCGTTATTACGTCCATAGCCTATCAAAATGGACACCACAATATTATTTAACAAGAACATTTTGCAAGGGCGGCGTAACGGGGCGGGCAGATTGAACTCCTTACTATTTCAAATATTAAAAAAATAGCAATTCTCCCCATCTTCTTTGTTGTTGTTGCGGCTTGCTTGTCTGAGATTTTGACACACGCAATGCTTCACAAAATGTGCTTTCTTTTCCTCCTCCTCCTCCTCCTCCTTTTCCTCCTCCTCCTCCTCCTTCTTCTTCTTCTTCTTCTCTTCTTCTTCTTCTTCTTCTTCTTCTTCTTCTTCTTCTTCTTCTTCTTCTTCTTCTTCTTCTTCTTCTTCTTCTTCTTCTTCTTCTTCTTCTTCTTCTTCTTCTTCTTCTTCTTCTTCTTGAAATATATACTTTATTGTTCGCCTTGTATATAGGATTTTTATTCATTTGTATACTTTTGTACTTTCATCAGGTGTTAATATATTGTGGTGGAAAATAAAATTAAACTCCAGCACCGCCCTTGTTTTTCGGTAAAGAAGTGTCACTTTAAGTATTTTTTTTAAACGAATACAAGACAATTTATAATACAGGCACCTGCAAACAGTAATTGAGGATGATCTACGTAGTCGAAATTACACGAAGAAAAGTGGACCATATTTTTACATGATTGTATCAGTAAATGTGTGGAAGTCAAAAGTAAAACAAGTTCAGTGGAAAAAAAAATGAAATAAACGGAAGCGAAGATTTCGCCTGAACTGAAACAATTTGAGACTGGTGGATTTGCTACAACATCGGGAATCTTATCAAGTTTGAAAGGAAATTACTCTTATCTCTATAAGGAAACTAATCATAACAAACTTTAGAAGTTGAGAATCTTAGGCCTCCTATTCCTTCAACTTTGTTAATTTACATGTGTTCTTATAGCGGAAAATAAATGATTTGACTGGAATAATGACTTCTCCACTGGTTTAAGAAAACACGACGAATAAAATAACGAGAAAAGAACATTGAGCCTCGCTTATTATGGCACACCATCATGAGTTTCAGACAGTATTGGGATATTTACATGTAAAGGCCTACAGCGTTGGCATGGTTGGTATCGGTTTGCGAGCTATCAGAATGTCATAGAACCACGTGAGCTGAAAAGATGCCTCTTTCTCCTCTTTCTCGGAAACCAAGATAGAATGTAAGCTAGAAATACAAAAATAAAATACATCATAATATTTAGAGCGTATAATTATCTGCGCTTTACTATTTTATCGTAATATTAAATGACCATGATTATTTAGGTTAAAAATATCTTCAATTCCCAATCCGAATTTATCAACAATAAAGTCTTGTTGGTTTCGTGTCATTCAGTGTCTGAACGTTTTTAAAATACCAGAGTATAGTTCCAATAACTATTAGTTTTCATCGTGAAATATCGTTGATTTACTTGATTATACACGATATAATTTCATATAAATAGGACTAATAATATTTTGTTTGTGAGGTATCAAAACATCAACATTATTCAGACTGTTCTTTAATTTCTGTAAAAACGAAACTACAAAATGACTAAAATGGAGGGGGGGGGGGGGAGGCGAGAAAAAAGAAAGTGTGCAGGGACTAGTAGTTAGAAATCATTTTGAATTTGCCACTGTTTTTAACTAACAGCTATTGTACAATATTATTTCATAAATTAGATATTGACACGTTACAATCAGTATGAAATTAGCATTATCAGTATTATTGATTGAAAGAGACAAAATGAGGGCCCCCTGTTTAATTTTGGGGAACTGCAATATTACGGGCGCCACCTCTTTTTCAAAATAATAACTACTGCCGTTTAGCTACGAAAGCCCTTTACTGCCACTGAAATAAAAATAATGATGTTAGTTATTATATTATTTGGAAGATTCAGATGATGTTGGGTGTGTTATAACATAGACGTAATAGAAATGGTTATAATGAGGTATCTCCATGCCGGAGTCAAGGGTCGAAAGTATGGTCACAGTTTTGAACAAGCGCCCTCTTTTTTCTAGAATTGTTTTTCTGTTTTCCAGTGAACATAAATTGTTTTCTTTTTTCCAGTGAACATATTTTTTTCTTCTCCAGTTGCAGTAATGGGCTTTCGTATGTTGTAATTTGATAAGAATAAAACCTACTTATCTCTGTATTCCTCGAAGAATGTTGTATTGGGATGACGTTCAAGATACTTGATGGAAAATGACAGAGTTTGCAGAAAATTGATGAAGGCAGGTGCTGTCAGTGTTCGGTTATATTCCATAGACCACCTAATATGTTTAGAAAGAAATCATTATAGAAACTTATCAGACAAATTAAGATATAAATAATTTGACACACATTTTAATGTGGAAACGCACAATTAATAATATCAAGTTTCATACTGCTAAAATGATAATTTATATCTTACTTTAATATTTAAGTAGATATGCTTCACCCTGTGTCCCTGTTTATCATGATGATGATAATTACGATTATCATATTTTGGATTTAATTTGCGATACAGCTTATTTAGTTGATTTTCAAGTTTAATAAAAAAAACAAACACTGTAAACCATTAGAGTATTATAGTAAACGCGAACAAAAGTCCCTTTCGCGCAGCGTCATGGGACCATCTTTGCATGTTTATGTTTATCACAGTGTTATCATTATGGTCCTCTCTCCGTCGTAAATTTTCTAAATCTCTTGTCTGCCTATGCACACAATAAGTCATATGCCCATATTATTTTTTTCTAGCCCTATATTCTTTTAAATTATATACAATTTAAATTCCCTTGCTTTTTAGTGGAACATCTGCTTTAAAACAAAATGGATCCTTTTCAGCAGCTTCATCTCAAATCTTGAATTTCTTCATATTACAGTTCTTAAGAGTCCCACCCCCAAATAAATCGATGAAGGACGTTACTTAAAAAGAACGTGACGTAACCTTGTCATGTCATAGGAAGGAAATTCCAACGTCTCATAGAATTTGTAATACGCCTTAGTGTCAATTACTCTGTACTTGTCGAGCTCTTGCGTCTGTTAAAAAGAAAACAAGAGGAAAAAGAGGAGGAGGAGGAGGAGGAGGAGGAGGATGAGGAGGAAAAAAAGTTGTGATTAGGGGCACGGGTGATATGATAATCCTAAAGAGCAAATAGAAAGGAAAAAACAGTTCTCAAACTTTGTGAGGCATTTTTTAGCAAAAAGTTGATGAATCTGACAAGCAAGGAAGGAGCAGGCTAAACAAAAAGTTCACCATGGTGCGTTTTTGCCAAGCGTTTATATAAAAATATTTCTCAAAAAGACACGGACTTTTTTCTATCAAAAGATTTGCCAAATCATGTGACTATGTACATGATCTAGGTCTAAGTTATTTTTCTGTGTATCGAATGTGTCGATCACATTAATAAACACTGCGTAGAGTGGGTTTCATTGCTGTTTGGGCATTTAGCCAACGTTAATTTCCCTTTGGTATATAATTATGGGTCAATTCGATATACAATCAATTTCGAATTTGTAATGGATTCAAATTTCAATTCAAAATTTATTCAACACTCTTCATAGAAACATTTAAAACATACAAATACAGAACGGAGTTATAAAAAAAAACAAGAAAGTGATAACAAATACAATGGCAATTTATAAGAGCAATTGGGATAGGCAGAAAGGAGGGATTCCTTATATAAAAGCCTACCCCTAAAAACACACATACAGGAAAACGAGAACAAAAGAACAGAACAAAAAAACAAAGAACATACTAAAACCTGCCTACAAAATTTGCCTATGCTATTAATACTGATTATTAGACTTATTTAACAGAAATTGTTTATATTTAATTTTAAAAAGATTGAGAGTTTTGCATTTTTAATTTCCTGAGGTATAATACTAACATATTTCTCTCTGCATTCTATCAGTTTTGATTTGATTAGCTCATTTTGGTGGTTGACAGTCCTGATTCGATAGGTCCCTATGACGGCTATACACCCTCCAGGCTTCAACACACGGTCAGCTTCACGAGTAAAAGCAGGCATATCGAACCAGTGAACTGCAGAGGCGACCGTTAACAGATCCACGGAACCATCTTCCAGTGGTAGTCTTTCTGCTGAAGCAATGCTTGACCATGAAAGAAGGATGACGAGATTTTAATTTCATTATATTAAAATGCTACTTCATGCAGTTTACAACCTTACACTTACAAACAACGTAAAAGATTTTTTTAAAGGAAGATGAATATACTTGAATTAGAAGATTTCTTAGAGAATGAGAGAGAGAGAGAGAGAGAGAGAGAGAGAGAGAGAGAGAGAGACAGACAGAAGAGGGGCACAGGGAATGGGTAGCAATGCACTCTCCAACAGTATATCTTTTCTAAGTTCTGCGACTACGTGCACTTAATATTTTTAAGTGCGTACACCATTTTTTTGTGGGTTGCAATAAGCAGCCCCCTCCTCCATCGGAGGGAGGGATGATGTCACTTTCCACAAATATTTCCAATTTTGCAAGTGAGTGAAGCAAGCGAACAAACTTGATACTTCAGGAGTTAAATTGTAATTACATTAAAATATACGATCTAAGCAAATTATAAACACTGCTTATGCTAGGAGTCCACTGGGCCGGCGCCAGTTGGTGCCAGTTTGCGCCAATGCAATTTACTGTGGCGCCTAGTGTCGCCAAAAAGGTGCCTAGTGGCGTGTAGTGGCTCAAACTGCCTCCCAACTGGCTCGTGGTGGCCCGCAACGGCGCCAAATTTGAATGTGGCGGCAAGGAAATTTCAAAATGTTTGAAATTTTCGTCGCGCCACTTGCATCGAGCAATCAGCGCCAAGTGTCCGCCAAGTGACACCAAATGGCGCGAACATATCGCCCTTTGGCGCAAAAAATCCGCCTATTGGAATCCACTGGAATGTAATGGCGCGCGCCAAGTTGCGCCAATGAGATTTCGCGCCACATGGCGCCACTTGGAGCCAAGGGGCACCTTGTTTGCGCCACTACGCGAGCCAAACGGCACCCGATTGGTGACTACTTCGCGCCAAATGCCACCTGGTTGCCCGCCATTCGGCGCCACTTGTCGCCATTAAAAGCAGAGCGGCATCGCAGGACTTTCTCACAGTGATGGCGGCAGTTCTCCAAGCTCCAAGGATGAGGTTGTGCTGGGCATCCTCCTGGTCCAACATGCGGACGTCCAGTGCCTGATAGCGCATCCTGATGAGGTTGTTCAGCATGACGGCAGCTTCAAAGAGCAGGCGGACTGTGTCTGGTTCCTGTCTCACCTAGCCAAGGAAGCACTGGAACCACAGAGCCAGAATGCCAAAGGCATTTTCAACCACACGCCTTGCCCTGGACAGCCTGTAGTTGAAGATCTTCTGCTGTTGGACCATGTTACGACGGCCATAGGGCTTCATCATGTACGTCCTCATGGCGAAGGCATCGTCTCCCAGGAAGAAGTACGGCATAGGGTGCTCTTAATCATCATGGGGAAGAGGAGCTGGATCTGGGATGCCTAAAGTGCCAGCTTCAATGCACTCCTTCAGTTCACTGTTGTTGTAGATCTGGGCATCAGACTGATGGCCAACGCCACCCACATCGATCCACATGAACTGGTACTTTGAATCTACCAGAGCCATCAGGACAACCGAGAAGAACTGCTTGTAGTTGAAGTAAAGGCTGCCTGATTTTGTTGGGCTTCTGGAGATGGATGTGCTTTCCAGGCACCCAGACAGTGAGGAAGATTCCATCTGGCTTCAAAATCACCTGCAACTCAAGCCAGCCATAATTGGTTGTGGGGAGAGAGATGACTTCTGCAGCATACTCATCCACTATCGCTCTGGCTACATCAGGGACAAACTTCTGGATGGTTTCCTTGCCCACTCGGAAGTTGTAAGACAGCTCGGCATAGGTGGCCCCAGTGGCGAGATGGCGCAGGAAGAGAGACAACTTGAGACCAGGGGGAATGGCCTTCCTGAAGTGGGTGTCCTTCTTCTGCAAGTGGGGTGTAAGCCTGAGCAACAGGTCATCAAACATCTCTGGGGACACCCTGGTGTAGTTCTTGAACTTCCGCCTGTCATTCTCCCTCAGCTCTTCCATCAAAGTGTGGTTCTGTCCCGTTCGGCCCTCAACTGTGGGTGGAGCATGGGTCTGAACCACCAGTTGTGCTTCCTTTTCTTCTTAGGAGGCTCTTCTTCTTCAGGATTGGCCAGCATAAGTTGATAGGCAGTGGCCACCTCAGCATCCCTCATCATCTTCTGATGGAGCAGCATCATCACTCCAACATTATCAAAAGCCTCAGACATATCAAAATTGTAAATATTTAGTAGAGATGTTGTTCATACAGCAGCTGAGGAGGGTCTGAACCAGGTAACCGATGGCCGGTATTTATATAGTCGGCAAGTAGCGCCAAGCGGCGGCAAGTTCAAACCAATTTGGTGACCTATGGCACAAACTAATCACCAAGTGGCGCAAAGTAGCCGTCTATTGGCGCGAATGGCGCCAACAGGGTGAATTTTGGAATCAAATGGCCGTGTAATGTCGCAAACTGGCGCAACATTTTGGAGCAAGCCGGGTGGCATTTGGCGCACGCCATATGGCACCCAGTTTATTCCACTTGGCGACACATGCCGAGCGGACATTAATTCGGCGCCACAGCGAGCCACTACGCGCCAATCACATAATCTTTGGCGCGAACTGGCACCAACTGGCGCCGGCCCAGTGGACTCCTAGCATTAGACCGACTTAGACCACGTCACTGTCCATGCAAACATGAAGTGCTTAGTGTCCGAATATTGATAGAATCCTCCCGCTCCCACCAGGTCCCGCCTCGTACATGCCTATGCCTAGAGGTAAATATTACCTGTACTCAACATGACTGAATTGATTGTGCTTCTTTGCCTCTTCAATCTGAGCTTCACTGATGTCGAATCCCAGAGCCCGGTCGAAATGTCTGGCGAGACTTTGAGTGAACTGACCAGAACCACACCCAACATCAACTACCAGCCCCGGTTTAAGATCAGTGCTGTTCTGTGATATCAAATTACAGAAGGGCTTTAGAAAGGTGGTTAGGATTAATTATTGTTTGGAATGTTACTTCCTCCAGTCATAATTATATGCATGTATTTTAGTATTTATTATGTTATCGCTACTCTTACTATTACTATCATCATCCTTAAAAACATCATCATCATTGTCGTTGTCGATGCAAAGGGGTATTTCAATAAACATGTCTATTAAAATGTTCCTGATGTAAGATTGGTAAGCTCAAAAATCATGCTTGACCATAATTATGTTATAAGGGAGTTGGCCTAAAGAAGGAATTCACGTTGTAGTTGGTTCGATCACTATGTCCATGCCATTTAATAAAACAAACCTACAATTATAATATAATTATGTAAGTGTTCAATACCCTCACCCATCCATCCTCAATTCAATTTCATTTATCCATTCACTCATTCATCTACGTCCGTCATTTCCCACTCTTTCCGTAATTTTATTGACAACATAGCAATCATAGAAAACCCTGCAAAAGAAGTAAGTCTGACCAAAAAAAACCCCAGATAGTTAAAAGATAGATAATATAATTACAATGATCTTTATAATTAAAAGTTTCGGAAAGAGTTAAGTCTTTGGAATTTAATTTACTTTGGTGTGTTTGATCACAGACTCAGTCACGATTTCAGGAACGCTGGGTCGATATTGAACATAGTCGTTGGCCAAGACCGATCCTTCGAAAATTCGAGAAGACATCATTCAACCTGCATGATTAGAGAACAGAATTAATTATGTAAATTTTGTGAATGGGCTATCAAATTTAGACAAGCTTAATAGCCACCTCCACTTAAAAAAAAATATGCGGATGGTCTAACCTTTTCTCTCGGTGTACCATACAGACTTCAATTATTTTCCTCTGTCACAATGATAATGCATTGATTATTGGAGAGGGAAAAAAATGTTTCTTTGTATAGAAAAGCGGCTAAGCCTGGATTGCCCCCCCCCCCCCGTTCTCCAAAAGAAGTGATTACCAAATAAAATTTGATATCCTGACAACCCCCAACTCTGGAGAGAAAGGAGAGAAAGAGAGAGAGAGAGAGAGAGGGGGGATGAGCGGGAGGGGGAGAGAGAACAAATAGGGTGATAGGGGAGGGGGAGGGGGAGGGGGAGGGGACGGAAAAGGTTTGCAGTCACTTACCCCCCCCCCCCCCCCCCCATCAATTATATACGAAGCATAACAGCGGATATTGCACTCATGACACACCAGCTGACGCAACTTGCGCTTAGGATTAGGATATGCTCAAGATAATGATACATGTCTTACTGTTGTTAGTAATTGGTGTCTCTGCTTGCACATTATAAAATCTAAAATGTCCTATATAGTTTAGCTAGACCAATACCACTTCCCACTTCCTATCTTAATTCATTTTCTACCCCCTCCCCTACCCTATGGAGGCTCCGCCTCCTCCTCATTCTGGATCTAGAATCTAGAAATAGATTGTGATGCCGTGGTAGGCCCACTGAAAATAAAAGAAAGAAACTTTTACAGAATTCAATGCGTTCAACATGAATAATAAGCAAGGCCTACTTACAATTTAGTTAATCCAAGCAAAACGCCTCGACACTATCCCACTATACTGCATATACAGTTATCAATTTATACTTTATGACTTGTGAGTTGTGATGATCGGCTTGGCCCGAGCAAATTTGTACAATCGTCAGTTGACGATCATTCTCAGATCGGAGTCCGAAGTTCTCTTGGAGGTCATGCTCAATAATGCGTTTCCTTTGCCAAGTACATTATTATTTGTAACATGTAGCTAAACCTGGTCTCAGGTTCACTTGGAATGGCTTTTTGGTGTAGAATGATTTAAGTCTTTGGAATGACTTTGACCTTGCATGACTATAACGTTGGTTCGTATTCTAAAAGTTAAACCTGACCTTAACGAAGGGAAAACTTAGACCTCAGTCCAATTTTGAACAAAAGCTTTTTAACCCAGCGTCAGGTTTAAATTTGGTAGAATACGGGGCACTATATCTATATTAGGTTTCGTATGGTAAAGTTTTTCATTCACTTTAGTCAGGTAGGCCTACACAGACGGCTCCAACAGCGGAATGGTTTTCACCTTTTTAAAATGCGGATTCCTATGTAAAATTGTAATGCTTTTTTGAAAAATCGGTGGACAAAATGCCAAAATTATAAATTTTAGGGGCCCTATCGTTTTTTTTTAACGAAGTTTAGAACAAATCATTGTTACATATTGTTACATGGTCATTAACATCATATTTTGGGTACCTAAGACATCACGGTTATATCAAAGCCACATAAGCACAGGTAGCCTATCATTGTAATTTGATACCAAAATGGGGATTTGCAGTGATTTCATTATTCCCAAAACTAGTTTATGGCAGTCCTCTTGAGAATAGCTGATCATTTGGTCCTTTTAAAGCAACTTCAAGGCCCCTTTGATCTCTTGTACTACACCATATTAAATTTTAATGTCCATAGTGGGTTTTCTACACCAAACACACATATCAGCCAAATTTTCTTCTTCTTTGGTCTATATTTAAGTTCAGATAAAGCGTGTTTTATCTATACGAAAGTACCCAAAACATGATAACGTGTAGACTACGTGATCTTCAGTGCAATTACAAGCCATGAAACAAGACACTGAGCAAAGTTCTATAATTGCAGCTTGTGACAAAGACTACGTACTTTACGTTGCCTGCCTGCCTGCCTAGCATTTGCCGGTTTCTGTCATCTGTCCTATAAAATGAACATTTCTGTGGTAAGTAAAAATGTTTATGTCATGTCTCTTATGTAAGTTGTTAGGGTAAGAGTTCGATTGATAATGTACGTGACAGTATACTGAAAAATCTAAATTCTTTATAAGTACCGCTATGTTACATTTGTAAATGCTTGTGGTTTTTACCGGCTTTTTGGTTAGTACAGTCCCGCATATTCAAAGTTGTGTCGGGATTGGATAGGGAGGCTACACATTTTTACGTTGAGAGACCGACGGCTTTATGATTTCTGCATAATTATGAAAATTTAAATTTAAATGATAATATTCAGAAATTTTGAATAGATTTTGATTCTTAAAACAAAGAAACACTAAAACTGTAATAAAGGTGTAAATAAAAAATATTCAACATCTCATCTGTATTAAATTGAGAAAAGAGTGGCTGTGAGCTGTGAGAAATTGAAGTAGGGTAGAGTACCCAGTATTCGGTCACTTAAGGGGAAATCACTAATATTTTGAATGCTTACCTCTTTCATTGGGCAATCTACCCATCAAAAGAAAAGAAATTTATTCCTCTAACAGGATTTTATAGTCACTGAAAATATAGAATAACGATAAGCAAAAGACTTCCGAAAGAAGACGGAGCATTTTTCTGCCCAGAATTCGGTCGCGCCGACTAGAATTCGGTCACGCGATTTGTGCGTGGTATCTCCGTTGCAAAGGAGCGTAGCGTATTTGCGCACTATTTTCACACAATTGCGCGATAAAGCACTGAATGTCAATGCGTTGACCGAATACTGGCTGAGCGATACCGCATGGCAAGGGTATCGTATAAATACCTCTTGCACATCGGCAAGTGCGTCATTTGCAAATTCGCTGCGATGGAGCGAACACGGAAGTGATTCTCTTCACACACATACTAAATTCATTGTGACAGCACACGTAGTTGTTTCGCAATAGACTTCTACATATGGCTATGCATGTTAGCGCATGTGCTAAGAGAACGCGAAAGTGCGGAAAGTTGTGCGACACTGACCAATTTCGAGCTAAGTTGGAGATCTTTCCGGGGCCCTAAATCTGATTTAATTTTGAGAGTTAAGAAAAGTTGTTCAGCTGCCTGATTTGTGCAAGTTTCGTGGTTCATAAATTATTTTTTTAATTGTTACAGCTGTTGAAACGGCTGTCTGACCGAATACTGGGAATTGACCGAATACTGGGCGCGCTACCCTAGATCTAGACTAGGCCTAGACCAAAAGCTTCAGTCTCTATACCATCGGTTGTTCCACTGAGACTACGTCTGGCTCCACTAGACCTCCGGTTATAGAGACAGAACGATCGCCTATGCCAGCCTATGTTGAAGATAGGCCCCTCCCACAAACATGAACAAACTTGCCACGGCCGTATTGTTATGCCCCCAAAATCCCCCAAAATGTCATTTTACCTCGTGCATATCCAATTTTACATTAGGCCTAGGCTATAATACATCGGTTCCACTTACTAACTTGATTGAAATAATCTGTTTAATGGTCCCTCTTAAGGAAATTATGGGTCAAAATCGACATCCATGTTGAAAATCTTGCAAGCCGTGTTAAACTCTCGCTGCCGTCAATCTCACCCCTTCTAGTCTACGCCGAAGGCAAAATGATTATGAAGGAAAAACTGTGCGCCATCTACACGTTCGTAATGGCGTTATCACAGTTTTTCCTTCATAATCATTTTTGCCTTCGGCGTAGACTAGAAAGGATGAGATTGACGGCAGCGAGAGTTTAACACGGCTTGCAAGATTTTCAACATGGATGTCGATTTTGACCCATAATTTCCTTAAAGGCACACTGTCCTACTTGTCTCTACTTGCTCCCTCTATATAGAAAACTTCCCAAATCGGTGCCTGTTGGTCCCCCATGGTCCTTTTTCTTATGTTAAATGAGAGCTGAGTTAATGAGATAGCCACCTGTCACAGTGACCTCGATGGCTCACTGGGTGGTCTAATCCCTTCTTGCTGAAGTAGTAACGCCTCCCTTTAAAAGGGACCATTAAACGGATTATTTCAATCAAGTTAGTAAGTGGAACCGATGTATTATAGCCTAGGCCTAATGTAAAATTGGATATGCACGAGGTAAAATGATATTTTGGGGATTTTGGGGGCATAACAATACGGCCGTGGCAAGTCTGTTCATGTTTGTGGGAGGGGCCTAACGGCTAAAATCTAGCCGTGATATCTTCAACATAGGCTGGCATAGGCGATCGTTCAGTCTCTATAACCGGAGGTCTAGTGGAGCCAGACGTAGTCTCAGTGGAACAACCGACGGTATAGAGACTGAAGCTTTCGGTCTAGACTAGGCCTAGATCTATTGAAGTTTGAGTGAGTAAGATAATGACTAATAATACTTACTAAGAATAGCATTAGTAAGAGGAAACCCCCTTCTTTTAGTGCTCACTATCACCCCTGATGAGTGTATGAGGTCTATACCGTTAACAAATAGACCTCATACATTGTAGGAGTGGTAATGATGCGAAAAAAACTTTTGTTATTTATCTACGTGTAGCTTGATTCGCTTCGTTTCGATGGCTTTGGCTACTGTGGACTGTACATCAATGTCTATTGATTCCAGTAGACAGTCAACGCTATCAAGGTCACCATAAGATGGCGCCTTTTCTGAATTATTTGATTGAATATTATTGTCATCAGTAGCAATCTCAGCAATAGAGACATCTTTTGGCATTTTTGTCTAACTTCTATTACTTGAACATGTATCAGGCTTGGTTCTTAGAATTGCACTATTGTCTTCTCTGTCCATATCTGCTCATGTTTTTTATTCTATTTTTGTTTCCATTTTTCTTTGCTTGTGTCTTCTTTAAAAAAATCCCTTTACCTTTTCATCTTTTCCATTTTTTTTTTTTTTTACTATTTCTTAAATTTGTGTGGCCCTTCTTTAATCATCTCTTTCTGACTTTATGTGTGGGGTGCAAATATACTGGGTTAGCCCTTTGTCCTTGGTATTTATAAGACTTACATTTGTCAACCTTCCCCATACACAGAGGTGGTCAATGGAGCCAGACCTAGTCTCACCGGAACAACCATCGATATCACAGACTGCAGCTTTCGGTCTACTGCAGAACCAACCATCATGGAGGTCAAACACTCTCTATTGATATACATACAAAGAAGAGGGGGGGGGGGCACAAAAAGGGGGCATATTGATCAGTGAGAGATTCTTTTCCCTTTTAAAAATACAAATTGTATTGATCAAACCATTATTCAAAGCATGATTCGTGTCATACAGTATTCTTTGTTAAGCTATATTACCAGAATACTCCTAGAACCCCCCCCCCCTTCAAGAAATTTGGTTTATTTAATGCTTTTTACCTTTAATATCAAAGCATTTCTTCCTATCGCTGTTTCTCCCCAACAGAACAAATGGAGCTATCTGACCTGACACTTTACTTGACACTCATAGTTAGAGAATCCGTTTGAGGTCATTCTGACATATTTCATCCCATTTACCTGCCAGCTTTGATCAATGGATTCTTCAAACATGGCCACCAAGAAGAGAGTCATTCGAATCATTGAGTGGGATGACATGGACAAGCGCAAGTTCTTTGGGTTTGGTGCCATGCTGTCATTTGCTGTTCGGACTTCAGTCTACCCTTCCCATCTCATCAAGACCAGACTACAAATGCAACATCAAAACAGCCTCTATAAAGGAACATGGGATGCGTTAAAGAAAATCATCAAGTACGAAGGGGTCAGAGGATTTTACAAAGGATTCGGTGTGAATCTAATATCTATAGGTTCAGAGCAGATGTATATCCTTAGCTACGAGATGATGCGAAATGCTTGTGTGAATATGGACAACACCCCTCGGACTCTCATAGCAGGTGGATTTGCATCCCTGGTGTCACAGACGATACGGGTGCCTGTTGATGTTCTATCTCAGAAGACGATGATGCTGGGATTGGCTGTTGATGCAAAGACTGTCGCTAAACAAGTAAGGTTCAATGATGTGTACCGACTTGCCCAAGAAACGTACCACAGCCATGGGTTCTTTGGATTCTACAGAGGATATGTTGCTTCTCTCTTGACATTTGTTCCTAACAGTGCTCTGTGGTGGACATTCTATCACAACTACACAGGTAAGTGTTAATGCTAATATTCTAGAATTAAAAGCCTACCACTAGATACAGGATAGAATTAGAATTAAGCAAAATAATTCAGCTACTATTGAAGTCAAGGAAGGGGGAGGGGACTCTGGTTACTTTATTTTCAAGTTGACTGAAAGTGGAAAGTCTTGGGATGCCTGTACTAACACTCTTGCATACCAGAATTGTGATAATACAGGGTTAATGGCCAGATGGATATTCATATATTGAAGAGACCAGGGCCCCCTCTTTTAAAGGCACACTGTCCTACTTGTAGCTACTTGCTCCCTCTATATAGAAAACTTCCCAAATCGGTGCCTGTTGGTCCCCCATGATCCTCTTTTTCTTATGTTAAATGAGAGCTGAGTTAATGAGATAGCCACCTGTCACAGTGACCTCGATGGCTAACTGGGTGGTCTAATCCCTTCTTGCTGAAGTAGTAAAGCCTCTCTTTAAAGAGTTGCGATTTGATCCAAATCAATCACAAGTTCTCCAAACAATCGCAAGTTTGCAGTCTCCAATGTCTTATGTACAAAATTTCAATTGATACTAATTGCAACTGTGGGCCTAACATTCCATTCCTGGATTCATTCTATCTTAGTTTTTATTTTTATTAGTTGGAAGTGCATGCAAGACATTAAATGATCATTTTGCCAAGTCTGTAAGATTTTATTTTCAATTTGCATCCATTTTAGGATTTTAATTGACTTTATTGTAATCCTGCCTTACACAGAGTGTGACCCAGACATTCAAAAGCTTGATCGTTATAACAAATTTTCATTGTGTGATTGTTATTCTCCTCAGAACTGTTTGCCTCCTTCCTGAATACCAGTCTTCAACTACAAGTGCCTGTCCTAGCAATCCAGGCAGTCTCAGGGTCCTGTGCAGGATGTAGTGCTGCATTTATTACTAATCCTATGGATACTGTCAGGACTAGATTACAGGTCAGTAGCTATTGAAATCTTCCATTTTTATCATTCAAAGTTACATCCCAGAGAGAACTTTGTTTTAAAAATCTGTTTCTGAATGACTAATTCCAAAATAATACCGTAAGGCGTAAGACATTAAGAAAAATCAGACAAGTACACCTATGGACATATTCCCTAGGGACATGATGTTCACAGACAGTTCCAAATCGTAGAGTCCAGATTGTAAACAGATTCATCAGAAATAAGAGCAAGAACTTTAGAAGGATCATTTGAGTCAGTTCTTACAATAATCATCAGCATGTGTGAAACTAAAAGTAATTATCATATTGTTGAAAGACTAGCATATTAATGAATATTGACAAAATTTCAGGAAGAATTTATTTCAGTATGTGAAGATTCAAAAGATATACCCTGTAGAAATATTGACAATATTGTTTTTTGTCATTTGCAGGTTACTGGTCAGAAGTCCATTACAAAGACGTTTCGCCACCTGCTCGCAGAGGAAGGCATGGGGGGACTAACCAAAGGTCTGACGGCAAGACTTCTCTCCACCATCCCAACCAGTCTCATCATTGTTCTAGGATACGAGACCATCAAGAGATTTAGCTTACGCAAAGAACTCATCGAGAGTATCCAATGGTGACATAGGATTTTAGCTGTAGTTAGGATATTATAGACTCTAATAAATATATAATTGACTATTTTGTGATATCTTAAAAATTCTCATAAATTCATACATGCAAGGATGCCACTTTTCTGGACATTCTATCAGGCTCCCTGGCTGTGATTGTATTGGTATGCTAATCAGCCATATTGCAAACATTATGATTTGTTTGTGATTTATTCTCTACTTTAATGCAGAATCTGCTGGTAAACTTGATGATTGAGAGGCTTTAACTATATTTTTTAAAGGAATTATGTTGATAAATTTATGTGAATGTTGCCTCGTGAATGTCTGTGGTTGATTAGCTTGAAGTGTGTGTCTGTCTTTTTTTATGAAGAGGGTTGTTCTTTTACCTCATTGCCTCTTCACAGAGAGAAAACATGTATAATTGAAGTGCTGCTGATGTAGTTTATTTTTAATCCATTGCCTATGGGAAGTTGATGGTCCCTGTAAAGCCTGTGAGAATGAGATAATTCAGTAGTCAACAGGTAAATTAATACTTTGTACCAAGGTATTTCAGAGCATTTCATGATGGTGGTACCATTTCTACTTGTACTTGGGGTCTTATTTTATTATGTAATGACTGTACAGAGAGTGGATTATATGTGTTTTTAGTATAATCATCAGCATTGTGTTTTATGAATCAGACATGCTGATTGGGAAAATGTTTTAATATGATGGGGTGGTGGGGGGGGGGGGGGGGGGGTCATTTAGGCTTCATTTGATCCTCTGGTTGTTTACCGGCTTACAAGCATATACATGCTTTCTTAGCAGTCAGGTAAAACAATCATCAATACACAGACGTTGGATGATAGAGGAAGAAGGTCTGTAGATTGAGCTGGGGGGGGGGGGGGGGGGGGAGAGGGAGTGAGTCATGAGAAGGGGAAAAGATATAGAGAGAAAGGGGAAGAGAGCTGATGCGAGGTAAAGAATAGAGAAGTAGGGACGGTTGTAAGAAGAAAGAGAAATTATCGTGAAATAAAATGTATTGAACAAAAAGATTGTGAATTCCCACTATCAAATTAGTTACTGTAAATCATATATATATATATATATATATCAAATTAGTTACTATGTCTTTGCATTAAATAATTATCATACATGCATACACCTCAGGATAATATTGCACAATTTTGCTCTATTCATTATTACATGGTATTTGAACAGGAATTTGTTGTTAATTTGTCATGTTGATATAAAAAATGTTTTAAGGAATTTAGAATTTCATTGTTCTACGTATCGCCACATTAAAGCTATTCATTTTCAGATTGGTACACAAGTGCATGGACTTTAAAAACTTAAAAAACTCTATCCGATTTTATGCCCCTGCAACTAAAATGGTGCTTGGGTTAATGTAATCATCCAAGGCAGAACCTTAAAGTTGTTGCTACATGTACATGTAAGTACTGCATAACCCATTTTGGAGATACTATCTATGCTTGGGCTGATAGCAGTCATTTTTATATAAATCTAATACCCATCAAGACAAATGTTAGATATGTGATCATGAAAGTATGATATGGTATAAAGGAGGCAGACAAAAGGTAATTTGGCAGTGATTATTCTAATGGACAAAGTAGAACTTGTTCTTTTTAAAATAATCTACTTTTTGAAATTTTTCTGTTATCTTTGTGAGACAAATTTTTACATTTTCCTTCTTTATGTTTGGGTTTGACTGTGTCAGTACAAGGTTCCTAATATTGCATTATTACATTGATTTATGTAATTTATATTTGTGGATATCAAAGTCTTTGGAAAGATAATAAGCAAGAGTGAATTAAGTGTGCATTAAATATCAATGAAGAGAGATTTATCTAGGCCTTTGTCATGTTAACATTAGTTAATTTTTTAGAAGGGCAAAAGAAGAACTGACTGATGTACTGTAGTAGGGGAAAATTTTGAAAGCAAGACAATTGAACTAGAAGGGACTTCTGAAAATGAACCTGCTTATATCTTAATGTTCATTTGTGTTAATACAAAAAAACGTTACGTGATTATATTTGATTGATAAGGTGCATCTTCTATATCAAAATCATGAATGTTTTTATTTTAGACTTTTATCTTAACATGTTTTAATTGGTTTTTTTTAAGTCTTGTTTTTTTAAATCTTCTGAAAATTCTTTATCGACACAGTATATTTCAGCATGCAGAATCATTATATAATTTAACAAAACTTATTAAATGCCTGTGGAATTGCATTTTTATGTTCGTTTCCTTTCGACACGCTATTGGTATAAAAGTCTGTCCCAAACCGCTCAAAAAAAGTAACTAATGTATGCAACCTGAATTCTTCTGAAATATGTCAGTTCGGGGACCATGAATACCTCTTCCCTTATAGAGATACATGCACGTAGTAGAATGTCCATCGGCGAATTCCTTTGTTGTGGAAAGTTATTTAGTTGGTGTAATCTCATCTTGTAAAGAGATCAAGAGGAAGCAAATGAATAAGAATAAAGCCCCACCGCACACTATACGATCATTCTCCGATCCTATCTTCAAAGAAATCGATGTTGTATTGGATATAGAAATTTAAACAATCGTCTTCCCGACTGAGATTCTAAATAATAATAGAAGTACTAAATACCTACACTTAAATCTGCTACTCGGTGTTGAAGCCAAATCGGCTTTTAATCGTAGGCGATCGCATAACTGAAGTGACATCACTACGATTTTGAGCCGATATGAGCATGATGAGTTTCCTCCTTCATGGAAGGTTGCAGTCGCCTGACTTTGCTATTGTACATGAATTACTGCATTCATATAAGTATTCCACACCCCAATTCTTAAGGTTTTGCATGTTCATGTCAAATGCTATTGTAAATTATTCCGAAATTGGAGTGTAGTCTGGTCGTTTATGTGTGCGATGGGATTAAGTCATTTAAAAGAATTGTCTTAATTTTCGAGGGAGTCTGACAGACCCATGCACATGAGGGTTTATTATATACATGCAATATATGATATTTTCTATGTACATTTGGGTATGATGTGTGAGGCATTTAATATATCACGCAATTTCCAAATTCTTTATTAAATGACTATACGAATGGAATCGTGGTTCTGGTCTAATTTGTATACGTAAATTTTGTAATACATATGGTATACTATAATATTGAGAATGAACCTAGATATTATCAAGAGAATAATATTCGATTTGAACACTATGATGATGAAAATACTTATACAGTGCGAGTCACAAGAAAAGAAACCTAGAATAAACCCTAAATCGTTGTAAATAGTGAATGGAGAGTTAGTCAAAGATACATTGTTGCCTATATATATATATAATGTTTTCTTTAATTTGACGCCTTGATCATCAAAATCAGACTAAGGGGACTTGAACAGTAGCAATTTTACTGATTCATGTCAAATTGGTGGTCAACACAAGGTTTGGTTTAATGGTTTCTATTCCCACTGAATGGATAAATAGATGAAATTAACTCCCGAACACCATTTATCCAAAACTACGGCAAAAGTGATTTTAGCAAGCTATTTGAAATTGAAAATAGCCAGTGCTCAGTAATCCGTGATCGCATTTTGATAAGCCTACCAAGTTAAAGAAGACACTGTCGACTATCATACCATTTGAATATATTTCAGTAATTTTACTTGGTGTTTAATATTGGGGCTTTAATATGGTTTCTTATTAATTGACTCACATCTCCCTGACCTGTAATGAACTAGGCTATCCCTTAGAGATTTCAACACTATCTGTGGTTAAATTCAATTACTTAGCAATCCCTCATCAAATGGAAATAAAAAGAAAACCTACACCGTTGTATACTGTTTCTTCACTGATATTTATTCTCTTCTAACACGAGGGAAGCATCAATATTAAAATATCACACTATTATAGTATTCAAATTTTATCCAGCGTATGTGAAATGAAAAGATGATTCGAAAGTAAACAACAATTTCATATAATTTATATGACAAATAAATAAAATGCAATTCATAAAAATCATGTATGTTGACATCATTCACACAATGATGCCTATTTCTCATTGCTTACCAAATAAAGAAATTGATAAATTGGCCCCTATCATAATATTAAGAATCCTTTTTACTTTAACTAATTAACTAATGAATTCAACTTTTTTATTGTCATCAAATTTTGTATGCACCCTCTTTTACAACATCCTGGATCCCTGAATCCGCGCGGCCCTGATCATGCTGATTCATAAATGAAGAGTAAGGTACTGGCGAGACCGGTGCCCGGTTCCAAGTCAGTGGTCTGCAGTGCTCTGATGTAGTCGACCGCTGCCTGTTGTTTCTCAGCATCCACCTGGACATGATGGACTGGCAGAAGGACCCAAATCGTGTAGTGACGGGGTCGAGGGTGTACCAGTCAGTATCAACCATGTCTCCACCGGGTGCAGATGCCGGGTCAATGGCGTGGCTGCAGATGTCATAGACGCTCTCTCCCCACTCCTGTGAACAAAATAGATTTTTGAGATTTTTTTAAAAGCATGTTTTTGTTATAGATTTGATAGGAGGGTTGTGAATCTGTTTTCCCTCACTGGTATACAAAACAGTAAATTGAAAAAAAATAACGAGACATTCGAGAGAGAACAACACTATGAACAAGCCAGTGAATAAAGAAGAAGAGAGAAATGGTTAAACATTACCTCAATTCCTTCAGAACAATCTCTAGCGGAATGAGAGAAGAACTAAAATGAGAGGAGGTAGACGAAGAAAAAGGTAGATGAGTCGTGGAAATGGGGTGGCTAGACCAAGACTTGAAGAAGGAGAACAAGGTAGAAGAAGAATGAAATGAGAACAGGACCACGAAGAACAAAAAATATGTTCCCAAAACCTTTCAAGTAATCATCCTTAGGCTATCTCATTAGCCCTTTCCACCACTTTACAATAGGTTTAAAATCGCCATAGATTTGATTTCGAAGAAAGTGTTTGCGATCGGGTTAATTAAGATGGAGAGAGAGGAAGGAGATGATTTGAAAAGCAGTAAAAGGAGAGAAAATATCCGGGGAGAGTATGAACAGGACACAAACAAAGGTATGTGAGTGTATCTGGGAGGGGGATGATAAAGGAAAATAAGCAGAAGAAAAACGTGATGAGCAGAAGAACAGCAGAATCAAAAATAAGAAAAGGGAACCTAATTGAGAGAGAGAGAGAGAGAGAGAGAGAGAGAGAGAGAGAGAGAGAGAGAGAGAGAGAAGAAAATGATGAGAAGATACTATACCTGATCCATGTAGAGATAGGACACGGAGATGATGGGATGATCTGAATACCGACGATACAGGCATGGCGTTGAGGAAACTGATCGGGTTCACAGGGCCAGTTCAAGGTGTAGTAGAAGATTCCATCCTCCTGGAGCTGTCCAATCACTCCCCATCTCTGGATGAGCGATGGGAAGAGATGCCTGTTGTTCTCCCTCACCTGCCAGTATTGTCTGATTATAGATGGAATAAAATAATTATTCAATAAGACATGGAAACTATGATGTACTTCTGTCTTTCTCAGAAGAAAAACAAGCAAAATCATCTCTCGGGAAATTTCGATGCACCTATTGTATATCCCATAGAAATCATGTTCAGATTACGTAATGCGTCATTATATTGTCAGCATATTTCAATAGGTTATAAGTTGATTTTTCCAAAGTCTTTGCGATCACGTCTTCGGTGGTTTATAAAAGAACGATTCTGTCTTTTTGGAGATATCCAATCACTCCCCTTCGCTGGATGAGCGACGGAAAGAGATGCACCCCGCTCACCTGCAAGTATTGCCTGATGATAGACTGAAGAAAATCACCCAGTACAAGACATGGAAGAGATGATGTGATTCTGACATTTTCAGAAAAAAAGTTCCACTTGAATAATCGCATAGATTTTCAAAAATCAACTTTAGGAGATTTAAATATATTTATTCTGTCGTATTACGTAATGCGAACATAATTTTTATGGCGGAACAATTTTCACGTACTTTGCAACCTGATGTATAAAGAAGAACTCGTCACATGCCTGCCATAGCAAAAAAACAGAATTGTCAAAAGACTTAACTCCGTTTCGTTGACAATCAGCCATGCATGAAGTCTTTCGTCTACGGCAGATTGTCAACGAAACGGAGTTAAGTCTTTTCTTAATTCCGTTTGTTGTTTTAGGCAGGCAGCCAGTGAAAACGAATTCGTTTGATAAAATTATGGATATGCAAGCACTTCTTTAAACATACAGAACTTTGTTATTCCTGGCTCATTTCTCGTGATTGAGGTGTCATATAAAAGGGCAGAAACTCAACTTTCTGGAAATGTGATTTTCTCTTTGAATTCAGATACCGTCCGCCAAATGACTTTTTGGTTTCCTCTCTTCAAATTCATTTAAATTACTCATGCGTGAAATATGGATTATAAGAGTAGCATCGGATGAAAGAGGAGGCTCTCAGCTTTCCAAATATGTGTCATTAATCAATTATAATTATGATTCAGTTATGATCAAACGTCGATAATTCTCGGATTCGTTTTTTCTGGGACGCACTGTATTGAAAAAGTAAATGAGTAAACGCCTTTCTGGCTCCGGACGTTTTATCCTCTGTTAGGGCTTCTACAATGTGACATGACTGGTAAGCGTTGATACAGAGAGTTTCTTTCATCCATGTATAATTCCTTTGAATTCACTCCCAAATAACAATAGTTCCTATGAGTTTAGGGTTATTCGTTCGGCAATATTACTAGAATCCTCATTATTCTTTTTGAAATTGATGATTCTCTTAACCTTGCAAAATGTTGATTGTTTTGCCTTAATTGTTTTTTCAACTTAAATCTTAGCAAAATTGTGAAACATCACCGATGCACATATAATCAGGCCCGTAGCCACGAAGGGGGGGGGGGGGACGTGCCCCCATTTTTTCTTTCAAGATCGGTTGAACTTTTTTAGACCCCTCCCCAGGACGTCGATCAATTACATGTATGTGCCCCCCCCCCTCAAACATCAAACTCTGGCTACGGCCCTGGCCCCTGCATATAACCATTTCAATTTGTTAACAGTGCGTTTTAAGTGAAAGCATTGTACATGTTCATGTAAAGACCGACATGAATAGTATTGTATCCATGTTGTGTATTTTAAAACGAATACTGATTGCACCTATCATGTCCGTCATGTCTTGGCGCTTCTATTATAACCCCGGGCAAAGCCGAGTGGCCAAACAATTATGTAGCGTCCTCAGTGGCGGATCCAGGGGGGGGGGGCCCCCCCTTGAGAAAAAAATCATGTAAAATCACGTGATTTTTACCTTTTTGGGGGGTTGGCCCCCCCCCCCCCTGGCGCTCAAGGAGGGGGGGGGGGGTGCAAATTGAATTTTTTTTGAGGATCAAAAAAAAAAAAATGTGCTCACTACCCCCCCCCCCCCCCCCCACTGAGCGAATTTTTGGCCGGCGCGTTTTTCAAATTTTCGGGAGCAAAAAAAAAAAAAAAAAAAAAATTGTGCTCTGTACCCCCCCCCCCCCCCCCCCCCCCCCCCCCCCCCCCCACTGAGCGACTTTTCGGCCGGCGCGATTTTCAAATTTTCGGGAGCAAAAAAAAAAAAAAGTTGGGCCCCCTCCCCTAAGAAATCCTGGATCCGCGCCTGAGCGTCCTAGCATTATTGTGGAGCGTGAAAAACTCTGATCATTGTCTTGCCAATGAACGTTAATGACGGGCTGGTATTCGACACCCCAACCCTTTAATTGAGAATAAGATTCAAGTGAAAGAACCACTATACCACGACACCCCCACACTGTGATGATTATGTGGCAGCGAGTGTCCCGTACACTTTTAATACCTGGTTGCACGAATCTCAGTGGCTGTCGTGAGCTGTCCTATAGCCTGTAGATTGGTATCGTTCATGGCCTCACCAAGTGCTGCAAGGGCATGGTAACAGTTGATTGCCTGACAAGATGGATGAAACGAGTTTTGGTTTATGAGTGCAAGGCGGTATTGAACGATACATTATACATAATACACAGGGAGGAGATCAATGATCAGAAATGAGGAGACTTTGATTCGCTACTGCACTCTAAAATGCAGAAGGCTGGAAATCCACTGTTTGAGGTGTACACGTATTCCTTTAGAGTTGTATCCAATCCAAATTATAGTGGAATCCACTATACAAAGTAGAGGGTGAATAACACTTTGGGAGTGGACTCGACTATTCTTGAGCGTGGATTTCCACTTTGTACATTTAGAGAGTAGCAAACACTTCACGACAGACGAAAGAGAATTGTCAAATTGCTAAACCTGTCAAAGAGTGAACACCGGTGAAATACCCTTTTATAACAAAATTTGCTCATCAGCCTCATCATTAAAACATCTGACTAATGACACTGTTAAATCCCTTTAAAAGAGGCAACATATAACAAAAATAAACAAACGTAATATGTTTATGATGATAAGTAGAATGACAATATTAGCTTCTTGTATATTCACACCGTCAGGGTGCTCATGTCGCTCCATTAATATTTACCTCAGCTGAGGCCTCTTGTTGACGAGTGCCTCCTCCGATACCAGTTGCCCAGGATGAGCCAATATACCAGTCCTTTTGACGAACTGTCGGGAAGTATGGATCGTTCTTACTAGGACTTCCGACATCTCGGGCCATCGCCATTATACGGTTGTAATTATCTATATAAATAAATAATATACTTAGACAGTCAACCTGTTGTTGATATAAATTAAAATATAAATATTGCTGAGGATATATTTATTTCGTATGTTTGCCATTTGGAAGGTATCTTAAAATGACTATTCGTTCGTGGATTTTGAAAATAATTGACCCACAGCATTATTTCTTCAAATATATACATATTTATCCAGGCAGGTTGAATTGGAATATTTCCCCCTAACGTTTACATACGGCCTTGTATTGTATGTCGAGAGCTCTATTCGCTGCCTTCCAAGTATTTGCCTGTACTTGGGTTTTCTGAAGTTGGGTCTGACTTATAGAGCTCAAATTCATCGCCGATGATTAAGAGAGGCTCTGTTAGTCTACACATAATCTTTCATTATGAAACAACCAAACCCTGCTGTATAATACTTTGAACAATTTTCTATCAAGAATCTTGTAAGTTTGCAAAATAGACTTCTTATTTTCTATTATACGTTATGCACTTTCGATCTCAGTGACAGTCTGCGTGACTGTATGGAAAGCGTAAGGACCAAAAGCGAGCAAACGTTTTTAAGCGATTGCTGCATGTAATGCTGTTCTAATTAAAGATAAAGCATTCCTTTTGACTGAGTATCTAAAGTAAAGTTTTACTACAATAATCCTGAATAAAGGTCGGGTTATGAATAGTTATACTTTTCTAAAATGACCTTTGTGCTCTCTAGATGAAGACATTTAAGGCTTGTTCAGATTTGGCCTAGTATGCCGCGGTAAACTGTGCGCAACAAAACGTCCCAGCGCATTCGTTGAGCTGTATGTTTTAAGATGCACTGAGGTCATCTTACAAAAATACTCGCGTGGTTTACCGCTTTATTTCTGAGCGAGGTGTTAGTCGCAGGCTTCAAGAACAGGTTTTCGATATTTCCAATTTACAAAATATGTACTCTTATGCTCACCTTCCTTTGAAGCCCATACTGGATTGTACTTGGCGTAGTAGGCAATGGCGTAGAGCCACATGCCAAAGTGGTAATGATGATCAGCATAGCTGATGAATCCATAGTTTGTCCAAGGGAAAAGCTCTTCATCTGCCCCTGCTCCACGCATCCACAAGCCTCCCCAAACAGTGTCGTATCTGAGGCATGAGAAAGAGTGCTCGGTAATTATTTTTGTTGCATAAAAGAAATGACAACCAATATCTACTAATATTGTTCTGTCATGTTATTATTACATATTTTTACCATACTCTGTATATTGGAGAGATAGTATGAGTTGGTCTCGTGGTCAACTCTCTGTCTTCGCCTAGAAACCGACCCTGCTTTCTGATGGTCTTCAGACAGAAACAATCTTATGAGTGATAAACGTCGGTAAAAATTCAATAACAAATTCCTCCGCGCTGCCAGCTTCATGCATTAACCGAATTCCTAACTTCAACCCCGGACCAAATATTAAACCTAACCCAGACCCTTAACCCAATCCAAATCGCGATTGCAACCATTAAACTTTAATCCTATAATGATCTTTGACGATATAATTAAAGCCCGGAGAAAATTTCGCCATATAAAATGTCGGATCACTATTATACACCATCCCAAACCCATTCAAACATATACATGTAGCAACGAAACGAATTATTTCGGTTTCATCCTATTTGCCTATAGAGGACTACATAATTATTATGTTGTGAGTGGAGTCCTGAAATGGGCCGGTGAACCGTGAAGATTATGAATGTAGAGAGAGAAAAAATACCTTTCTCAATTTTCTCTACCTCTATCCATAATTGAAGGAGTCCTCCATAAAAATACTTATCTCTCACCCTTCCTTTATAATTTTCCCTTTTATCCCCTTTCAAACCCAACAGTTCTTTGCAAGACTACTCACATCGTGAAACCTGTGACCTTGTGACTTTATACACACCACCATGCAAAACCGGACATTCAAAGATCATCTGAAACGAATTATATTACCGTATGGCATTATCTTCTGGGATCCCGCCTACAATGCCGAGCCAGAGGTCCAGGCATCGTCGAAGGGACTGATCGAGCTGGATGTAGTGCTCGGTGTTGAAAGCTCTGGAGATACTGGCCAATCGTGCTACCATCTCGATGCTCTTGCCTGCCTCATAGCTGTGGATGGATGCCGTTGTACAGTCTGATTCTAAGGTCTGTTGATCGATGTCAACTCCAATAGCATCAAGAATATGCTGAATACATAGAATTATAACAGTTAGGTGTCAGTCTCAGTTTTCATTATTCCTATGTAAAAATGTCAGCCTTTGCAATTTCTCGTCTCTTCTATTAGATTTGGAATCATGTTTATTCCTCATCACTCCTGATGACGAACAGTCAACCTGTTCGGAAGATCGAGCCTCCGTTTCTCTCTATCTCTCTCCGCATATATAAACTTGTTTCATCAGTCCTTTCTGGAACTCCACTCCACGCACAAAACAATATTCAATTTTTATTTATGGGTCTAAAAGTGTTTGTATGAAGCATTCAGAAACAACACATTGAATGCACGCCTTTTTCGGGAAATATTAAATGGATGTTCTCTGAAAAAAGGTTATGATCCCAAAACAATCGCCAAGCACGAAAGGAATCTCCCACCTGGAGTCTGTCCGGCTGATCCTTGATCCGATTTACGGCATCCATATTTGGTTCCATGGAGGCCGGCGGGAGGGTCTCTTCCATCACCCAGTGATCTCCGACGTACCCCTTGTAACCAAACGGAGTTTCTACTAGATCATCACCAAGCAACGGCTCCTATTAGTGTATTTAAAGATGGGAATAGCTTCAAGATTCTTACGCCTCTAAAATCATGTTTTATAAGAAACTGCAGTGATTCATTCAAGATGTTATTATAAAGTATTGCAATGATATAGTTGGATTTTATAATGCAGTGATACAGTCAAGTTTGATAAAATATTGAAGTGACGTAGTCGAGACCCGTCTCGGAGTTGTCTTTTTTTATGTCTCGCCCTCCGTATCTGTCTCGAAAACTTCAGCTAAAAATGTTTGTGACCACATTTTCTTTCTTCATGTTCTCGATCTGAGGGCCTCGTGTCCGGTGTATATTGGCAATTCTATTGTTTTGATAAATCTTTAATAAATATCTATAGTGCAAGATCTGTGTCTGCCGGGTGGAAATCATCCAACATCCAACATCCAAACTCCCTGTAATATATATAATGCAAACATTTGTATTGTAATTAATAAGTAAAATATTTTAAAGAAATATATAATCAAATTGTTATCCTGTGAACGTATTGCTGTTAATTCGTAAATCCAATACTGATGGTTGTGAGGGCAAGCTGTTATGTTTTTGCTTGGTTATTGGAGTTGGCTTAAGAATCAAACTGAACAATAATTGGAGATTTTTCTAAGACTCACATTTTCCTGAACAAGAATGATTCCTTTTCCCCATGGCAAATTATTCATTTATCTGATGCTAACATGTTTCGCATCTAATGTATAAGGCACATTAATGCAGGCCTACCTGATGAGGGAGAACGACTGTGAGTAGGTCCAGATTCGGATTGGTCCCTAGATAGTCCTCGCCCATTTTGTTCCAATCGAAGCTGATGTAGCCTTTGTCTCCTTCGGTACAGAACCTGGTCTTGGGCTTATAGGAGTATGGGCCTGCAAAACCTTCAAGTTTGTCAGCCCATGTGAAATTTCTCGGTGTGCCTGGAATAAAAGATATCGTTTAATTGGTTCATATTTATTTCGTCCAATTTTCGGTAGAGTCATAAATGTATGTGAACAATATCATCGGGGGGGGGGGGGGTCGAGCTGAATCCATAATATATATTTTTTATGCTCGATATAACTATAATCAACTTTTAATTGTCAAACAGCTTTGAATATATTTTTCTCGGAATTGTTTCTATAATTTATTTATTGCCAATGTTCATTTGACAGCGTGATCAGCTCTAATTTGTATTTTTGGAAAATAAATTGTTGATAGGATAAATGTAAATGTGCTCGTTTCGGTTCAGTGGGTTGTGATTTAGCCATATACATGTAGTCATCATGAAAGCTAGTCTTTGCGATGTATTAACGATGACAATAAATTCTCCTTGAGATTGCAATACACACCACTCCCGGCATAGACAAGCTGCATGACACCGGAGAACTTAGTGGGCAGTACTCTATCGGGAACGAAAGAAGCACCATTCTCGTCGAGGGTCATGACCATATCTTCTGAGAAGAACATGGCGTATTTCCTGGTAGAGTCTGGAACACCTTCGATTGATAGGGGCTCTGAGAGTTCAAAGAAAAAGCTGTCGCTAACCAGGGTAATCGGTTGTGGAGTCGGCTCGGGAGCTCCACCAGGGCAGTATGTCTGTAAAGATATTGGAGGCAAACACAATGTTTAACACAGTCTTTGAATTGAATTGATACAACGCCAATATATCTACCGTTGGGGACTTCGGGAGTCGCCGGCATGCATCTGTGGTGCAGATGAGCAGACGACAGACCATGTCATCTACAACCTGTTCTCAAACCTCCTGACGGGATGACTGATCTGTCAAGCCCAAATGATGCACAAGTCAACTGGCTAACCCAGCTTCAAGAAATAACTTATTATGATACTACTATCTCATACGAAAGAAGAAGAAGAACACAGTCTTTATTAGGTGATGGCACCCATGACATACACTGTGAAAAGGTTGGGCAATATTTTTCCAACACTTTGCCCAACGTTGTGCCAATAATCAACCCAACCGTCTATTGGGCAATAGTTTGCCCAGCGGTATTAGTAAACGTAAGAACCCTACTTCAAACGTGCATAATTGCCTGTATTTTGACCAAAATTTGGGAAAAGAACTGACCCTTCTACTGCCCGACTACAGTAGCCCACTTGTTGGGAAAATCTTGACCAGCTGTTGGGCAAAATACGAAACAATTACAAAATATTGCCCAATAGTTGGTTGGGTTGACTATTGGCACAACGTTGGGCAAATTGCCCAACCTTTTCACAGTGTAGAATGGCATCTCAAAAGAACCCTGTTTCAGTCGGCACAAGAGTATAAGTTATAGATCTAGATCAGGTCTACATAGTGGCCCCGAAATTATGGGACTTCTACCTTTTGATAAAATGAATATTTAGTAAGTGATTGTATTTAAAGCAATAGTAAAGTGAATGCTGCTCTCCCAATAGCTACTATTTTTCATGAATGTATTTTTTTAAACGATGATATTATTTCACTGTCTTAGTCTCGTATTTCAACAGATAAATGTGTTATGGGGTCTGTTCATTAGCAATGGAAAATGCAACCGTTTGTACCTCCTCATCACTCTCTCTCTCTCTCTCTCTCTCTCTCATCCTTCTCTCTTTCTATCTCTATACAAAATGGATCACAAGGTGTCAAACTTGGTGCTTGTGTTGAAATTCCAGATCTGTTTGAGATGTTTTCTTTTGTCATATTTTACAAACCAATTATAATAATATACATGTTTAGTACTTAAACTCATAACCGAAGAAATGACTGAAAGTGGCCTCTGTTCCTGTTCATCACGTCAGTTCAAACGTCAATCTAAAAAGTATTCCTTGTCTCCATTTCTCATTTTCTGTAAGTTCATTGATTCTGATGTCAATCTAACTGCCATAATTTCTACACGCAATCTTTAGTTTGTTGGAATTGCTTTGATGACCAGTCATTCAGTAATGTCTAAAAGTCATAAGATGAAAAGACGAGTTTACTCTGTTACCATGATATTCCTAACAAATGCCATACATTTAATCAAGATCATGTGTTATCAAAATAATGTAGAAATATTATTCTTAATTGTGGGGGCTGATGTCTCCAGTACGGTCAAAAAGTCCAAAGACGAAGAAGCGAGTTTGCTCTGTTATCATTATAATTACTTATTGTACACTTACCGAAGATCGTGTGTTCAGCGATAAAAAAACATTACAAATTGGTCCTTTGGCGAGGCAAATATTTCTTTCTCAGACTCAAACATTTGTATAGAAATTGGTCAGTAAGAAAAGGAAGAGACTGGATTTCCAACGAATGTGTAGATGGGGCTGTGTTCGGGAAGGGAGGGGGGGGGGATTTGTAGAGTTTGGGAAGCTTTGGGGATGGAGGGGGAGGGGATAGGTAAGATTGTACGTGTGTCCGAGTATGCATGTGAGCATGACTTGTGTGGTGTGTGTGTCCGTGTGCGCGTATTAAAAGGCTTTGATCTATAATATTCATTCAGTGTAATTAATTTGAAGACAATATGTACTGTGTATTAAACTATATTATGTATTTCTGAGGGCTGCACAATTTTCTTTATGTTTTAATATGGTATGTAAGTCAATGAAGACTATGTATGATTTTTTTTAAATTTTGTACTGAATGAATGCAATAAAGAATGCTACAACAAAAAAAACAAAAAAAAAATAAGAATTTGACAAAATTCTTACTTTTACGGGCTGACGTCTCCAGTTGGCTGGTACCGCCTCCGTTACAAATTGTCCAATCACATTTGCAGCAAAGTTGACATTGGTATGATTGACATGTAATGTCATGACGACTGTGTTGCCATCATCCTCTAATTCGCAGCTGTTTGCATTGCACGTGGTCCAAGAATTCATGGAGCTCCAATCATCATCAGCATCAGCAATGATATATTGGATCTATCAAATGAGAATAAATACCAACGATGGTTCCATCTTGTTCATCCTGTCCATCTAAATTGTCATGTACTATACATTATATTGACTGGAGGCTCTGCGGGTACGAGCATATTTTATATGAATGATAATATTTTTGAACGAAGTTACAATTATCATATCATTTTTGTACTCTTATCTTTGTTTTTATGATAATTTGAATATTTGATTTCTTTGTTAAAAAAAGACAACATCAGCCTTGAGCTGCATCTCATGTAGTGTTTAATAAATGGATTCAATTGTTGTGCGTGAGTAGAATGCAGTACAATTTTCAGATGAAGGTCATCACTCTTAAAGTTGTGTAAATTATGATCAGTCAAATGGTTACAACGAAATTAGTCCTATAATATTTAGTAATTTGTTAATTACAATGGAGAGAAGACATACATCCTTTGGCAATCAGTTATTGCAAAAACGAAAAAAAATAATTAATAAATCACCTCTTGAAGATTATTTGCAGGACTGCTAAGTTTGAGAGTTGCTGTGACCTCATAATCTTCATCAACAAGATTTTGTCGGCATGTCGGAGTATCCAGACTCGCGCTCCCGTAAAACCATATCGGCATGCGCTGTCCCCTCGTTACAGTCACATCGCTGGTGCTCGTGCACTGGATCGTCAATGGATTGCGGTACCAGTAATATGAGTAGTCGTGCTGGGGAACGACGTACTTGTTGATGACGTTGATGGCATAGTCGACGGAAGTGACAGCGCCTTGGAGGTCGATGGTCACGGTTTTACCGTCGGGAGAGAGCTGACAACAGGTCTCATCGCACGTCATGAAACCACCATTGTCCGAATCCCATCTAGGTGTGGAGTAATTATGTGCAATAAAAGATGACCTTTATAACATGAAAAGAACTGATGAATCTCACAGAATTTGTGATAAAATTAAAAACTGTGGGTTGAACAGAGTAAAATTCATCATGCATAAAAAAGGAATTACATTTTCAAAAAGCCCGTTCTTGACTGCTTGTGTATTTGCAACATTAACTTACTCGTATTGCTTATCCTAGCATAAATTAAGTAATTTGTAATTTATGTCTAATTTGTTTTTTTTCTTATTGTTTATTTCGATTTGTTATTTAGATTATCATAATAGTTTTGTGTTTTGGATGTCTATTTACATTGTTATTTATTCTAAGAATGTATAAATATTGTTTGATTATTGTCACAACTGTTACACTAATTAACCTGATCGTAAAGACTTGCAAGCAATCAATTAAAGAGCAATTCAATGCATCAGTGAATTTAAATGGACTTGAATTGAATTGATAAGGTTTATTGATAACAATTTCAAAGTCACAGCTAAAAGCTGACATAATCTTGAATTTATAATTAAAACTGCAACATATAAAATATATGCAAATATTACAATGTAAAATAGGCAAATATAAAATTAAGACATTCAGTATTTAAATTGATATGGTAAAAAGAATAAAAAGAAGAAGAGAAGAAAAACAAGAAAGAGTAGAAAATTAAGGTAAAAAGGGACAAAATTTAATAAACAAAGAAGAAAATATGGTTGAGAGTAAAATAAGAGTTTACAATTGGTGTTCATAAAACCAGTAATGCAGTATATACGATTACAATTCCAGTAATGAAACTGTTTCTGACCAGTGTAACATCACGTAGATGACTTTTTGATTAATGCAATAAATGCCTTGAGCATCTCTAGAGATAGATATGTTGCGCTTTATAAATGGTGTTCTTATTTAATAGCCTTGTCAACGAAACATTAAAGGTAAGCTTTATAAAGTCAGGCCTCAAAACCCATCTTTTCAAGCAAATGTGTAGTACATGACTATTGGAAGAGCGGGCGCCTTTAAATGTTTGAAACAGATAAATGGCGCCATACAAGGCGTGCTGTGGATCATCATCATCATCTCAATTTACACAGTGTATTGTGACAGGCTCCTATATATTCTATAATTAAACATATACATATTGTTAATAATAATTGTTCTATGCAAGTATTTCAGATTGATACGATTGCCTGTTCGGATAATGTAACATGTTTTAACTCTGATCGCAAATGTCAAAATGTGACACACAAGGCTACTAAAATTGGCAATAATTATATTGATTTTACGAAAGACTTGGCGGCCGTGGTCACTTAAAGACTCATGTGAAAAATGTATTTGAACTTTGAACGTTGCATTCTCAGTGACATGGTTGAAACAATTTTTGTTTACTCACTCAGTAGATTCGCTTGCAACCCACTGAACATCACTGATGTGTTCGATAGACTTGGTAAGATGAAGTACAAATGTAGCTGTTTCGGAGGATGCGTTGCACGAGGCTTCCACATATCCACTCCCCGCGTTCTCAACTGAGCATCAAATAAATATATAGCAACGTGCGATATCATATAATATATATCGTCAAAAATCGTAAAATTAACATCTGTCTTACTCTTCCTCCTCTTCTTCTCTTCTCCTCCTCCTCCTCCTCCTCTTGTCTTCTTCTTCTTCTCGTTCTTCTCCTCCTCCTTCTTCTTCGCCCTTTCCCTGTCTTCTTCGTCTTCTCATCATCCTCATCTATTTTTCTTCTTTTCCTTCCTCTCCTTCTCCCCCTCACTGATCTGCCCCACTACATTATGTAGAGTCTTGCGGACGTTTGGGTGAGCCTGAATTCAGCAACATTATGCCTATTCTCCCTATGCCCGCGATCTTATGCTCCCCAATATCATTCTTATTTTGAGTTAATTTATGCCACGATATTACTATCACTGTTAGACTTTACACGCGAGTTATGGTTTCCATGAAATAATTTTCCCTGGAAATACATGTATGTGCAAAATAAGTAATTAAATCACCTTTCTAGAGGACGAGCAACTACAAGACGTAGTGTTGTTGGTACTATTATTGTTTATATTAAAAGTTTTTTAGATTATAGTATCAGCTATATCTTCTTTTGGATTACGAAGCAATACTAATAACAATAAAATCTTCATGCTCTCACCAGATTCCTCTTCGGGACACTCGAAGGTAGCCGGTACGGCATTGATGGCACTCAGACAATATGGCTTCACGACCGGAATGGCGTCGGTGAAGAGATGAGTCAGCATGCCTGACCCACGAACAAGTGGCAACTCCATGGTACCACCGTTTGCGTCGGTGTAGAGAAAGTTGGCGTACATCTCCCCAAAATCCGTCATGACTGGATCATTCTCGTTGTCTTCCAGACCGACCTTAATGCCGGTGAGTCCTGTCAATTTTACAAAGGAGCAACGAAAGAAAAACAAAAGTTCTTCATTTGGTTTGTTGGGTCGGTGTACGGTGTATCAATGAAATAGCGGGGGTCAAGACATTGATGGGGGTAGGTGGGGGGGGGGGGGGGGGGGTGACCGGCATATTTGCGGATCTGTGCGCCGGTCCTACTCGGTGGATGAAATGCAAACTAACAAGCAAATTTATTAGGAGAGGGTGTAGGTAAGGGTCAATGCGTCTTCTTATTACATACCTTTTCTCTTCCCCATTTTTTCTTAAGATTTTCCTTCTTTTTTCACCATGTGATGGGGGGGGGGGGCACGATCCTCGTGCACCCGCAGTTATGCCATTGTGAAGAAAGAAAAGCATTGACCGTAACATTCACAAAGGAACAAAATCATTAACGTACTATCTAAATGTACCGGAGTGACCAACTTCATCATCTCGTTCGGATAGAAACCCACGTTCTCAAAAGATTTATTCAACTAATTATACTCTGGGTGGATTCCAAAATAATTTTGGGTGGATTCAACTCCAACGTAAGTGATCCATAACACCTCCCCTTCATTAGATCATCTGAAGAAAAAACAAATACTTTTCTGAAACCGAAAATTATCGATGTTTTATCATTACTTAATCACAATTATAATTAACAAATGACACATATTTGTAAGGCTTAGATCCTCCTCTTTTATTTGATGCAACTCATATGATACATATTTCATACATGATTGATTAAAATCAATTTGAAGAGAGGGAACCACAACAATCACATTTCTAGAAAGTTCAGTTTCTGCCCTATCATATGACACCTCAATCAGGTAAAGTGAGCAAGGAAAAATAAAGTTCTGTTTGTTTAAAGTGATGCTTGCATTTCCATAATTTCACTTAAAAAGTTCTTGAAATGTGATTTTCTCCTTGAAATTCAAATACCGTCCGCCAAATGACTTTTTGGTTGCCTCTCTTCAAATTGATTTTAATCACCCATGCGTGAAATATGCATCATATGAGTTGCATCACATGAAAGAGGAGGATCTCAGCTTTACAAATATGTGTCATTTATTAATTATAATTGTGATTAAGTTATGATAAAACGTTGATAATTCTCGGTTTCGTTTTTTCTGGGACGCACTGTATAGCGCACAGTCATGTCCGTCACGCCATTACTCCGGTCATAGCCGCTAGTCATTTTGATTATACAGCTTTCAGGCTTTTCGGTTTCCCATTTGAAGACTTTATTTTATGAGAGTATGTTTTGAAAATGTGGCGGGTTTTTTCTTTATTTATTTTATATGACATACCAGAGAAGATAGAAAAGGGCAGACTATCTGGGGCTGAAACCATCTGCTTCATGCCGGCTCCAAGCTCTTCCATTTTCTCCCAAGGTTCTCCGTCCTTTCCTGGAGTCAACTCATAGAAGGGATCCTGGCGAGCAGGGTCAGTCCATCTTTGTAAGGTGTAAGCTTCATACGTTATCCCCATGGCGTCCATTGTCGCTGAAAAATAAAAAAATCTCAAGATGTAATTTATATAATTATCTTAACAAGGTGTTTTATGGGCGGTGCTGTTGGTAAAATTCAGAAGAGTGCCCCATAATCGAATGGCATACAAGTTAGAGAGAACAAAGGTGAATAGAGTAGAGAAATGAAGGAAAAGGAAAGAGAACATGAGATAATATAAGGAGATTGATTGCTCGAGAATTCTCTTCAAGGATTATACTATTGTGTCTATCAGTAACGTGGGGACAACATGATAACTCTTAAATCCCATAACATAGGTGGGAGGGAGGGAGGGGGTGGGGGTTGTATCTCAATATGCGTCTTTAATTTCACATTTATATGGTACCTGAGTGAGGAAACTGTCTGATGGGACTGAGAGGTCCGTGGTTGATTTGGTTGCAAGCGAAGTGACCTGTAGGTAAAGCCCCTTCTGTCCTTAGCTCACCGACCCTATCACTGGGTGCGGCCAAATCTTGTAGAGTTGTCGAGGTGCCGAATATATCGGAAACATCCAATGTAGCAAGAGGTGTGTCTTGCAGCTGGATACAGGTACGTGGAAGACCACCGGCCGTCTATTTATACGCACGCACGTCTGTTATACTGCTATATTCTGCTATATTCCGTCTATTTATACTGTTTTACTGTTTCGCAAAGTTAAATATCGCCGTGGAAACGCCAAATTAACTTGGATGCAGATGTGCTACTGTTATATTGTGTTTTCTTGTGCAATTTGTGATGTTGTGAACCCGGTGCATATAGACAGTTTGATGCCGGACTAGAGTCTTGGTCCCACCTGTGACATTTTATGATGGGGTGAGCTTATATATGCATGTACATTGTGATCACTGTATTTTCTTAAAAGACTTTTTATCGAGAGACTTATATGTACTAGTATATCAACACTGTAGGACGCAATGACACAATTAAAGTCGAATACCCACTCTGGCAATCCAGGAGCTGAGAGTTTTCGTTACAAACTTCCGAAATATATGACTACTGCTGGTCTACGTATAGCCATACAACATCTTCACATTTCATACGAACGCTATGGAAAACACGGTGGAGAAAACCGTATAGACTATGTTACAGATTTATTGTGTCATATTTTACCTCATCTTGACAAGTTTATCTGTGAGCATTTTGTTACCATATATGAATACCCGGTACCAAGTGACACACAGGCCCAAGATGGCGCGGGTAACCCCCAATTTTCCCGCCAAAGCGTCCCAAACAAATCTACTCAAACAGGAGAAGGGAGGATTGAAGATAATCAGAATGAAAACAATTGCAAGACCTGTGGTACAATCACAACTACTTTGGAATCTGTTCAAAACCAACTCCAGGTTTTGAATGAAACCGTCAATGGCATCATCTCGTCAACAAAAGGCTCTAAATCAGCTAATCAGACGACAACAGATGAAGCTCAAATCGATTCCGACGCAAGCACGGAGAAAGATCAGCATTGTAATGAACCTAATAGCCTTACAATAGATGATCAATTACGAGACTACAAAGCAAAACATCAGCTCCTGAGAGCATCAATGGTCACACAGAATGCCCATTCAACCGATGTTTTAATTGTTGGTGATTCCATGGTAAAGGACATCAACCCTTCGAGGCTATCAAGAAGACCCGTTAAGTGCAAAACATTCAGAGGCGCTCGTATTGGAGATGTTTGTGACATTGTTTGTGAGCAAGCTATTCAGCAAAATGCTAAAGAAGTAATCCTTCATCTAGGTTCGAACGATGTCACTTCACACGACGCAGATGAAATTGTTGCAAAACTTGAGTCCCTGGCAGAACAAATTGTCAAACTGACACCAGCCAAGAAAATAAGTGTCTCGACAATAATCCATCGTCGCGGAGAATCAGCAAGCGATTTCGAGAAAGTGCGCAGTGTAAATGAAATGTTGAAACTTCTAGCCAATCGCCGCAGCTGGGGAGTCGTGGACAATGAAAACATCACTCCTGACACACATCTCGCCGCTGATGGCGTACACTTAAACGGCTACGGAGTACGTGTATTGGCACAGAATATCATCGCATATCTTCGAGGATCCCGCCCTGCGTTTCATCGTGACCAGTTTCCATCAACTACTGTTTATGTTTCTGATCCGGCTAGTTTGGATAACGAATATCCTCGGCTCCAATCTCAATATCCTGATGCTTCGTCTTTTCAGATGATGAGCAAAGCGAAATTCCGCAAGAAAGCGTCCGACCGTGTTTTCCCACGAGACTGGCTAGATTGTCTACAAACAGCCCGGAGACTCCTCAACAGTCACATAGATTAGACAATAGTCATGAAGACATTGATGACTTCAATCGATCAAGTGATTCAGTTCGAAATAGTGACAATGCAGACAGTAATAGCAATCAAGAAGCCTATCTTGAACTTGCTGATGATGGAAGTATACCAGTTATTTCAAAACGAGGATTACGTATGTGTCATTTGAATGTTAATTCCTTACCAAATAAACTTGAAGACCTAAGGTATTTGTTAAGAAATTCTCCCTTCGACATCATTGGCCTTACTGAGACTCATTGTGATAACACGGTTAGTGACAACGAACTGCATATTGATGGTTATGATTTACTAAGGAAAGATAGAAGTAGGCATGGTGGGGGCGTGATGATTTACTTGAAGAACACCCTCCACTTTCAACATGTGAAAGATCTTGGGTTAAACTTAGAAACTATTTGGATAAAAACCAAGGTACGGAACGTGAAATCATTTTTAATTTGTGTTATGTACCGTCCACCGAACTCTTCAGTTGATTATTTTGATTTAATGTCTGCTATGATGAGTAATGCTCTAGATTTTGATTGTGAACTGATTATATTGGGGGACCTCAACTGTGACCTACTTTCTGACAATGTCGATTCATCGGCACGATCTCTTATGACTGTAATGCAGGGATCACTTTTGTCACAGTTGATTGAGATTCCTACTCGTGTGACCCAGCATTCTAAAACACTTATTGACCATATTTATACAACATGTCCGGACGATCACAGTATTTCAGGTGTCATAAAAACTCACATTAGTGATCATTTTTTGATATTCACATGTTTACATTCTAGAAGTGCTAGGAATGTTCATAACGATATCAAATTCAGAAACTTAAAAGAATTTAAGCAGGCAAATTTTGTCAACGATCTCTTTAACTTAATGTTTAGAGAATTAGCTTGTGTTAGCAACGTTGACACAGCTTGGAAATTGTGGTACAATCAAGTAATGTCAGTTATTAATAAACATATGCCATATAAACACAAAAGAATGAGGAAAAAACCCTCTCCTTGGATCACAGGTGAAATTATTACATTGATAAATAAAAGAAAGTATCTCCATAACAAGGCTTTAAAGTTTAACTCCTCAGGATTATGGAAAGAATATCGTAGAATACGTAACATTGTAACAAGTTTAACTAAAAAATCTAAACAAAAGTATATACAGGGTTTATTGCAAGATAAGTCTGGTGACCCCGGCGCATTATGGTCTATTCTAAAGCAACTATCCTCTAGCACTGGTCAGCTTTCCATAAAATTGAATATTAATGATGTTGAAATTTATCAGCCTGAAATTGTTGCCGAAAAACTGAACGACTACTTTATTGATAGTGTTTCAGAACTCCTGGGAAAAACAGATTGGAGAGCTAGTGAAACCACAATTCCAGATGTAATTGTCAGTTGTCCATTGCCACAGGAGAATTGTGAGGACCTTGATCATGTTGATCGTCAAATTTTTGATATTCCTCCAATCACCTACGATTTTGTTGTAAAAGAAATTGATAGCCATTCTGTAAAAAAAGCGACAGGGCCTGATGACATCTCTGTTAAAATGTTGAAAATGATGAAATATGCCACAAATGTAATAGATGGTCTTATTTATATTTTCAACCTTTCTTTGTCAAAAGGGCATTTTCCAAAAGCATGGTGCTTGGCCAAAATTCGCCCTATTTTTAAGGGCGGTGATCGATTATGTATAGAAAATTATCGACCAATATCCTTATTGTCAATTGTATCAAAAATTTTGGAGAAATGGGTACAAAAGCATTTACAGACATACTTATTAAATAGCGATTTCTTCAGTGAAAGTCAATTTGGCTTTAGACCAAAGCATTCATGTGAAAGTGCTCTATTGTGTATGGTTGATGACTGGGCAACCGAAGTTGATAGGAGTAAATTTTGTGGGGTAGCGTTTATTGATATGCGTAAAGCCTTTGATTCTGTTAACTACGATGTATTGCTGAACAAACTTTCTATGATAGGATGCTCTGAGAATGCATTGGCATGGTTTAAATCCTACTTTTGCTTTAGGGATCAATTGACAGAAATAGGGGGTAAATTATCCAATACAAGGTCAACTATCTCTGGGGTACCACAAGGCTCTGTTTTAGGGCCCCTGTTGTTTACAATATATATCAACGATTTGGTTTCCAGTATAAAGTCAGGAAAAGTTGTCATGTTTGCTGACGATGCAACTCTGTATGTTAGTGGTAGTAATCTTGAATCGGTTGAAAGTCAACTAAACTCTGCAATGAATGAAGTCTACAAGTGGACATCTAAAAATAGATTGGTACTAAATGATAAAAAAACGAAAGTGATGCTTCTTGGTTCTCGACAACGATTGAATACCTTGCAGGATAAAAAAATATCTGTTAGAATTAATGGTACCTTACTAGAATGTGTATCTGAATATAAGTGTCTGGGGGTGTCGATTGATGATACTCTGACATTCAAATCTCATGTTACTTCTATTGCAAAAGTCATGAAACAAAAACTTGGCCTAATTAGAAGAAACAAGTATATATTTAATGTTGATCAACTCAAAAGATTATATTGGGGATTTGTTCTCCCCCATGCATTATATTGTTCAACCGTCTGGTCATCTTCATCCGAATCTAACTACAAAATATTAAACACGCTACACAAGCGCGCAGCATATATTGTAAGTGGATATACTTGGGAAACCTCATCGGAAACAGTTTTTCGAATACTAGCCTGGCCTACTCTAAAAGAACTGTTTAACAAGTCAATATCATGCATGGTGTATAAATGTGTAAGTGGGGTAGCACCATCCCAGTTAAGTAGTAAATTTGTTCTAAATGACAATGTCTCTACACGTGTAACACGAAGCACCAACAGGTTGTTATTACGTATCCCTCAATGCAAAACTCAATTTTATCGGAGGACATTTGTACCAGTTAGTGTAAATGAATGGAACTGTTTGTCCGATGAATGCCGATCTGCCCAGTCCTTAGCCATTTTCAAAAAATGTATCAAACCTTGCAATAAATAGCTTTTTTTAAATGAAGGTGGAGGAGGGGGTTGCAGTGAGGTCAAATTCATTTTATGCTTGATTTTAATGTAATTTTTAGTTTGTAAACAGGTGGTAAACAGGTGTGTGTGTTAGCTTTCGTTACCCCTGTCATTTCTATATATAATATTGTTCATTGTCATTTTATGTTGTTTTTTAAACAGAGCCCTGTTGTAAACCAGCCTATTTTAATGTTTTTAACAATGTTTTGTAATGATTTTTAGCTGAACATGTTACTCTGTATAAAGATGCGAAATAAATAAATGAATGTAAACATAATTAAAAAAAACACACATGCATGAATAAATAAAGTAAATGAAAAATGTATGTGAAGGATTCAGCGCAGAAACATTGCTATCCTTGATGCTAAAACTCATGAGACCGACATTGCCTGTCTCGTAGGGTGCCGGTCCCGTGAACCGTCAAGCTCGAGGGCAGAGTCTCGTAGGATAATATTAGGACACTGCTAACGTTTAAATTTCATAGATAGGACATACATGACATATTCATAATTCCTGCAAAGTTCTACAGAATTTGATGTTGGCTGCAAAAGGGACATAGTACCTTTAATACATCATTGTAATGTTCGGACATTACAGTAGGTGATGAACAAGACTGTTGACATTCTTTCAGGATGATATATTCGGCATTCTCTGTAATCGTGTTTATGCTAGTCTACAAAGATCCACCAAAAGTTCTTTTTTTTTTGGTCAGAAAGTTGGCGTCAATTTAAGAGAGTTTATGTACACATTAAGAAAACGTGAATTAAAAGTAAATTCGGACAGGTGTAGAGTAGATAGAAATGGAAAGTGATATTATGTAACCGTAAACAATATCGACGATAATGATAATAATGATAGTAATAATAATAATAGTAATAATAATAATAATAACAATAATAATTATAATGATAATATTGATAACAATAATAATAATGATAATGATAATAATGATAATAGTGATGATAAAAATGAATCATCATCATCATCATCACCGTCATCATTATCAACAAATATCATCACAATAATCATTACATACCCTGTGACGGTTGTATAAATCACAATCTAAATTATAATTTCATTAAATGAACGTCTCACCTCCACAAATGGATTGGCAATCATCCTCGGACATGAAGTTATTCTTGTTGCCAAGACAACCAGTGAAGTCGAATTGGAGGCAGGAAGACGTTTCTCCATCATAACCCCATCGAACCAAAGATTCCCCGCATGAACCAGGGTCGAGAGGTAGAGTACATATATCTGTTAAAAAATGGACAAGTAACCGTATTAAAGAGGTTTGAGTTCTGCCTTTTATGGTAAAGATAAACAATAATTTGTGAACTTCCACATTCTTCTAAAGTTAGTTTGAAAAAAAATCATAGTGGAAATGTCTCCTGAAAAGGAATGCTCTTCAAATGCCGTCATTTTCGAAATATGACGAGAATTCACTGAAAACTTTTGACTAAACTTTCATCATGCCGAATGGAAATCGCTTCTGTTTCTGAGAGTGTGCAAGAACTAGGTAAAGCAGGTCAAACATATTAACACTGCATGCATCGAATAAATTGAAATTGACTTGGTGTGAAAAAAAAAGAAAAGAAGAAAGATCATGCTCTCAAACGTACTGTAAAGGCAACGAAATGACAGTGAAAGAAGATGATGGATGCTTCATAATATCGAGACGGAAACGTTTTTGAATAATAGAAGTGACAAACCGTTCGGTGGTTTTATTTAGCAATAGGTAAGCTAAGCTTATAGTTATTTTGATATCACTCTGGTACTTAAAGAAGAAGTATCCTAAACGTGTGCACGGAATATAAATGATTAGTCAATATTTAATAAAGTGTGCAATAATATAAATCAGTAAGGTTTGGCTAATGTAAGGTAAAGGTTAGAATATTAATATGACGTTGGTAATCGTGTGATTATATGATCTTCACTACACAAACGCAATGGCAACATTCAATATTTTGGTCTAGTGTTTTATAAAATCATTGATCCCTATACCTTCAAATGCACCAGTGCTCCAAAGGTCTCGTGTTTGACTCTCAGTGGACCGGTATACAAAGGTCGTTTTTAGTTTTATAACACTTGTCGCACTAAACAAACAAAGTTACTTGATTGAATAATTTCGTAGGAGATGAACACACACGGAAAGATTAGATAATAACAAATTTCATACAAAGTGTATGGCCGAATAACTCACGTATATGCATAAAGCGTAAAGACTCTTGATGACAAAGAAGTGAACGAATGAAAAATCAATATTGAATACATAAATGATTAAAAAAATAAACGAATAAACAAACAAAATAATGATGGCGATGATGATAATCATGACGATGCTAATGCGTATAATAATGCTAACAATCATTGTGATAAAAATAATCATAATAGCAATAATAATAATTATAATAAGAAAACAAAAATAATGATAATGATAATAATGAAAATTAAATGAACAAAAACAATGATAATAATAATAATAACAATAACTATTTTGTCCAATATATTATCGATCAAAGCAAAGATATTGCCTAGTTGATGATAATATTCAGTTAACAACCCTATTATAATGATCCGTCTCTTTTTACTTTAGAAATCTTAATGGAGACGAAATTGCGAAACTCAAAGGGCATGCACATCTTACAAATGGCTTGTAGATAAAATTTAGTTCTTGTCATTGGATAATAGAGACTTTTAGATTGAGTGGACTAGAACACGACGAACGCCGACTGATCATGCGTGTCAACGTACTCAACTGCCCATGTAGACTACAATTAGAAATCTTTTAGATTGCACTCGACGATATACATGCATGCAGGAAGTAACACTATGAATATGACGGACAAAGAAAGAGGACAAAATATACAGTTCCTCATTCTACCCTCAACAATAGGCCATTTTCGTAATGTAACCAAATTTGGGAGGTGGGGTAAGAGGATATATTTTTAATATTTTTTTTGTCTCAAAAATTTCGCAACGACTCAGCAAGCCGCTGAATAAGCAGGGGGGGGGATAAGAGGACATATTTTTTTTTTTTTTTTTTTTTTAGGGGGGGGGGGGTCTCAAAAATTTCGTAACGACTCAGCCAGCCGGTGAATAAGCGGGGGGGGGGGGGGGGGGGGAGCACATTTTTTTTGTGTCTCATAATTTGAAAATTTGGCCGATTGATATTTCGTTTCGTTGGGGGGGGGGGGCATAGACAGCGTTTTTGGGTCACCCATTATCACTATTTTTTAAATATTTTTTAATTATTTGTATTATTATTATTTTGTTATATTAAAAAACAAAAACAAAGGGAGGGGGGTTTCCTAAAAAACACACACATAAAAAAAGTTAAAGGGGGGTTCAACCCCCCCCCCCCCCCCGCCCTGCCTACGCGCCTGACTGTCTGAATACAATTGGGAAAGGTTATTATGCGATATAATAACCTAATGAATACTTTGAAGCTTCGGAATGATCGAAATGAAAAGAAATTGATTCCGTCTTGTTGGAGACCACAATCATGTACTGCCCTCGGAAATGGGTTTATGAGGCTCTATAGAAATGTTTGGTCCAAACTTCTCTATTTCTTGTCGTATTTCGAATCGGAGGGCATTGTACCAGCTATTTTTTTCAGGGGGAAATTTCCACTACGATATTCTTCCAAACTGCCATGCAAAGATTGAGTAAAAGCTGAAAAATAAGTTATCATGTTTACCAGAACTCAACCTCCTTTTTAAAATGATAAATATGAAGCAAGTGTAGGTCAATAAACGAGCACAATGTGGTATGTCATTTGATATTTGTTCAAGGTGTCATAATAATAGAAGAAGGACGATTTAAGATTGGAATAAAGTTTATATATCTAGCGAGTTGACTATTTGTTTATGATCGACCTGACAATGTGTGATATTGGTTCTGATGTCGAACCTTGCATCCCAAGTCACAAAACATAATAACTGATATTAAAACAAATATTGACTAAAATATATTTCAAGAAGATTTTCTAAAGCCTAACAATAATGGCAATTATGTGATGAATGACGTGACCGTGTGTAATATTGGTTCTATCTTCTATATTTCAAGAAGATTTTCTAAAGCCTAACAATAATGGCAATTATGTGATGAATGACGTGACCGTGTGTAATATTGGTTCTGATTTCGAACCTTGCATCCCAAGTCACAAACATACAAATTAACAAATGTATTTGCTACTGCTATGAAAACTAATATTGACTAAAATAAATTTCAAGAAGACTTTCTGAAGACAAACAATTCAATGACAATGACAATGATTTTTTAATTTCTTTAACGACCCCTTCGGGGGCATGGGAGAAATACAGTTAAATAGTACAAATATAATGTTCAACAATGATATTAATATGAAAAATATATACAAAACACACAGAAAATCTTTGGCAGCGAACAAAAAAAAATGAAGGCAAGCTTTTAGAGATACTGTCAAAAATACATAATACCCTTTATCTCAACTGGCAGTACTAACAATTTGATACTAAAAACGACAACGACCCATTAAACCAAAAGTCTAACGTATTAAAAAGAACAAAACAAAATTATCCAAACTAATTTGGAAAGGTTCTTTAACTGCTTAACAGAATTTTCATAGAATAACTGATGAAATTTGACAACATTAGGTCTACTGTAATGATATTTCTTAACATACTGCTTACGAAATTCATTGAAAGCTGGGCACACCAGAACATAATGCAATTTATCACCCTGTATCTTATTGTTACATAGGGAACATAACTCAAGAGGTTGATCAGATAAATAACGATATTTGGTAAAAAGCAGCTTATTATTACCACAACGAAAATTACAATTATAGCAATTATCGAGTCATACGAGTGTGTTCATAAGATAAAGGCAACATATAAGAATAAGAGAGATAGGTAGAGAAAGAGAAAGAGAGAGAAAGAGGGAAAGGGGAGGAGGCAAGAGGTAAAATGATGGTGAAGAAGAACGCTCTCTATATAGCAACAAACATAATAACATAATGTTGACTAGCGCTTGGTTAAAGCTCAACTTAATGTTGATTTTAACCTTAACTTTAACAAAGGATATTAGAGCAAGGTCTACGTCTTTCCTTGTTTAACTCGCACCCGTTTCATAAATTGAATTACTAGAATATTATCCAACAAAAGGGAGCACATCCTTCACCAAAGTTTTATATTCTATCGTATCATTCTACTATTTTAAAAAAAACAAAGGCATTTTGAGAAATGATAAAGTTGAGATTGTTTGATTCAATATTCGTGGATATAAAATATGTTTTGTAGGAACAAAACTGACGCGCACTAAGAGTTTTTGTGAAAAAGAGTAGGAACAAAACTGAATTCAGCCCTGTTCAATATCACATTCAAATAAATCTCAAAAAATGTCTAAGCATTATATTAACTGTATTTGAAGTGGAGTGGACCAATCTCTGATTCATGCTGTTCTACTCATCCACAACGACGCACAGAGAATGTAAAAGCATTTGTCCATGGTGAAAGTAAGATGGTAAGACCCTTCCCTCCTCCCCTCCCTCCCACAAAAGTGGATTTGCTAATTCGCATTTCATCCACCTAGCAAGATTGATGCTCCCTCCCACTATATTCGATCTAGTGCCCACTCAATGGCTGAAGTAAGCTACACCACTGTATCTGACTAGTATGGAGACGAAGTGACAATACTTGCCTTCCTCCGGCTGAGGGGTGGTGATCATTGGCGTCGTCGCAGGTGGTTCGGTTGGTGTACCTACTATAGGCTCAAATTCACCTTCACAATTACAATCACCCCCTGCGAAGATGACAGACACGCTGATGACGCAGGCGGCAACGAGAAGGAAGATGACCCCGAACGTGAACCAATAGACGCCATTGTTGTTCTTAGGTTGCTTGATATCTTCTTGGCTCTCGGCAAAACCATTGGCAAGCTGGTCGGTTGACGTCATTTCAAGAGATTTTGTAGCCATAATCGCAGTGAATTTAGTCCTTATCCCAAGTAATCACTACTTTCCTAGCCTCGTCCTCTCGTTGAAGTTCTCTCGACAGAGCCCACCTGGGCGATCCTTATCCTCGGTTCCCTCTCAATATCAACTCTTTCTGGGTAACTTCTGACGTTGTTGACCACCACAGGTTTGTCTACTCTCTTTTCCGAGACAACGCGTTTGTAGAACTCAAATAGCAGAGAACTGAAGATGGAAGCTAAATCACGGTTGCAACCATGCATCATGCTCGAATCATAACTACCGATGAGATTCCACAAAAACGCTTTTGTGTCAAACTAAATGAAAATCTAGGACGCGCACTATGACCATGATGAATGGGTCATGTAAAGAACATGAACTTTGAACGGGATGACTTTGCATTCGTAACAGTCTGAAGGTGACTTAATCATTGATTTTATATTTCTCAAAGCTCCGATTCTTTTTCGTACATAACATAGTTTATACAAAACTGCAACATAATTATAACAAAGCTATTTTATCAATTTTTTTAATAAATACAACATAATTCATGGTTCATCATTTCTCAATGTATAGAACGACAATAAATCATAATCACATAATAGAAAAATATTACGGCACTTCACAATTATTTCTAACCCAAAACTGGAACAAAACAATGACCTTTTCAGAAAAAGACTGAATACTTAAAAAAAAAAATATATAACAAAAAATGAGTTTCATATTTTTCAACATATCAAACAGAATTGAAATGTTGAGTTTTCTTTTATTAAAACACAATCTATCCCGAAACCCCACTTCCTTTCCTCATCCCTAACTCCTTAGGCTTATCCCCTCCCCCTCCCTCTCTGGTTTAATTGATACTAAATCCATTCGTTTTGTTTTCCAGAGTGGATATAGGTCAGGATGGGATCGTTATGTAGCAGCCCCATTTGTTTCAGCTTGACTATCATGCTTAGACCCAACAAGCAAACAGAGTCAAGTGCGATAGTTTTGTTTGAAGTAGGTTACATATATCTTCTGTAGTTGTGTAAATTAAACCAAAATCAATCTGATGTAAGTTTAAAAGTATTAAGGTGCGGAAGAAAATTTAGACAAAAAGAAAGATAGAGAGACTCTTTGAGGCATTGACGAAATGCATAATTCATTCAGTCGTATTCATCAATTCCTGCTGAATAAAACTTCTCTCTAACAGTTATGTACGATCCATCTTGAAAACAACTTATTAATGCGTAACATCCTTTAGTCAGGAGTTCCACGAGAGAGAGAGAGAGAGAGAGAGAGAGAGAGAGAGAGAGAGAGAGAGAGCAGACTAGCCTACATGATATAGTACCTTTTCAACTGAAAGAACTTTTTAGCATTGATCTACTACAAAACAATATCGAGGACGTTTTATATGAATGAACATCAATCTAGATCCAGTTTAGTTTTTTTTAATATTAATAACTGATAAAAATGCTCTGACATACATTACAGGGAAACAAAATGGCCGCACATAGTCAGTCACACCGTCAAACCTCTTAAGACTTAATTACTATTATTTACAAGATCTACCATTCAGAATAAACAATTTGTGTCACTATTGCATAACCAGATCTAGTGAATAACACCATCTTTGTAGACACGCCTATTGGACTTATTTTTCTGTTTTGTTTTGCTTTAATCTCTACTGTTCAAATATAATCACAGATAGAAGTGCATGTATTGCTTAGTTACGGTGTAAGTCGTGTACAGAAACGTTAGACATCAAGCAAGGTTCCTTTAAACACATATCTCTTAATTACTAACTATCATGCGACGAAACATATAGGTTACACACAAGTTCTAGAAACCAAACCTTTTAGCATCAATAAGAGAGAGATAGGGAAAGAGAGAGAGAGAGAGAGAGAGAGAGAGAGAGAGGGAGAACAAGAGGGGGGGGGGAGAGGAAAAATCCTTAAATTATTTAGATATAGGTTGTTATTATTTGGAATGTTTGTCACGACAGAAAAACTCCAGTTGTATTATTTCCCTGCACTTGTCGCCTCTTCTCCGAAATTATTTCTGGTCCACAACGAAGAGACAAACAACTCGCTTGCTCGGGCAAGTATAGTCTAGTTCTGGACCCTATATAGAACTAGACTAGGGCAAGTAGTGCTTTGGGATGAGGGGGATAGCAATAAGAAAACTATGAACAACAAGGGATAACAAGAAAAATAATAAGGTTATTAACTGAAAGATGTTAAGATTTTGTAAAGGTGAAGACAGGTTTTGGAAACGCCCCCCTTTCAAAAACTGAAATGGAAGCTCTTGTTACCAATCATATGAAAGAATATGTTTTGACTAATACGCTATGATACAAATTTTGCCAAGAAACCGCCTACTAATTTATATATTTGGTAAATTATTATATTTATTTGGACCGGATAGATATCGCGCACGTGTCCTATATACATCTTTCTGTGTAAAGTGTTTGTAACTTTACTCAGGACAGGGCCAAATTTCTTATTATTTTGATGATTCCAGAACCTTGCAGTACACACCAATACTTATATGCTAAATGATCAACCTTTTCTGATCGATTACACAACGTTTCTTTCACATTGCAATCGCATGACCATAACTGGTCTTTATCTGATAGTTTTAAAGTAAGTTTTGTGACCCCTCAGAACACCACGTAATGAAACGAATGCGCGGTGGGGGTATTCTAGGATGGATGTGCAAGACGCACCAACTAGGCCTACTTGGGAAACTAAAAGATAACAAAAGGAGACGAATTCTTCGCCATACATAACCATGGACGAAAACTTTGGCCAGAGATCACAAATGTGGGTGTATACTGTATACTAATGTAGACGTGACCATAATGAATTGAGAGAGATAGTTGTGACATGAGCACGGTCATAGGCTAAATCATGCGCCTTTATAAATAGTTCCTTCACACGTTTAATATCTGCGGGAGGGAACTATTTAGACCTCCATGAAATGACTACCAATCGGCAAACATTTTCTGCTGTCGCTAAATGTCTCTGACCCGAATATTTATAACGTAGAATGGCAATGGAGGTAGGGGCGGATCCACGTGGCGATTTTTCCAGCCCGGCCCCCCTAACCCCCCAAAACGGTAAAAAAAATAGGATAATAACGTAAATTTAACCTCTTTTTAATAAGTTCCCCCTCCCCCCCCTCCCCCCTTCCCCCCCCCCCCCCCCCCGTTTATTAACCGATCAGCTGAGTCCGCGCTAAATTTTTCCTCTAAAACTGGATAAAAAAAAAAAGTGCTCTTACCCCCCGCCCCTTACCCCGCTTAATCATCGGCCAGCTGAATCGGCCCTAAATTTTGCCTCAAAAACTGGACGAAAAAAAATGGCTCTTACCCCCCCCCCTCCGCTTATTCACCAGCCGGCTGAGTCGGCGCTAAAAAAAAAATTATCACGAATTGGGCCCCCCCCCCCCTCCTGCCGCCGGCTGGATCCGCCACTGAATGGAGGTAATAGTTAGATAGGTCTTTGCAACGAATTGTGGACAACCTCATAATTTATTCAAGCTCTTTTAATGAATACACATGATAAGATATCAATTTTGATCAGTAAACTAATTTTGTAGACCTACACATTATGATAAGGAATGTGGGTTAGGCTTCGGGTTACGTTAAACGTTTAGGATTCAGGGTAACATTAGGGTTAATATTCAATTCGACGAGCAAAGCAATTGCTCTTCGCTCTTATCTATCGCGCAGCTCGCATTTAAAATTTCACTTGCCACCAGTTGAATTCCATGAGAGAAAAGGAGTTGGTCCACGATTTCATGGGGACTTTGATAGCAGCACAAGAAATTCCGAATAATTTGAAATTGACATTCATGCAGTATGGTGACGTGTCAAGCAAAAGTCGCTACTTTTTGGTCCTCACTTTTCTGAAGCATCAAACCTCAGTTAACAACAGTTATTGAAACGGCCCAGACAATATGGCATTTTGAGTGCACAGTCGAAAAAGATCAGTGCATTTTGCAACTTTTCACTTTTGGCATTGTCCCTTATTATAGTACCGAAGTTTGACTTACCTCGGTAAATAACCCTATCCGTATCCGGACACCTACCCCCTGGACATCCACCCCCGGATTACCACCCCCAGGAACGGGTCAATTTCGCTATTCATAAGGACCGCTATTCATAAGGTCCGCTATCCGTAAGGACCGCTATAATCAGAGAAGACGGTCGGTATTCATAATATGAGAAGAGGGTCGCTATTCATAATACAAAATCGGGGTCGTTATTCACAAGGGTTGCTATTCATATTAAGAGAAGCGGGTCGCTATTCATAATACGAAATGAGGGTCGCTATCGCTATTCATAATAGGAGCAGAGTGTCGCTGATGTTGCGATCTATAGTATATGATCAGAAAATAAAGTGAGTCAGCTACGGCCAAGAAGAGACAGTGCTGTTTTTCTATCCGTGGCATAAACTCAACTCAAACTCAATAGCGACCCTCATTTCGTATTATGAATAGCGAACCTCTATTCCTATTTTGAATAGCGACCCTCATTTCGTATTATGAATAGCGACCCTCATTTCGCATTATGTATAGCGAACCTCCACTCTTATTATGAATAGCGACCCTAATTTTGTATCATAATAGCGACCCTCTATTCGTATTATGAATAGAGACCCTCATTTCGTGTTATGAATAGTTATCCTTATGAGTAGTGACCCCCAATGTAAATTGAATAGCGACCCCAATTTCGTATTATTAATAGCGGTCCTCATGATTAATGACCCTCAATATGAATTATGAATAGCGACCCTTATGATTAACGGTCCTTATTTCTTTATGAATAGCGACCCTCTTCTCCCATTATGAAATACCTGCAGGTATGGGAAGTTCCACGTTATGAATAGCGGTCCTTATGAATAACGGTCCTTATGAATAGCGAATAGACCTCAGTCATCCACCCCCTAGGTCAACTACCCCCTAGGACAACTACCCCCTAGAGCAACCACCCTCTAGGACGAATACCCCCAGGACAACTACCCCCCCCCCAGGGAAACTACCAACAGGACAACTAACTCCCAGACAACTAGCCCTAGGATGGTTATCCGGAGGGAAGTCATCCTAGAGGATGTAGAGGATGGTTGTCGTAGGGGTTATTGTCCAGGGGGTAGTTGTCCGTGGGTAGTTGTCCTATGGGGTAGTTGTCCTAGGGGTAGTTGTCCGGGGGTAGTTGTCCTAGGGGATAGTTGTCTGGGGAGTTGTCCGTGGGGTAGTTGTCCCGGGGGGGGTAGTCGTCCTAGAGGATGGTTGCCCTAGGGGGTAGTTGTCCTATGGGGTAGTTGTCCTAGGGGGTATTTGATAGGGATGGGTTTTCCGGGGTGGCTGTCCGGGGGGTAGGTGTCCTAGGTCCTAGAACCATTCCAATCATGTCCTTTTCTGGTTCCAAATTCAGTTGAAGTTCCCGGATGATAGAGCAACACGAAAACATTATTGATCTGTCATCCGGGTAGCGCTAAAGATATAATACACTGATTTACCACTTGGAAGACTTATATAGATAATAATTGATCATACACCCACAACAAAAAGTGAGTCATTTGACACATTTAAGCATAATTTTCGTGAGTCAGGTGTAAATTGACTCATTAGTAACAACCAATGAGTCTCTATTGACTCATTTATATTTCACCAGTGTGTCAATCATGAGCTGACGCATTTGCAAAATGCTTCGACTGGCACATGGTCGTAAAAAATGAGTCAAGATCGACATAAGAGCATTTTAGAAGAAAAAAGTGATTCAACTTGAAAGTGAGGCTGTATACATGCGCGCGCATGCTTTCGTGACGTCATCCAAAATGCGCATTCTCGAGCCATATTTGAATTCCCGATCGACGACGCGACGTCGCCATCTTATATCTTGGATTCAGAAGAGTTTTGACTGCAGCTAGTGAAAAATTGGTACGCATAATTATTCATATGGTTTTAAACGATGATTTTTATGACTGGATTCGTGGGCTGAATCTTCTGATTATTATACAAATGATGCATGCGTTCATTTTACGATATCCGCACTCGAGTTGATGAGGCTGTGTGTAACTTAACTATACAGATTCTACTGTATCGCACCAGGGACGTGATAGAGAAGGACTGGAATCAAGCCGCTCTCCTTTGACCCCATGCTCCAAGCCGCCGAAAAGTTATGCGCTAATCTGCAACTGTTGACCAGGTGCAGGTGAGATAAAAGAGCGCATGACATTTCAGGAGTTAGAATTCCTACATCAGAAAATGGTATCACTGCAACTGTTCGCTGTCCCTTCCAATGATTTCTCATCCATTGTTGAATGTGTAAAGACTAGAACAAGCGAACACAAACTTGTGTACTTTCATCCTTTTTTAAACTTGAAAAATACAAAAAAACACGCGAAAACACGCATTAGCAAACTTAATGTTATTGAAGATTGTAAACCATGGATCAAATAACGGGACATTAAAGCATGCACAAATTAGCGCATCATCCTAAAATATTGAGTTTTTGACAGGATGTAATTTTTCTTTTACCAACTCTGGCACACAAATTAAAGGAAGGACGGAGTTTTAAATTTTAAAATTTGTTTGATGCACTATTCCCAATAAAATCCCCATATAAAGTTTTTGATTTACACTAAAATTTTGCCGGTAATTTAATATTTTGTAATAAATGTAAAACTGGTGCCTGGCTTCCGAAAGTCCCCGCAGTGGAAGCGCGGTTCGGAGCATGGAACTTCAAAGCCAAGTGGAATGTTACACATCCCATTGTTACGCTTTAGAACTCAAGAATGCGTTTGAATAAATTACAAGAGTTTCGCCTCCTTTTCTTTCACCTCCCTGATCGCACGAAGCCGTGTCGAATGAAAACATGCATGATCTTGCATCATTGTTTTATACAACGAAACTCCTAGATCCTTGTTATTTGATGTAAAACGAATTAATTCAAGATTGTTTCGTGACAGTATGGGTGACAAATAAATCTCAAGTTAAGACTTGCGTACAAAGTAGATTTTTCAGATTCGGGTAGCGGGACCACCGATTACATCGCTAAAATGTGATATTTTAGGATATATTTTCCATTGCAAATGTGGACAGTGACTCTGGCATGGTATGTGTGTGATAGGCCTAGGGAGTAGGGGGGGTCTATGTCATGATGCACCCACAACAAAAAGTGAGTCACCCTTACTCAAATTGATGAGTCACTGGTTTGTCCGTACAGCGAAACACTTGAAGGATCATGTGAGTCACTATGACTCGATACAAATGAGTCTCTTAGATAAATAAGACTCATTTGTATCGAGTCATAGTGACTCACATGATCCTTCAAGTGTTTCGCTGTACGGACAAACCAGTGACTCATCAATTTGAGTAAGGGTGACTCACTTTTTGTTGTGGGTGTACTTAAAGTTCCAAACATTTTGTTTTTGTTTTTGTTTGATTGGGTGGGGGGGGGGGGTATACCAGATAATAAACCATACGAAAAAAAGGAAATATCTAGTCTATGCTGTCATTCATGTAAATTTTTATGTAGGATCCTTGCACACATGTACATGTATATGAACAAAATGGTTCTTTAGTAATGAAATTTGTTGTAACTTGTGTACACATGCACACCTTTCGGGGTAACTACACACACACAGACTCACTAGACACACCAACAGATAGTTCGGTTCAGTACGAATTATTTTTCATATTTCACATTTCACAGTACTCAATGTCGGTTTTGTTTACAAGAAATATAATGATGATAATAATAAAAAGGTATTTGAATAAACATAAAGGTTAGTGTATACACACAAATGACAAAATCTATTAAATCACTTTAGGTTGCTTGTATTACTTGTAAGTTTAATGCAATTAAAGTAAAATTGGAGATGAGGATATGAGAATACGATTGATTTATTTGACAACTGATATTTTGTTTTTTAATAATTTATTTACTGATGCACTTTTACAAGAAAAATTGATATTTTTAAAATGTATCTGCTATTAGGGTTTACATACAAAGATAATATCGACAAACCTTCATTAATTGTGTAAGTAAAAGCTCTTAAAAGTTACATGAAACTGTATTATTTTGTTGTATATAAGTAAATACAAAACAAACAAGTTTTACATTCATATTCGTATAAACAAATTTAAAAAAAAAATCTTGCCAAAGAATGGAACTAGGCTCGGCTAGCACTTGTGCTAACTTATAGTTCCCATTAACAACTTCACCTAAATTATAGTAATACACATATTCACGTATATATCTTTTGTACATTTAATAGTATGCAGAGCTATGTCTAAATATCGTTTTAAAACCATTACTGTTCAATCAATATTATTCTTATGTTACGTATACATGTATCAGTATTATTATTTGCATTGTATGGTTGTTCAGATTAACTGTCATTATTGTGATGTGTTGTTGTTAATAAATTCAAATTCAAATTCTTCACTGGACCATAATGGCTTTTTCAGATAGGCTATGACGCGGTAAACCGCTGCAAAAAAAGCCACAGCTTTTCTTTTTAACGTGTAAATGAATGTCGCTTGCGCACATCAAAATGTATTTAAGCTTATATAATTCACTGAATTCTGTGTTATAAAAAACGAAAATAGAAGCGTACATTACATTTACGTCATTGTAAAAACAAAAAAACCAAACAAAAACCGCCGCGATTTACCACCTCATCTGCACGAGCCTTAAAAAGATCTCTTATTCTTGGGTCTTGTATGAGAACGGACCCTTAGACATACGGGACATTCCGAAGACCACGCCCACAGCGATTAGTACTCCTAATACGAACATACCGATGCCCATCCCAACTAGAGCACCTGAAAAGAAAAACAAACATGTATTTTATTAGTTTCCATACAATTCAAAAATAGAGTTTAATTTTTCCACAATTTAATTTTGAAATCATTATTTATCAAATCATAGTGCAAACGGCAAGGACGTTTTTGAAGAATATATATATTTGTTATCCTTTCAGATATCCTATTATTAGTTTATTTTACCTGATATCCTTATTTCTGTAGTTGTGCTTTTGAAAATCCGCGTTATTAACCTCTGTTTACGTTTAAATAGAAAATATCAACAACAAATACTTGAAAAAGCCTGTCCATATTTAATTTGTAAATATCATTAACCTTATTAAAGGCTTGTTCATTTATGAAGTGGAAAGCTGCGGCGGTATGTTTTATAACAATTATTGTCCTATACTACGCGCATTCACTGAGCTCTGTGTTATAGGATACATAAATGTAAAGTGTATTAATACACTTACGTCATTATTATTTAAAAAATTGCCGTAGTTCACCACCTCATATATATATATATATATATATATATAAAATGTTTCATTCCTTAGATAGTTGTACAGTAATCGAGATCAAGATATGTTACATTCTTATAACCACCAACAATCACTTCATTTGTGATTTCAGTTTCATTTTGTGTATATTACAATAACATTTTAAATTTATATTAATCTTTTTCCCCCTTACCCACAGAGAATCCTCCCGACGTTACAGGTGCAACGAAATCGGCTCGAAGACTCTTTCTTGCAACTGGTAGATCAACGATCTAAAACAAAATCACAGAGACCGATTTGATATAGGTAGTCATTACAATACCGAGACGGTTCTACTCCATACATTTAACAATTCATTTGCACAGCAAACCAAAATCGTTTTAGAAATGCATTTATTTAGCTCTTGAACGATATAGACATTATTGTAAATACACACAACAAACGAAAGAGTGTTTTATCTTACACACTAAGAAAAAATGGTGCAAGTATGCACCTTTAGGGGTGCAAACCGATGCAACAATAGCAGCACCATTAGGGGTTAAATCCTGCACCCTTTAAAAGGGTGCCAGATTGAACCTTTCAGGAGACATGTTAGTACCCTGAATGGTTCATGCTCCATTAGGGGTTCAAACCGATGCAATAGCAGCACCTTTATTGGTTCAATCCTGCACCCTTTAAAAGATGCAATCCTGCACCCATCATCGAGGAATACTGGTAAAATCTGCTCGTACACAAATACATATTAAACATGCATGACGTTTCTTGGTTAGTATAATCGATATATCTATTGCTAAAACGTAAATGTAATTGTAACATGATCAGACAAAACAATATATTAGTTAATGATTGCCAAAGGAAAATACAAATCACAAAATTGATGTACATTGTCATAATTTGCTTAACAAATCATGATAAATGTATTTTTATGTGAACACGTGGAAAGTAATCATGAATATGCATGCAATATGCAAACTTTTATTTTGCACCCTTTTTTGGTCGATAGGGTTCATTTTTGTGGGAAGGGTGTAAAATCTTATATTGCACCCTTTTTTGAACCCCTTTTCCTTCAATAGGATTCATTTTTATGTAAAGGGTGCAAACTCTTAATTTGCACCCTTTTTTCTTAGAGTGTAAAGACCACATTCTAAAAATAAAGTTTGCACAATTTAAACTCACATATCCCTGGATCTATTCAAAGCATTCTATAAAACTCGAATAATTGCCATGCCATCACATTTAGCATATTCGTATAATTAAACATAATTAGCACAGGGGGTGCGGGAATAATTATGTTTACGTATGTGTGTGTGTGTGTGTGTGTGTGTGTGTGTGTGTGTGTTTCTTGTTGGGGGGGGGGGTAAACATACCTGTCCCTCGCTCCTGAATGTGATCATCAATCCCTCATTTATGGATTTGTCGAGTTTCTGATGAGACTCGTCGAGAGTGATTTGTTGTGTCATGTTGACGACGTCTCCCTGTACAGGTGGTATCCCGAGGAGTTTGAAGTAAATCGTCATTAATCCGCTACTGCCTTCGATAGCCTGAGAGAGAGAGAGAGAGAGAGAGAGAGAGAGGGGGAGAGAGAGAGAGATAGAGAGATACAATTTACAATATCGCCTCTTTTATTGTTATTCAGAAATAAACTGTTGATGACGTAGAAGTATAGTACACGTTGTAAGTGTCAAGGAAAGAAAAATAGTCTTTAAATTAAAATGTTTCATTTGATCTGATCCCTCGGTAGCCTCTTTGTGTATTTACCCCCCCCCCCCCCAAAAAAAAAAAAAAAAAAAAAAAAAATCAAAAATCAATGAGTTGTTTGTTTTTCGGACACGAGACGATTGCACGATTTTAAGCAAACATAGAAGTGTGCACCATCTCTACTCCTTATAGAGTATTCCTACATTTTGTAATGTTCACATGCGTTTGGCAGTGACTGGTCTCACTGGACTTATATTTCTTTTTTAAAGGTCATAATATATCCCCTAAAGCAATAACTCTTATGATTTTGTCTTCGAAAACTACAGGTTTCGCAGATTATGGTCATATATTTTAAGGGGGAACACCCAATGTTGATTCTCACAAATGAAATGGTCAAACCGGGGCGGCGGTTCGCTGTTGGGGAACTTGTCTTACCTTTAATTTAACGGGAGGGGTATCATGATTGTCCCCCCTAAACGGCTGACTCAATAATATGTTAATTTGGTACATTACTCACCAGAGGACTAGAGATTCTAGATGCAGTTACGTTAGCTGCTTTAGCCAAGCTGTTAACCACTCCAAAGTAGAAAGAGTTTGTGCTATTTTGAACGTATACATCAAAGATATCTGTTGGGCACAATTAGAACAAAACAAAATTAATACCGAGATTTATGAAGGTGAAGTGAGAAACTGGGGAATGTGCAGGCAGACAAATTTTAATGGATATGTCCAGAGAGAGGGAGAGAGAGAGAGAGAGAGAGAGAAGGGGGGGAGAAAGAAAGGATGGGGGTGGGGTGGACGGGGGGGGGGGGGACAAACGCTTAATTTAAGATTTTGCCTAGGAAATAATGAATAATGGGTCAGGTATATTTTCTAAACACGAAATATCTATCACACCGTCGAGATTTTTTAAAGAGCCTTTCCCAGAAAGCTATTCCCATAAGACTGACTCACAGAGAGTAAACATCTTTAACTTTAGAAATAACCTAAAAGAAATTGATAATACAAGGACTAACATTTTTGCTCCATGTCTATGGCGAGCTCCTTGCTGTCCTTTGAATCATAGCACACACTAACATCTGTCATGTAAGGGTTAAACGCGTCGTAATTGAGAGCGAAGAAATGCTGCGACACGCTCGATTTGATTGGAATAGGTATATTCCCCTGTTTGAAAGAAAGATACGAGAAAGAAAACATTGATATATCGATAATAGTTGGATCAAATGATCCGTTTAAAAAGGAAAAAGCAATGTATGCATTATAACAAAAAATTATTTCCAGTTTAAATGATACCGAATTTCGATATATTCATGTAAATGTTTATAATAATTTTATAATTCGGTGTGTGGTGAGACAGGAGTGTAAAGTCTGACAGACATTAGCGCTACACAGGAACACACTATCATTATTATTATCATATTCATCATCTTTTATTATTATTACAGTTATTATCAATAGTATTGTTATTTTTGTTATTATTATCAATGTAAAATCAGGATATGTTATACCACAAACACAAAGGCCCGCTTTTAAATGGGAGAAATCCAAAAAGCATTGGAAAAGGGAAGGAAAACATAAAGTATTATACATTCTATAGAAATTGGATATAGGTGATTCGAAATCAAAGGACACACTGATATTGTTGAACCGTCAAGGGCTTTACTTCAAAGTTTTTGTTAATATAAAGATGAAAAGACGAACATTGGTATCAAGTTGTATAATAATATTGGCAAAGTATGGGGAAATACCGTTTTATTTATGTCCTTTTTTAGGTATGATGATGATGATGATGGTTATAATAATGATAATAACAATAATAATAGTAATAATACTTTTAATGATAGTAATGATAATAATGATAATAATGAAAATGAAATAACAATAATGATGTTGATGATACTAATACATGTACAGCCTAATCATAATAATAATAGTAATAATGATAATAACGTTAATATTGAGATTCACAAACCTCTCTATTTATGATTGTGATAACGATAATAACGTTAAAGAACATTAAATAAACTATAACAACAATAATAATATGATATAAGAATTATCAAATTAAATTATCTCTCTCTGTTTTTCAACAAAAATTGTTCCTATATAGGCCAATACCATCACATGTTATCAATAATTTTGTTTAGGTATATAATATGTTCTCTTTTTGTATTGCATGTAAACAAGATGAATCTCCATACAGGACAATGAACAATTAAGTCTGTCTCTATCTAAGCCTAGATAGAAATCATTTTAATGCTTTATTTACAAAGATAATGAATTAATCAAAACATATCTACATCTGTTACACTGGTCAGAAGTGGTTTTATTACTTGTATATTGAATTTTATAACTGGTCCTATAAACCTATCAACAATGTTGAAAACTATTATTTTATTATCAACTATGTTTCCTTCTTCTTCTTCTTCTTCTTCTTCTTCTTCTTCTTCTATTTCTCTTCTTTCCCTTTCCCCTTCTTCGTCTTCTTTTAATTATCTTTATCATACCATTCACACGAATAAATGTCTTAATGTTTTGTGTTCCTATTTCGCATTGGACTATTTACATGCATTTTATATGTTGCAGTTTTATTTGTAAATTCATCAGCTGTTAGGGAATTTGAATTATTATCGATAAACCCTATAAACTCGAATCAATTCAATTCAATTCAATAAACAAGGAAAGATCCCATCACTTTTTACCTTTATGGTGTATGAGACGTCGAGCGCTACGGGGATATGGTTTACAGCATGATGGAATTTAGCTGCTGAGCTCCAACTTTCCTGTTGAGAAATGAATCGGGTAGATTAATTCAGAATATCAATACTTATTTGTTCATTCATTAAGCCTCGTTCAGTTATGACGCGGCAAAAAATGGCGTTTTTAAAAATATTTAATAAGGACGTTGATGCAAAAAGAGTTGGACAAAGCTTTCTTCGATAGTCCTTGGGATTATGTTAACTTGTAAATCATTTTTAATTTATATCGCATCTACTTCTATATTTAGTAAAATGTGTGACATTCAAATAAATCATGATCTTATTTCACTTTATGTTACTTTGACTTATCTGAATTCTCAGCTGCTTTTCATCAATAAATCAAACATTTTTGAAAAAGGTAGTCTTACATACGTTTTTCTTTCTCATCATGCGTATTTAGTATTTTACATTATAATAACGCATTATTACTTCAATGCGCGTAACATGTTACATCGTTATTATCAATGTTAAGATCCAATTCTTTGAATGTTGAAACGCGCTTAATATTCACATTTCTTTATGATAATTATTTTTTAATCTGTCACATTTTTGGTAAAATCAATTAAGAAAAGAAGAATAAATACTTACATTTGCAAAGAAATATTCCAAGGTCATATTTGAGGTCATACCGGGTCCGGCGTCGTAGTCATTGATTTGGGCGATCCAAGATTCCACAGGAATTTTCCTTCTAATGGACTGAAACATCAAATATCATACGAATTAGTAAGGGGGAATTAAATAGTTAATATGACACTTTAAAAAAATGAATAGTAATAATAATGATAGTAATAATATTACTTATAACAACAATAATTATAATAATGAAAAATAATATAAGACATTTTTTATTTAAAGGCGCCATCTTGCACTTGAAATCAAATGCTGAAGGCGCAATTGTGTAAACAAAAATAACACACATCAAACAAACAAACAGGTATATGTATGATTTAACCTAAACATTACATTGCAATTGCTATTTATTTTTTTCTTTATAGAAAGCAGAAATTAGAAAAAGAATATTTGATTAAAACGCACAGAAATCGCTGCAAAAGTTGCAATCTGTGTATGACAATGTTAGACTTCTAGTAAACTTTTATAGCATAAGCAATTTAAGCAGTTTGTGGTCACGAAAGCAAGTTCCCTTTGAAATAGGGTTTATCTGCTGAGAACCAAAAGACGTTAACCTTGTATTATGGCTCTCAAAATTCCCTGGTACGTGTCCAGTATGACTTTTCTCCACTTGTTTCTTCCCAATTTGTTTCTTCCCCAAATTATACAGATCTTGATATAACCATTAATAACGTTATAGTAATACCAGTCAATGGTCATAACAAGAGGTTTTGACGGACGGAATTGCCCTGTAATCATCTGCTCCTGGTTTCTCTTGAGCTGGTCAGCTTATCCTTAAAATTAGATTTCCAAAACCCTCATCATTTTCCATACTTTGGAGGTTTGGATTAATCGTACCAACACAAAAGTCTTGAAAAAGTCTCAATTTCTATGCTCATGTATTTACCTGACCTTCGTAAACCCAGTTGACTTTGCCGAGTTGGAGGAAACTTGAGATTGATCTAAGGTAGACATGTTCACCATCATCACTCCCAGCCTCACCCGTATAGACAGGGATGGGACCAACTTTGCAGGAACTCTTGGCAATATCAATCTGAAAACTCAATCCTGAATCAATCCAAAATAATTAAGATTGATTAATGGAGGTCAATATTTAACAAAAAAGATTATGAAATGAAAACGCGAATAAAAACTGTATGGAGACAAATGAAACAAAAATAGAATGATGAAAGGGGGGTGGAGGTGCAAATGAAGTGAACTTGAATCGGTGAATTCGAAACTATCTCCTTGGAACCGGAAGGGCGTTCACTCGTATATTTTAACACATAGTTAACACCTTTCTGGCTCTAAACATACGATTGTAATGAATTTGAGGTGAAAGACAGTGAGATTTGAAGGTAATTATTTAAATTGGGGTCCGGGGTAGAAATCACACCCAGCGTCACCTGTATAGACAGGGGTGGGTCCAACCTTGCAGGAATCCGTGGCAAGGTCAATCAGCAAACTCAGTCATGAATCAATCCTAACATAATACAACATTTTGATAATACTTTTGTCTCCTCAGGGAAGCCTCATTAGCATCAATGCTGTTCTTCATCAGGGCCCTAAAATTATCATTTGAACCCTCAACCCTTGGACTGAGAGTCAAGTGAATACCACGACACCTCATTGACTGATGAATGATGTTTATTGATATCATGAATGATACTGATTAATGGCGATTTGGTCGTATTCACCCGGGGTAGCCACTTCATTGTTATAAGTGAGCATCGTACGGTCCCTGCAATTGTTATTGCCGCAGAATTGTCAGGTACCCACCTATAGGTGAAGTTTTTAAAATGTGGACAAAACACCGAGCGCCGAGAGAGGATCGAATCCAGAACCTCACGTATGAAAGTCAAGACCTATCATCAGTAAACCAGAGAACAGATGGTGAAACCATGAAGGGAAATAAAACCGGAGAGTCAGATGAAACAAAAATAGAGTAATGAACAAAGGGGAGCGAATGAAGTGAACATGGAATAGTAAACCAAGACACAAATTGTATTTGAAGGTAATTTGTGCATACTTGAATTTAAATCCTAAAGTTTAATACTGCCATCACGGAGAAATTAGTATCTTGATTACTAATCAAATAGATACAAATTAAAAATTATAGATTACAAATAGATATCACCAACTTTGCGAAGGCATGTTGTTGACGTTTGATTAGACCATTGGAATTATTCATGTATTAAACGTGACGTCATTGTGATAATTTTACTACATGCAGCCTATACCATCATTGATACTGAACGTTTCCAAAGTGTAAAAAGGAGATTAGAAAGACAAAGAAATGTTAATTACCAAGGTTATAGTCATGGACCTCTTTTAATGGATCCGTGGGTTCGCCTACACCCCATGGCTGGTACTGGAAAGCTACGATGTTTGCTTTGTAGTTATAATATTCCTGTTCAATGAGAAAAAATAAGGGTAAGTACGTACTACAATGTATGTGAAGTCTCAATTCAATTAAATTCATTACGTAGAAATGAGTCGAGATAGTAACACTAAAACAGTTGAGTAAAATTATAACCAATATTGTGTGAGTAAAAAAAAACATACATGTACATGTTTGTTGTGTAAAGTCTTACACGATTTTAGGTAAAATTGACAAATATCTACCCAACAAACATGCATGTTCCCTTCTTACCCAACATTACTTGAGTGTACATAATATGAATTCGTTAAAATCTAGATCATCGTTTAAACGAGCATTCTTAAGAACGTAGCGAATGGAGAAGAAGTTGTGTGTGTGTCTGTTTGGCGGGGGGGGGGGGAGGGGGGGGGGGGGGCGTGAAAGAATACCTACCCATATAGAATAGATACGGTTTGCCGGTGCTGGTACTGCTAACTCTACCCCTACATTGAAAACATCCATGTCAAACAACTCCGGGAATGGTTGCTCACTGATTCGATCCTCACATACGAATCCCAAAGGAGGCTGAAAGATTCAACATTTAATGCAGTTTAGTTCACTATGTATACATGTTCAGGAACTTCAGAAAGGAATTAGAAAGATAGATAACTTGTAGTCATAAACATTCGATATACATTTCGTCAATAACATGGACTCGAGTCACAGGACTAAGGCGTACATTACATTCAGATATTGCATAATATTATGTACACAGACTTTAATAGATACCATAACAACCAAATGCATTACATTTTATGCGTACAGTACTCAATACATTTACATATTCAGTTATCAAATCTAGCCTGAATTATTTGTTATGTTTCACCTCGAATGCTCTCTCCTCTGTGACGGGGCCTGGTATGACTTCAAAGAAATCATAGATGTGATTAAAACTGTGCCTGGTCGGGAGTGGAATGGGTTCACCTCCAGGACCGGGGACGTACGTCTGACCTGCCGAGTAGAAAAAAAGAAAGATTCCTTCGACAATTATTATTGCCCTGGCAAAATTTATCTCGTTTGCAATTTCTCTATAGATATCTAATAGAATAGAATGTAAACATATTTAACCGATGTAACCATAATGATAAACTTCTGCTTCAGCATTTATAAGAAACTACTGTAAATTGGGGTTAAGTATTTTGTAAACTCTATTAATTTACGAAATTATTGAACTTACACCCGGCAATTTGTTAAAGTTTGCAGATCATGGTGACATTTATTTGATCGGCTTTTCGATTGTTTGAGTGTACTCGACAGGTGACACTCTGAGCCTCTCTTATATTATTTTATATTATATTATATTTCCGTTATATGAAATACGACTTTTCTGGTAAAAACCGTATTCAGGGTCGCCTAAAAAGGACACCAAAGCTAATATCTAAAAATCTTTCTTATCGATTGAAATGACATCAAGATCATCAATTTTGGGATAATAGACGATTCTACGGCTATTTTGAGAGGCAATGTCGTTTTAAAAGTTTGCTTCATTTGAAGCCGTCGTAATGCTTGAAGCAGAGAGAAATCTGTGCATGACGACTGTTTTAATGAGAAAACTAAAACCAATAGTATACTGTTCAATAAGGTTGAAATGGATGTTTCTATCTTTTTGGGCCATAGTATCCCCACATTATACTTTTTTCATGTATATAGCATGAAAAGTACTTCGCTGTGTGTTAAAGAGCAAGCAGAGTTCAGGTAAAGGCGAAACATAACTTGTGACCTCTTTCATTCTCTGTATGTCAATGTGGAAGAGTATCATAGTAGAAATGTCTCAAGAAATATATGACAAGACGAGCTTAAAAGTCAAACTTTCAGGTCACATTTCTGAGTGTACAATGTAGTTCTACATACCCAGTTCTTTGTGTACTATTCTTTACTGTACGTGACTGTTAATTAGAATTACTCAATTTCTTTCCATTTTGAGGATTTCATGAGCTCAAACTACATAATCATTGCCCCGTACTACACCATCTATACCTTTGCCAATCGGTTCTATCACATCGCAACCCTTAAAGAGTAGATCTAACCTGTTCCGTTCATGACAGCTCTGACGGGGATTTCCGCACCACCTCCTGCCGTCTTGTGACTTGGAATGGAGAAGAAGTAGTCGAGGAGGTAGGTCTGGTTTCTGCTCTCAATGTACATACAGTTCTGCCAATGATTTGTCAGGATACCTCTCACATACTCCTGGCCGATGTACGTCTCATTATACTGTTTGAACCAAAGGTTTTTAAATAATAATGTAAATAATGTGCCTTGCTCAAAGATATATGTGCCATGCCGGGGTTCGAATCCACGACCTTCGTATGTCTTATTCAAATGATGAAACTACTCGACTACGACACATCTACATTTTAAAGACGTTATTATTATTTTAAAGAAATAGAATGAGCTTCACCTTATACCGTGGACGACCTTTGTTTTTAATTATTTTAACGGCTGATGCAGCGACAAAAGGCACGCTCAAAAATCAGTTTATAATAATGTTGATATGCCTTTAAGCAATCCAGAAAGGAACATTAAAAAACTGTAAATCACTTTAAGAGAAAACTAAGAACACGTATAATGACAAGTGGTTTCTCCTAAATATCTTCTATCCTGTTTTATTTTATTTTGTTGTTACATTTAATATGTTTATTGTAAGCGGCTTGAGCACCATCTGTTGGATGTAATGCGCATTATTAATGTTATTAACATCATCATTATTACCATTATCATTATTATTATTATCATTATCATTATTATTATTATCATTATTACAACGTACCAATCACTTGGCAGGGAAAGACTGAAGTTGAGACCGGAGTTGAGAGTGTTACTATTTAAGTTCGCACGCATGCGCCATCATGGCATTGAATATATTGTTTGAACGTGTATGAATTTCTACTAGAATACTTTTGAACGTGCGAAATAAAAAAATTAACGGAAGTACAATGGCATGCATATCAACATATGGCAAACTTAATATCATAATTTTAGCATGTCGTATTTTTTATTTTATATGTTTGTTTTTGGAACACGCATACACAGAATACACGCAATAGTAAATGATCAAGAAATGTATTTTTGTTGGATGCGGATCGGAATGCAACAAAAAAATAAAATAATAGTAATTCAAAGTTTATTTTCTTACATTCTTTGTTTAAATATTACAAAGTGGAAACGAGAAAAGGAGGCGTACAAAGGAAAAGACAAAGAAGGCATACAATTCTATTAATCAGGAACTTGTGTCGTTACTCCAGAGTAGAGAGAATAAATGACCTCACCTTTCCGCCAAAAGTAAAGATATCATTGATACCGCCGATGTGAGGGGAACCATCTACCAGTTCAAATCCATAGAGGTTGAAGGGCGTCGTTGACATATTGGCAACGAAACATCTATCACCTTTATCATTGGGGAAATCAGAAAGAGTACACTAGATGAAATAGGGTTCCGTAACCGATACATGATTCTTTTTAACTTTCAGATTTATGAACCCTTTAAAAAAAACTTTAGACAAACTGGGAATTAGATTAACTGATTATTGGAAAAATATACCAAATAGGTAGTAGACCAAGTGACTATTAGCCTAAATGGTCATTAGACCAAATGATAGATAGACGAAATGTGTATTTGACCATGTGGATAGTAGACTAGCTGAGTGTAGACCATATGGGAATAGACTAATTGGGGTAGTAGACGAACTGGTCATAGACCAAACGGCCATTCACTGACTTACCGACTGTGGTAATAGACTGTCCCGTCTTGTAGTCGTAAGAGGTATGGGATTCAAAGCCCCTTGACAGGGTATCAGCTGCTCCTCTGTTACCTGGTTCGTCTAAATACTCCTGCATCTCAAGTGAGTAGTCCTTATTCTTAATGTTAGCTGGAAAAATAAAACGAGATCAAGTTTACATTAGAAAAGCCTGTGTTGTCCTAACCATATCAATACTGACAGACAATTTTTATTTAAAGAAAACCACCCGGTTTTGTGGAAAATGAAACAAAGATCAACAACACTCACTCCAATTTAAGACAACATACCTACTGACATTACAAACTATAGATCAGTGAAATTGTGAAATGCAAAATGAATAGTGAGGATTTGTATTTTCATATAAAACGGTTTACGCTCTATATTTTCCATTCTGATCAAGGAGGAGGAGAGTAAGGCGAAAATTATATTAATTTTTTTGAAATCTAAATATCCATTGCTTTAACTGGTCACAATGTAAATGATGATGTGTTTTAGCATTCTTTTCACATCCATATATATATATATATATATCTACCACACCAGTTACCTCCCACTACCCCCCCCCCATATCTATTCATTGTCGATATGCCAATGCTATACCTGACATAATTTTGCTTCCATTATCCATTACTGAACACAGAACATTCAAAATTAACAAAATCTAGATCTTATGTAGTTATCCATATATATATATATATATATATATATATATATATTTACGAATAAGGCAATCAACATATACATAAGTTATGTTGATAGATACATGTACAATCTCATTGGTAATACCTACATTAATTAGGTACCAATCCATACCAGGGGATGTGCAAGGCACGTACAAATCAATATACTTCATTATGGCTTTAGCTAGACTGCCTCAAAGCGCAGAGAGCATTCACGGAATTACTTCCTACTAACGCAACGATGAAGCACCCCTGGGTTGAGAAAGGCAAATATAGATGAATACCTTGTCCAATACTTTACCTTCTATCCTGAGACGGTACTGAGTGGGTAGCTTAGGGAGGGGTGGACCCTCCCCCGTGGGTGGGGCTGGGATGCAGACATTAGGGTCTGGTTCCCCACCAACGAAGAGGGACACCGACACCAGGAAAGATGCAATCACAAGTCCTCTAGGTAGGTCCATCTCGGAAATGAACTAGAAGCAAGGTCTTCTGGAAAAGAAATTATATTTAATATCATCAAAATTGGGAGCGATCTTCATGAATGGTAATTTTAAAAAGAAATTCTACCTAGGACCTACTTCTGTTACTTCGCCAACGACGATGTAAAACGCCATAAAAACCAACAACAACCACAACAAGCCACTGTTATTATTGCTGCTGGTGAATGCTGTCACTGCAATCTTCGGTTTTATCAACGAGTTTTTTAAATATCCAAAGCAGGATTATCCATAACACTGTTATCATGAAAACGACAATTAATATAATGCAGCTAATACATATATAATATATATATAAGTGCGAGAATTCTCAACTCTGACATGACAACGGGTGTTCCAGAATATGTATGAACAAATATACATGGCATACAAACTTAATATCACTCAATCATAGTCAAGCGTCATGAACATAGCAAATTGATGCTTGACTATATGATTGAGTGATATTAAGTTTGTATGCCATGTATATTTGTTCATACAATGTATTTGTTTTTGTATGTGTTTGCACTTCAGAACCTGAAGAAAGCCTCACAAGCCGAAAGCTCGTAATAAAATTGTAAAGTACAGCTACGTCTCACGTTCCTAGACCATTTTATTCACGCCTATATATATATATATATATATATATATATATATATATATATATATATATATATATATTATATACACATACATAAAATCATACATACATAAAAACATACATAAATATATATATATATATATTTCGATCATAAACGACTGGACGTGACAAATCACATGCATCGTTTTTCAAAACCTGAAGGAAAAAAAAGGTAGACGAATTTTATCCTTACCGATTCTGCAGATGTTTATTTTAAATGCTTATCCGTTTTGGTTTTTTTGTTGTTTGTGATAACTCCAATTGTTGTGCCGCTATCCACCACGGACCTAGAGTGACCAGTCCAGAGTTCTTACAAATACTAAAACCCGTTCGTAAACTAATATATTCCTTCTAAATTCGAGCCTTTAATCATTGACAAATCTGTTTCTGTGGACTAAAGTTCACTTCAATCGTCCGAGGTGTGTGTAATCAACCTATAAGACAAACAATGAGATGGAGGCTACAGAAATTACCTAACAGATTATTTAGTGTCTTGTGACACGAGTCTTGCTAACATATTTACATGTACTAGAAGGCCATAAAATTGCAGTGTTTACTATCTATTTTTGGCGAATCACAGTAATCTTAAATATTTTGTCACTATTAAAATAGTAATAATAATAAAACAAATCTTATGACCTTCTTTTCTCTCCTATCTACATTCATGTATCTATCTTTCCATCTATCCACCTATCCGTCTATTATTTTGTCTAATCATGTATCTGTTAGTATACCTATTTACCTTGGAAATCCATTTGTTGATGAAATATCTAAGTTCTGTTTCTTCATTATTTCTGCCTATTTGCACATTTGTATATTTATATTTATACAATGAATTTTCATTTGCTTTAGAGCTTTACGATTCCTAATTTTATCTGTCCATTCACCAATAAGACTGGTCAATGTTATACATTTATATTATGTTGTCATCGCGCTAAACGAAAACGAGCGATATGCTGCAAATGTCCTTGGTCGTTTACGCCCCTTTGATGTTTGTCTTCTCGGAACGCGAGATCAAGGGTTAATTAATTGTCCAGACGATTACGTAATTAATTATTTAACTATTGCTATTTTAAGATGCAAAGGTCAGAACTATATGTTTCATCAGGGAGAGAACCTTTGTAAAGTCAACAGTTACGGCGTATATTGGACATTGTTTTCGGTTTTGGTATTATGCGAACTTTATTATACAGTCAGGCCGAAGCGCATATGCTGATGAGGCTTACAGTGAAGATTTATTAACTTCTGAGCTTCAAAATTGAATTTGACCTGGAATATTATTATACGATGATATTTACTATATGCAAACACAATATCATACGGTTTCGTAAATACTAGCTGCTTTACCAGTTACATCATATCATTAGACGGAAAAGCACATCTCTTTTGACCTTTGAGATCGTTATTCACTACAAATTATTACTTCATTTCTTGTTTCGTTTTTTCTGATCACTAATTCCTTCTGCTATTAACAGAAAATAATATTTCGAAAAATAACGGTATCAAATCTATTTCCCAGTTCTTCAGGTTTTCGCATGAGCAAGAACAGAGAACTATTTGTACAAAAACAATATTCCACAGAGCGGAAACATTCAGACTTTAAAACATTTGTAATAGGTAACTCAGTCATTTAGAAATTTCAGATCTTTTTTATTTTAAATCATGGTTTAATGACTTCATCATTCTAATTTAATCTTCCATCAAATTACGCCGTTAGCATTTTAATTATCCGTTTTTTAATCATGTAGACATATCATTGTTGCAAGCTTAAAAAATACTGAGTTAAAAGGCTCAACAATGTTTTTTTTTCTCTCTATACTATAGATAGTATGATGTCAGAATTTGGTGACCTTTTTCTCCCAAATTTAGGAAATATCGTTAGTTATACGCCAGTCACACCGACGATGCCGACGCAAGACCGACAACAGACCGAAAAGAACCTCAATATATCGAATGACGAAGAATCGGTTGGTTTGGAATCGGTGGGCAGTCAGGTTGGCGGTGTGACCGAGGTAAAGGTAGTAAAGGTAGTAGCAAATGCTTAATCTACTCGGCACATAATGAGGGAACTTGCATACCTAATCACTTCGAGAGCACACGTATTTCCTCCAGCAATACCCTACAATAAAATGTTAGTTATCAAGCAGTTTTGTTGTTTAATCAGTAGTTTATGATTATGGAAGAGTTCTCACCTGTTTGCTTTAGCACTTACTGTTTGAGCCGGTTCAAATATTTCATTTGTTATGTGTCATAAAAAAAATACACACATATTTTTAACTATCGAAAATCAATAGTGGTGATTATCAAAGGCAGTTTGGAGAATCAGAGTCGCTATCCTGGAAATTAAGATCAACAGTAATGTCCACATATTTTGTTCATCCTCCCTTTAATACTCACCCTTCTGCCGGTATGGCTGACTGTAATAATACTACCAACATAAGAATGACAAGGATCAAAGAATGTAAAATTATGACCTGATGACCGACACGAAACATCACATTTATTACATTTCTTTTCTTTAGAACATTTACAAGTCATACTGAAAGAACAATCTTCAGATAATTTACTGTTGGCTGGTTTATACAAACAAAAAATAGACAAATCACATTTGAAAGATTCACGAATATATCGGTAAATTATGCAAAATACAATGGTTATTTGTCGAACCACAATAAACTGAGTCTGATACTGAGTTTGCATTGGGGACTAGCCCACCTGCTAATTAACACTAGACTCTTCTGAAACAGACATAATTCCCAGAGTATGGTAATAGAACGGCTAACAAATGTAGGCACGACAATGAATATACGAGTACATCAAACATAGTTTCCCCCAAAATATGATTTGGCGAATCGATCAAACAGCAGAGCAATACATGTATTTATGATACTCATTTAGAGACATGAAATTGATACAATACACCAACAAACTTATTTCTAAAACTAGCCCGTTCAAATTGTAATCTTGTAAAACCATATTTAACAATGCATTACAGAGTAGTTTTTTTTTCTTCATTTTATTAAAAGCAGTTTTGTTGATATTTATTTATGCATCTAAGTTCCGTCTCAGTTTTGCAGACAATAAAACCATGCCTGATGTACACTGGGCAATATTATACTACCGCAAATGTTGCCATCTGATTGTTCAATTACATAGAACTTCAATAGAACTTGAACGTACACACGTTGATGTGGCTAGATTAGCATGTGTGCGCTTGCAATTGGCGCCTGACCGGAATACTCCCCAAGGAGCGCAGCGTGTGCACTATCACGTGCGGATTAACAATTGAATCCAATGATGGGGGTAATAAAAATAATCATGCCACAGTAAGCAGTAAACAAAAGTCGATTGCGCACGGAGATGTCCTGGTTCAAGGCATTGTTTAAAATGTAAAGATATTTACGGCAGTTTAAAGTAGTTTTCGGACTGATCCGAGACCAAGGCAATCATACCCTTGCTTCTGAGGGTTGCGTCTGTGGCTAGAGATTGCCCCAAGACTGTTCTGTATTCTGTGCATTAAATATGCCTGAATGTCCTTCCGTGGCGCAATAGAAATAACGCCTCGTGTACATTGGGAATTATATGTATTAAGTTATATTAAAAGATGGCCTTTTATAAGCTGTAAAACAAATTGCGAATTTCAATGGTTCGCTATCTGCATAATCGCTATATATATATTATTATATTCAATCATGTTTAGTTTACAAGACACCAAAAGATTATCTGTACTGTGGCAGCATTCGATGGCAAGAAGAAAACACAAAGATATAGGATCAAGAAATGACACAAGACCAACCAACATTTGTATTTTCAGTCAATAATACTACAAACAAGGAATGAGTCGGACTGAAGGATATAAATAAATTTAAAATTGTGAATGTTTTCTTTGGTGTCATTGTTAGTATTGCATTAAAGCTCCATTATAATTGTATTATCTTAAAACCGAAGAAAATAAATGTGCTCGACCAACACAAATTCAGGCTAGAAAAATGAAAAGAAAGATAGAGGAAGATTTAACACTTGAATAAATGATACCATGTCCCTGCATTTAGCAATAAATATTATTGTACTGTTAGTTTAAAATTTCATCTATATCATTCTATCTACATCAATTGATAAGTGCATTTCACATTATGCATTAAGCATTACATGCAATTTGACAAAGACCTACAACCAAATTGTTTGTTACAGTGTGGCAAGACTTGGAATGTTAATATTATGACCTCGTAAAAATGAAATAAAGATTGAATAAATATTCTAAATATGTTTGTGTCTTTTGCATAGTAAAAATAGCATTCAGTAATCTATCAATAGTTATGGCATAAATAAAAAAGAAGAAGACAACCAAACAATCTAAGTTCTATTAGATTTCTTATACCCCAGTCATACCGACGAGACCGACACAAGACCGAGAAAAAAATAGCATTACCCCAAAGGCTAGGAATGGTCGGTTTGGAGTCGGTTTGGAGTCGTGATAGGAATTGGTTTGGAGTCGGTTTGGAGTCGGGATGGGCATTGATTTGGAGTCGGTTTAGAGTCGATTTGGAGTCGGTATGGGAGATGGTTTAGAGTCGGTTTGGAGTAGGTTTGGGAGATGGTTTAGAGTCGGTTTGGAGTCGGGATGAGAATTGATTTGAGTCGGTTTGGACTCGGTTTGGAGTCGATTTGGAGTCAGTTTAGAGTCGGTATGGGAGATGGTTTAGAGTCGATTTGGAGTAGGTTTGGGAGTTGGTTTGGAGTCGGTTTGACTAAGGGACATTGTATGACTGTCATCATTCTCATTGCACAGGACAGGAAATTCTTCATATTATTAACTGAGAACGGTTTGGAGTCGGGATGGGCATTGATTCGGTTTACAGTCGATTTGGAGTCGGTATGGGAGATGGTTTAGAGTCGGTTTGGAGTAGGTTTGGGAGATGGTTTAGAGTCGGTTTGGAGTCGGGATGGGAATTGATTTGGAGTCGGTTTGGAGTCGGTTTGGAGTCGATTTGGAGTCAGTTTGGAGTCGGTATGGGAGATGGTTTAGAGTCGATTTGGAGTAGGTTTGGGAGTTGGTTTGGAGTCGGTTTGACTAAGGGACATTGTATGACTGTCATCATTCTCATTGCACAGGACAGGAAATTCTTCATATTAATAACTGAGAACAGTAATAAATGCATAATATATTGCACTTGAGTTATGTCCTTTTACATATTGATATCTAACAAACACGTACCATCGCAAATATTTTCATAAATCAACTCAAATACAATTTCAAATATGATACTGTATTTCCTTCATAAAAAATACAATGTAAAAAATACAATGTAGAGTCAGCACAATCATGTCAAAAGGTCATATGCAAGGCTACCTATTGGCTAGGGCAGTTTTTTTAAAACTCTTCCAGATCTTGTTCTCTGGAAATAATGATGAAATTCTACTAAGTAAATTTTTGTTGTAATAAGAATAATATTTTGTTTAGCCAGTAAAGTTTCATAAGAGTCAAGGCTGTTCTTCATGAGGCTATTACCCCATCAATAATATTGCCAGGAAAGCATTTCAATTAAACCTGGGTGGAGACTTGAAAATCACTGGAAATGTATTAAAGTCTTGTCAAAGGATGGTAATGCGGCCGAGCTGGGATTTGAATCCTCAACCTTAGGATTGAGAGTAAAGTGAATGAACCACAAGATCATAACACCTCTATTTCCGCAGTGATGTAGTGGTACCGGTCTCATTCTCGAGTTTATGATGTCTCAGTCTTAGTCCTAGTCTCTATAACGAGATCCGAACGCTAAATGAATGTTATCAACCCTTTAATCCTGGCCTTGCTCCTGGAAAAGACCACATAGGTCTCAACAACAACACTGTTTGTCAGAGTAATGAAGACAAGTACTTTTACTCTCTATATGCATGATTTGATTGAAAATATAGTACTGGTTTAGACTTGAAAATTACAAATATCAGTCCCATTTTATACGGTGGAATGATTTCAGGAATGCTATCGGTGCTTTGATAATAATATTGCTTCTGGCTTTATTTCTTCAAAGATGTAGGGTTAGGGCTATACCCAGGATTTCTGTTCAGTTAATGGTTACGCTTATGGTAGGTAAAGTGTTTGTCCTGAGTTGGAGTTAAAAAGTTTGTTGGTGTCGGACATTGACCACAGAGCAACTTTCGCCGTAGGACAACCTCATTGTGCTTTTCGTTCAACCCCCCCCCCCCCATACGATCTTCTGCGAGAGCTGAATTAATTTCCATTGTCATGACCTTCAGAGGGCGCTATTCTTTGCAGCACGTAGATTTCGTCCACTTCATCCACAGTCACGAAGACGGTGAAGTACTGATTGCACACGACACGTTTGATGCGGTTGTTAATCATGAACTTTTGAAGCTGCGAAATGGCCCCTGATTTTGTGTCGATTCGCCACCATTCTAAGTAGCCTTTATCCTACAGGAGGAGAGACACAATGAAAGTCATAACCAAGAATTGAAGGATAAATTTCAAAATTTGTTTAACAAGATGAATATGGGCCTGATTTTATTTATTTATTGTCATCAATGATTTGTTATCAACTACAATTACTGAATATTAAACTAAACCTGTGTAAGGAAGGGAAAGAGCGAACATGATGCGGGACGCGATTACTGTGACCCTCGGGTCTCTGCTTCCAACATAACCTATTGGGATATGCATAGTGTACTGCTACACCATGGTTTTGCCTACTCTTTAACGAAGAGTGTAATTGCTTCTTAACCTGCAAAGATGTTTACTCTCCTCCATACGGGGCCCTCCTTAACGTCCTATCCGAGGAACGGAGTGTTTTCCACTGTAATGATTGACCTCTACCACGATTATGAAGCGGCTAATATAGTCTTTGTGGACATAAGAAATATACACAAGCAGACCTAGTAGATTGTTGTTGTTGGTGAATACAATGAATTTACTCACAAAGCGTTTAACGGCTCCAGCTGTGACAAGCATAGTACCATCAGCTGAGAAGTGATAGTCTGACACCTCAGCATAGACTGTGTGTTTGCTTCGTTTACACAACGTATCGGACTCACAAAGCTGAATAGAAAAATGATTATCAAATAGAAGAAACAGGTGATTGATAAATGATATTGGTACTGTTTGAGACATGAAATTCTACACATTTTGATAACTTCATTTGGAGTCGAATCCACTATTAGACAGAGGGATAAACACAAAGGCTTTCCAAATTTATACCCATTTCGGAACTTGATTAGCTTAATAATAATAATAATAATAATAATAATAATAATAATAGCCTAATAGTCCACTCCAAGTTTTATTAAACCGAAACGGAAATTCTTTTTGCCCAATTGATCGTGAGCCTGGCAGCCACTGAGCAGCGCCAGATCGACGTTGCTCTATCCCTTATTGTTGACCCTTATTGTTAACCCTTTGAACACCGGTAAAAGAGTATTGGAAACAGTTAAATAATCCTGAATGATTAAATCAATATGGCACATGAAGATTATGAAGATTACATGAAAACATATGTCAACATACCATTATGGATCCACCTACTACAAGGAATAACATCTCGCTATCTGGAGTGAACCTAATACTAGAAATCGTCGTCTTGTGACTGCTCTTTGCTAACTGGGTACGGCACTCTATATCAAACACCTGAAAGAAAGAAACATCAGATGAAAATCTAGAGGATATCGTATTTGGTAGGGAAACACAGATGATAGTCCAGGAAAAATGTATTATATTTTACTGCTTTCATCACTTGTAGAAATAAAACGGAACCAGCGCGGAAGCTTTTCCTGTTTACCAGATTTAAGCATGGACAGAAGTCGAATGGAGGACATCGCAAAGGGCTCTTAGATATGGTATCATTGCAGAATAAGGAGGAGTAGGGAATAACGAAATGAAGCTGCAAGCTCAATATCGTAGCACTTGGAAAGACATTTTGTTCGAAATTTCTTAATCACGAAACCAATCATTTGACAGATCATTGCTAATGTTACAAATTAGTAAATCATGGTTGAGGAAACGATTAAAAGTGGTACAAGGAGACAGAGGTCCAGCAAAAACAAAAACTTTAAAACTAACAAACAAGCAATTCCAGCAGCAAAGACAGCAACAATTGAAGTAAAGATTATAACCAAAAGAAGAGTTTAGGGTTCGAAAGAAAGAAGAAAAGAATGATACAATCTATGGTATCCATTACCGTGACTTTTCTGTCGCCTGAAACTGCCAGCAGTTTATCATTGGGTGAAAAGACACATCTTGTGACCCGGAAGCCATCGACCTCAAGCATGGTAGGGTCACAGTCATCAATTTTGCAACCATTTAGCTGTATGAGAATAAAACGTATCAGAAACATGTACAATTTTTGGTATACATGTGTATTATTTTTTTTTAAATTAAAGGTTGCATTCCAGATTCTCTTGAAACGTGAATCTGAATCAATAATTTAAAAAAACATGTGTAGATCTAATATGATTACATTCATAAGCCATAAAAGAATATCTTATATATATTTATTTGCCTACAATCACTATGAATAATTTACACAACAGCTTAATCAATTCTTTCTACTTGACTAGGTTTCATCACAGCTACTCGACGTGATGAAACCCAGTCAAGTAGAATGAATGGATTAAGCTGTTATGTAAATTATTCAGATATAACATAGTTACTTGATAGGCAGGTAATATTGTCCGATGCAAAGGTTAATATTACAAATGTACCGCATTATATAATATGTGTTTTCAGTGAATTTACGTAACCACCTCACGCTTTTATAGAAGGTTAAATTCATGATGAGGGTGTTAGGGTAAAGCTCACAAAGAGTCTGTTTGAAAGTAAATACTTATCAAAATTAGTCCTGTTAAAGGGGAATGATATGATATCACTGAACTCACTTTTAAGACTAACACAGTACTATTGGAGCACCCTACAGCAAGCTTTCTATGATCATGTGATAAGTCAGCTGACAATGCTTGTTGGAAAGCAATATGACGGCTTCCAGTTGAAGACCCACTTCTCGACCAGCACTGGTGAGAAAACAAAACAAAACAAAAAAATAATCTAAACAGTCTTTTACATGGTTTAAAATTGTCGGGAAAGGTCAATGATCCTATAAAAAAAAAAGTGTTCTACAGAATCATCAATGCAGACTGCAGAGTGTAAGATAAACTATAAGAGTCATATTGAAAATTAAAATGTAGACCAAAGACATGACTGCCATTCCGACCACTACCACATTTGGGGATTCAATACAACTGGTCTGACATTATTCATGAGCGACTGTGCCTCTTCTACGATTTAAATGCTTAAAATATACCGTAATCTAATAGCATTTCGACTAATAGGAACTCATTTTGACTATTAGAAACCTCGAGCAGGAAGACGTTATACATCTGAAAATTGACATCTAACCGTACGCGCAATTTGAAGTCTGATGTGTAATGGAAATATGGACAAAGTTGAGTCGTCATCCTGCGACTGCAATACAAAAGATACCCTTGAGAAAGGTAGAATATGTCATTCATTGGTCTGGGTCCCAAACCTATCATTCTTGTGTTCCTTGCTGTTACATCTTGTACCATTGTTTATGTTTGATTTGGTTTGAATAAACTTAAAATTGAACTTGATATATACATGCTTGTAAACATAGAATAATTACCGTTATACACAAAATCCGACTGGAATGCTCTATTCAGAGCTAGTAATGGAATAATTCTGGTCACCCTATATTTAAGAATAATTGTGCGCTTCGAGGTTTTGAAATTAGAAACAGGAAATATGGTATCACATGTTTAGTCTAATCTTTTGCCCTTTTTCCATTCGTATTTCGAATGTCGAGCATTGGTAGAGGAATCCTCTTCTCAATTTATATATTCTTTTACATAGCCATAGGAATAACAAGAGTGAGAAAGCTCACGAATAATTGTGTCCACCTTTAGTTAACAGAACTCAAACTTCTCTTTTACACTGTCTTTGAATGAACGTTGTTTTCCATATCAAATCATAATTACTTCCGGCTGAAAGACTATATTGATTTCTTACTTCAACTGCAAGTTGGGTCCCGCTGGAGACGGTGAGGAGATGATGAGAATCGATGAGTTTTGCCAAGATGATCTTATCTTGAGATGGAACTATGCTAAATTCTTTCAATGTTGTCGAATCATCTTTCCTGTTGGATTTCCGAGTAACGCAGCGGGGTAAAGGGGTCACCTATAAGAGTAACAAGGGTTCTTTTTTATGCCATGCTATTTATTGAAAAGGAGATTTAAATCAGAAATATGATCAGACATTTTTAGCGGCTCGTAAAAAATAGGAAACGAATGATCAGAAGATATTTCAATAGACAGATTTACACAAGATAGAGAAACATGTACACCATAACAAGTGTAATCCCGTCATATCGCAGTGTTTACATACATGTACGTGTAAATCAGCGTACCGTGGGTCAAGCCATCGAGGCATGGCAAATAGATCAATATATCAATACGATCAAATCCTTTAAGGTCTACAGTTAAAGGAGAAGGTGTGGGAGTGGTATTATCAGCTTTTGTTTAAACGTTTTCTTTTCAATTTTTGTATGTATTCACGATTCTATGTTGGGGGAGGGGAGGGACACTTAACCCCCCGTCCCTTTTTGTATTAAAGTAAATATAATTCTAAGAAAGCACTATTCTTTCACTTTCAACTTTCATATCAAAGCTTAAAATCACTGATTACAGAACCTACCTTGACTTGACTACTTGTACATGATATGATATCATGGGGATGATCTTGGCTTATCTCGATCATGTCAATTGTCTCAAACTCCTTAGTTTTGTAGATTGTCCTTGCTTTGTTGGCAATGACGTTTTGTCCACAGCAATGCAGCATCTTAAAATATATACACAAATACAAACACACTTTAATCACTTAAAATCTGAAGTAATCAATAAACTTTATCAATTCGTTGTATTTTGCTACACTTTATATGTCAATTTATTCGATATGAATATAGCATTACTTTATATTCAGTACACTCTCCTGACATGCTAGCAATATACTTTTTTTTGTATTGTTTGTATTTTTGTTACAGCTTTTGATGTTTTTATTTAAATATTTATTTATTTTGATATATCTTTTCCAATTTTATATGTTTGTCTTTATATATGTTTTTGGACGCTTTTTTAAATCTAATTGAATGTATGATGTAAACTCACATTTTTAGTCTTTGGACTTTTTGACGAGATTGGATAAAACCTAATTTGAATTTAATTGAATTGAATCACTGGAAATTTCATTCTATAGTTGTGGTGATTCCCATTCCGATCGTAAAAAAAAATTAAAGAATCATAATCTAATGATATAGCTGAAGAAATCTTGTCAATTAGTCATCATTTTCAAGAATATAACTTTGATTATGAATCATCCTTTGAACTCACCGAACACTTTCGAGAATTCCTTTGATTCTTTCCAACCAAAGCCCGGATGCTACCATCGGTTTTGAAGGAGACGCCAAAAGTACTTCCGTCGATCTGAGGTCTGGAACCCTTCTCAAACTTCCACACCTATAATTATGAATTCGATACAAATTCGTGAAAGCCAAACTGTACTAGAAGCACTATCCCGAAACCCCCTTTAAAAGTATGCTCGGACAGAAAGTTCATCAGTCAGTATCGCTTTAAGAAAACAATTGTTTATATATATTATATAGATATAGGAGTTGGAAGGTTAAACTTTATTGGTAAGGGTTATACAGACTGTTTCGCCAGAAGGCTCATCAGTAACTAAATACATTATACATAATGGTTCATCATGCAATTTCAATAAGTCTTGCTAAGCCGGTGTCACTTATACGGACTACATAATAATTTGCAATGTGACATCACTCCATGAAGTATATCGAATGATGAGCTATTTACCGTGTTTTGAAACAGACGATATGATTTTGATAGACGCTTTCGAGGAAAACTTACGTGAATTAGTGACCGTCTGAATATAACCGCGTTTGTATGGGTCGTATGTCCATCATCGCCTATTTCTCGAGAAAAAAAAAGGAAACCAATGACAAAAATACCCCTCCTTGAATACATTACCAAAATGAGTCCACAACTCTGATTGGTCACCAAGTAGTTGCCGCATGCGCCGTTCCCATCATTGATGCATTCCATCCACATGTTGATGATGTCACGATAAACCCCGCCCACATTCAATCGATAGTATTCTGTCAATCTGTTCGTCAGTGGAAACATCTTGCCTAGATGTAGTACCTTTAGAAGGAGTGCAAACAAATGGACCCACTCAAAATTGATACCCATGACATGAGTCGGTTATTTGCAAAATAAAAGTACAAGTAACGTTAGCATGTAAAACGCAATTCTCTTCAGCGCAAGACGTCTTAAACGCAAAACAGACCATGTATAGCTGCACACGGCGTGTGTGCTGACAAGTTGGTTACCAGGACAGTAGATTTAAGAAAATAATTTAAAGAGGCTTACATGCAATATATTACATAAATCTTTTAAGAATTATGTTATACAGTAGGAATGTTATGGTTAGAGCTATTTGATGCATCTCCCTCTGGTGCTCACCAGGTTTTAAGCGCTCCATTCTTTTTTGTCTTGAGCTCTTTCCTTTATCTTTTTTATATTTTAGTGTATCATTTGTTTTGATACCATGCAAAGTCATGATTCTTTTCTCCCCTCGGTCTATTTCCTTACATCCTTCTCTCGAGGATATCTCTCAAGAGTCCATCATGCTGTAGAGAATGCCCAATCCATTCCGTCTGTCTCCCCTTCCATGTTGTTACTATAACTGTCGCTCCTCCCCCACCATCCAACTTATCTATCATCTTCATCTTCCTCCACAACCACATTTCAAAACTCTCCAACATTTTGATGTATGTTGCAGAGGGCGCTACACAAAATAATTTGTTTGTGAGATAATGAAAAACTGAGTGTCAAATTTGAAAGAACATACAATTTAAATGACAAAATCATCTTTGTTTGATCAAAATCGGTTCAGAGACTGCTGAAATATCCATAACTATAACGATTTCTAATACTTGTGTACCACTACAAACGTTAGATGATTTGAAAAAGCCGTTGAAAAAACGAAATAGCGCCTTTTACGTCGTATTTCAGCCAATGCCGATATTGGCTTTTTTGTTGGCATTTTCGTGTTGGTTATATTATGCACAACCAGCCGGCCCATGTATTGATATTTTTAATTAAATAATTAATTAACGGTCACCGTTTTTTTAAAAAGTGGAGCTGAATTGGTATGATCGTATTGGTAAATTCCACACATTTTGGGGTCTAAAATTACCTTCATAGCAATTTTAGGTTCTAAAAGGGCACTAGAAATGTCATAGATAAGAATAAGAGCAATAACCATGCACTTTGAAGGCATTTGCGGTCTGAAAACAGAACTCAACTATCCCTTTAAGTTTTGTTGATGCATACTTTTCGTTCAATCCCAAAACAAAAGTGACTGAACTATTTTTGTAAAGCGTCCAAACACACAACTCCCATTATACTTACTGTTATACTCCCCGTGGATCCTTGTACAGCGATGTAGTAACCATCTTTGCCCTGAGCACAAGATAGATTACAGAAGTTTACATTACCATCCCTGTCTGTCCAACGAGATAACTGTCGCCCTCTAGTGTTGTAAACACTGAGCAAGCACCAGGTAAGTGTGACGATTAGCCCGTTGCTAAGAAACGAACAATCACGTACATGGGCATCGTGAACTATCGCAAACTTTTGACTTCCAGTTTGCAAGTTGAATACCTGCAATAAAATTGATATTGGAAGGCAAGGTCACGGAATAAACAAAGACAAGCTATGATCCATTTATGCGTAGGTGGTTAGAACTATTGGGTTTATTTACATGAGAAAAATACGACATTGAGAGCCGTACAGATGTATGCCTTTCTTATTATTTTTGGGTTGGTTGGTTATATTATAACACTTCACGGAATATGAAATAATAATAATCACGGAATAAGAAATTCTGAAATATCTCCATTCCAATATTATGCCTGTTAAATTTCAACCGCTTTGTAGACAGTTACAAAGAAAAATGATCCTTTCCATTTGAGTGCCAAGTTGCTCGCGGATCTAGCCAGCTCCAGAGACAGTTCGGCATACCTCTGCATTCTTCATAGGACTTACATGGTACCGACTCACGATCATATAGGTCTATCTAAGATGGTTGAAGTACCTCGAGCACCACTTGCCGAGCTAAGAGCGCTGATAATTCTTAAGGACTTGGAACATTTCGGGACACCATCTTATGTAGTTCCCAAATAATTAATCATATTTATGTACGAGGCATAACAACTTACGATTAATTTATTTTACAGTTAGATAGCAAGAAACGATTACTTGAAGCAAGATTTAAGAGATACAGTAGATTGTTTTTTCTGATTGATTTTATGTCGATATTCTGCTAGGTGTGTGTACATACCCTAACAACATTGTCAGCCTTGGCACACGACGCTACTAATTTATTCTTGTCACAAGTACTGCATGCTAGGATGGCCGAACCAGGGAGCAGTGCCGTGTCAGAACTATTAGCTTGCATCAAAGAAGTGTTCCCAACTTGGATCGAGTACTGTAAGCTGAACGAAGAATCCCATACCTACATCAGAATAATGATAGTCCAAAATTGAAATGATTATTAGGCTTCATTTATTTAGATATTTAAGCAAGTTTTGTGTCATTGCAAGAATACTTTATCGGGAGCTTATTTGGCATACCGTAGGGTTCTTTGTAATAAGAAATCAACACGCACGATCCTCTCAGTGATACAAAGAACTTCTGCTGAACAGGTTATACTATATATATAATTACAAGAGGCAGATCACGGCAAGGCGTTCATCTTCAGAATAAGGAGGGAGTAAATGAAATACAGTCGTACTGCACCCGGAACTCCCTGACTGGTAGATGCAATAAAAAAAATCATATAGCGCTCATGAAAAAAATAAAATCGCAATAGTTCCTCAAAGCCAGTTCGTAGATACAATCTGCGCATGGCAGATAAAGGTAATTTGCACCAAAATGTAAAAAACCCACCGAGACATATACTAGATGTATACTCATGAAAGTTAAGCAATCATTATTCATTAACGCACCGACCGTACATCCTATGGAACACAGGTGGAAGTATTGTTGTCAAGAGAGCAAACAAAAGGAATTCATCATGTTCATGAAGCACATCCATTACTTTGGCAATTATTATTCTAAAATGCACAAAGTACGACTACTCCATGTGTAAAAGATCTGCGGATATAATGAGGTCATTTTTACTATATATGTTAAATACGAACTGGTCTATTGTAAGAAATGATCCAGATATAAGAATGCATCAGATCACCTTAAGGAAACCTGATGTATCTCCAGTCACGAGCTTAGTTTCTCCATTGCATTCCACAAAGCTGCACCTTATCAGATCCGAATCCTCGCAAGTGATGTTCTTGACGTGTGGCAGAATGCAATCTGTACGACTGAAGTCCCAAATACAGACGCCTTTGGTTGGAGAGCAGGTGGCCAGGAGGGACCCGTCAGAACTCACGCTCAAGTCCGTCACGTTGTCTGCGTGCCCGTGAATGAGCATCCTTGCCTTCCCCTCAATGATGTCGACAATCTTAAGAAAACAGAGGAAGTCATACAACTAGCATGTTTTGATTGTATGCACACACGGCATAATCTAATAACTAAAACAATAACAGCGACAACAAGAACAACCACAATAATAATTCAAATAATACAAATAAATAATATTGATAATAATGATAATATTGATAATGATTGATTGATTGATTGATTATGATGGATATTTGAATAGAGCTTATATCACCTCACAAGATGCCAATATCACTCCTGCTCCAGCAAGGCTACCGATTTCATTGCTCACAGTATTCAAGACATTATATCCTACAGTTACCCGTTTGACATCAAAGTGGAGAGTGGCAAATGGAGATTAAAGTCTTGCCAAAGGACACTAGCGCAGCTCCGATCATATTTTGGCAATGATGTATAAAGAGGAAATTAAAAAAATTTGGGGAAGATATTTGATGTAATTGCTTTTTCAGAAAGATCATGTGGCAGATAATTTTATGATTAATTAAATATTGACATGACTGCGTCTGTAAATACAGGTATGTGACTCCTGTAAGACCGGTCGGCATATTGTTATTAGGCTGCTACCTCACAACAAAGTTGGTTACTCTGGTGGGGCTAAAAGTTAGTTTGCTTTTAACATGGCATTGTCATGAAGGTTAGTTTTAAAGGATGCCTTCTTTATCTATAGTAATGTTTGCAGGGAAAACACAGAGGTGATCACTGTCATGATGTTGTTCAACATGATGTTGTAGTTATTGTAGAGCACTAGCAGTGGTCTCCCAGGTGGTCCCATAACCGGGAGGTTTCGGGTTCGTAACCAAGTCGAAACCTAGAGCCATTTCGTACGGCTTTAATCCTAAATTGTAAAGTCTCTCGGAAATGACTTAAAGCCGTAAACAAACTGGTTGCTTACCTTCAAGTATGTACGTGCTTTCTTAACAGTCAGGTAAAATGAATCATCGTCGTATTAAAGTGAGCATATAATCTTAAAGGCGTCGTGATGTAGTGGATACGTCGTCGGACTGTGGGTCACAATATGGTTCGAGTCCCACCGGGTCACTAATGTTCTTTCGCAAAAAAATTATCTACATTTTGCCATTCTCCACCCAGGTGTCAAATGAGTACCGGTAGGAAGGAAATCCTTGGATATACTTTGAGCACCGAAATCGGTAGCCTAGCTAGAGATGGGGTAATATTGGAGCGCCTCAAGCACCTCGCGTGGTGGATATAAGCGCTATGAAAATAACAATATTTTTGGCATTTTTAATATCTTGAAGTTTACCTGCACTTGTCCGCCATAACCAGCCGTAAGAATTTCCTTGCCACTTGGTAACAGTTTGGCACACGTAGCATATTTACCTGCAGGGCTATGTGTCACACTTGAAAGCAAAGTACGTTTATCAACCCTGAGAAAGAGAGAAAATATTTAGGAATAACATGACAGTCGTAAAAAATATACACTGACGAAATACCAAACAAAAAATGAATGGATAAACCAGTAATACACCAATAAAACTACTGAAATAATAAACTTGTGTATGAACATTAACACAATATAGTTACATGAGTTATCCATGTGCTCTAGTGGCGCATATATAATAAGGTTAAACTATTGCAGTCCCACACAATTCATGGTTGAGCTGAAAGATTTCTGGTGCCAATAATTTATAGCCCGAAGTCGAACAGATTAAATCTAATGAATCTTCAGAACACAATGGACCTTTGCCTTGGACCGTATGGCAGGTAGACCTTCGGTACTATGGATAGTCGACTTACACTTCTGCCACATAGAAACCATTTTTGGAGGCTCTGGCTGCACTAGCTGCCTTTGCTCTCCTGTGTACCTCGGAGACCTGAGGTAAGCATAGACTAGTCTGGATCATATCTCTCCTGCAAGCCCGGAAGCGATTAAAGACCATCAACGACCTGAACTCATTGCTCATCCCGACGTCCTGTTTACGAACAAAAAAAGATGCATACCTATTCATCGGGTACATAAACAACTTACCAATACAATGTACGCTACGACAGTGGAGGTGTCGTGGTATGATGGTTCATTTCATGACTCTCAATCTAAGGGGTTGATGGTTCGTATGCCCGCACGGCAAAATTGGCCTTTTGGCAAGACATTAATCTAAATTTGTCACTCTCCACCCGGTGTTACATAAACATTGTTGAGCCCTCAGGAAAACAGCATTGATGCTGATGAGGTTTTCTTGAATAAACAACATTATATTGTTATTCATTGTTAATATTATTATTACGCTGAAATTTATTGGTGCATACCTAGATCAAATTTATATCCGATTGTTGAGATATAATACTAGCTTGAAGATGTGGGAGCATATTTTTCTCTGCCACATCGTAAGTTTTGTGACTTTATCGAAATGTATCCTTTACCTTGTCATTTGCCACCTTCTCTGACACTAGATAATCATAAACCAGATCATGAAGCCAAAAGATTTGATCTTTGTCGTCTGAGTGACAACCGGAGATCGCAAGATGTCGTTGAGTAAGTATCTTCATTCGATCTTCTATTTCTTCTGTTGAACACCCCTCCAGCATGCTAAGAATCTGTCGGTTTGTAAAACAAGACAGCAATAACAATGAATTATAATATTCATTTGGTCTTCAGTGAAAGTGTCTTGCACTGTGGAGCTAACAATATTTATTTAAAATGTATTAATCAGTGTCATACATTGAACGATATGAAGTTTGGCTGAAATGGGCTCTGTTAATATTTGGCAGGTGAATATTGTGTCCGTAGACATGGCATTGTATCACATCTGGCAATCTTTGCACAAATTAATACTTAGGAGGAAGATAATCATAAGTACATTTCGGTTATAACTAGTGTGATAATCGATGCGTTGTGTCCTCATGAAAATGTGTGTATGAGATTATCATTGCTGTTATCATCAACTTGGTTACTATAATGATGCGATAATATTTCACGAGTGTGCGGTGAAACATATTAAAAACAATTAAAAAACAATTATTATTCAAATAACCTTTGATGACAACCTCGTTCCTTGATCGAACACTGCAAACCAAGAGAAGAGTCTCATGACTTCATCGCGAGACGGCAGCTCTTCCACACTGAGATGGATTGCATCTCGAGCCGTCGACAACTTCTTCAGATTTTTCTCTTCAAGCTGCGTCACGTAGTACTCCCATCGATGTCCATGCTCTCGAAGAAGACTGCCGATGATGGAGATGACGAGTGGGGAGCCGTGGCTAAGCTGGTGGATGTGAGCTGCTTGTGGGGGAAGATCGCTAGGCGAAGTCATCGTCCATTCCGACAGAGCCTGCAATGACTGCGGTTCAGAAAAACCTTCAAACAGAACGATTTCTTCCTTGCGACCTGAAATATCAGACATTTTTCGATGTAATATAAGATTTCCTGACTATTATTTAACTATAAACTGTAGTTTTGAAATATCGACGCATGTTAAAGAATTTGAATATATTTTCATCAACTTGCCTGAAAAAATAGAGCATCATGGAATATGTATATATACCACGTATCTTACCTAATGCACATGAGTGAAGACCTTTGTCTCGTGTTGTGACGACAACCGTAGAGCAGACTTCAAATGCACCAATCACGTCTTGATCCCAAACATCATCGAGGACCAGGAGGGACCTTAAATTTTGACAATACAGTAGGTTTACGGTTGCACCATGTATATCATAATCAAGCATTGAAGTGAATATCATTGCACTGAAAACGTCCTGTAGAGCCTGTCACGTTAAACACAGTAGCACAGTACTTAGAAAGATATATCCTCAATTACAGAAGGGCACAGGATTTTTTTTTTTTATACATCTAACGAATAGACAACTTAAAACTGTTCTTGAAGTCTAGGTCACAAATGGTCTTGTACCTCTCTGCGTCTGGTTCACGGCGAATTTTCAGCTAGAAAATTCTTGAATCAGACGCAGTTGCTCTGTTTGTGTGTTTATTTGTTTGTTTCTTGTCTGATTTTTCCTAATGCATGTTTCTGGACGGGGAGTGCCCAACCTTGACGTTCAATGCACCACCTTTTGATGGCTGCTTGATCGTGATCTGAGTCGCCTGCGCCCATAACAAAACCTAAACCAAACAAATAAATACAATGAATACATGCGGGCCTGGACGAAAAAAACTTGCCGAATTCGTGGTAGACCAGCAGCAGAGTGCATGTTGCACGGCTAGTAGGCTACCTACCTTGGATATGTCTGTGCGATGAGTGTACTGAGCAGGTTCTTCCATTGGTCTTTTGTCTTAGGAAGAGACGGTGCCATGAGGAGCTTGACATCTAAACTCCTGCATAGGGTCTCCAGTCTCTCTGTGATGCATGCTGTACCCCTGACTGCGGCTCCGATCGGTAGCCAGTACACACCATCGGGGAAATACTCTGCATAATAATAATACTAATAATGATGATGATGATAATTATAATAACAATAATTTGTTCATCCGGATAGCGTCATCAGGATAAGTTTTGTTCTTCCTGAGGCCCCTGCACTTGCTATTACCCCAGCAATTGCCAGATACACATATCACCTGGATAAAGAGTAGCAAATATGGATTAATGTCTTGATAATGGACGTTTGGCGCCGGGATGGGATTCGAACCCTCAACTCTTCTATACCATGGCATAAACCCCAAAATGGACCACGAGAGGACAGTCATGTTTATGTGGACAGGTTTCTTTGTATACACACTGATCATCATATAACAGCATTTTCTCAATGGAGGTAAAAGCTCTACCTAGTCCCTCTTTAAAAGAATACGCAATCATAATAATGATAATGATAATAAGTCTTTTGACCCATTGTAGCCTCATCAGTATTGATACTTTTCTCTCTGAGGGCTCGGCAATCATAGAGGCACATGATTACAAAAATGTCCTAAAACGACCCAAAATATCCTTTAAAATTCTTAAAGTGTATTATTTTCTTCAATCAATTTTTAACCAAATTAGAGAAGATAAAGGAAAGGGGAAGGTCAAAGGTATTCGTTAATTGTGGTTTATTCGTTACCAAGTAACTTGGAATACTGACTCAACTCAACTCAACTCAACTTAACTCAAGTAATCCATTCGGTTGATCAAAATATACCAAAATTGTAATCCAAGGACTATTTGTACAATGTCAAAATGTGCATATAATATGACTGTCGTCTGTCGATGAAAAGAGTTAATAAGTCATCAGGTAAACTACGATATATGACTGAGTCGGTAACGTAAGGGGGTAGGGGATCACTGGACTTGACCTAATTAAAAAAAATAGAACTTGCGTTTGATGAACATGAAATCGAAGGGGAAAAGACTCCATAGAATCGCTAGAGTTTTGACACAAAAACTTTGTATATGCCACAAATGCATCCAATCTACATTCAATCTACACTGTCCTTGTGCCACATTATAGTGGGGGTAGAAAAAGAGATAGACAAAGTACTTTTAGATCACTCAATTATTTCCAAGGCAAGATTGATCTACACCAGTACTAAAATAAAAGGGCGGTCGTGGAGTTAATCAAGACCAGAATTGAGTAATTGTGCAGGGCTCTTGTGTTGCACACAGCAATCTTTCCGTCAATAAATTATCGCCTATTGTTTTGTGCAAAAGTGCACGTGGGGCAAATAAGCGATCATGCAGAGAGGCGAAAAAAGCAAGCGAAGTGTTAATAATCTGACTTGCCTTTGACGAGCTGTTCATCTCTGATCGCCTGGTTGATGAGAACTGATTTACCCATCCCACCAAGTCCATGCACAACGAGCCATCGAGTGACTGTTGTAGAGGCCGACGGTGATGTCGATGATGACGACAACGATGACAACTCACGAAGCTTATTGGTGACATCAGCGATTTCAACAGATCTTTCGGTAAGGCAGTCTGGTAAAGAAGGAACATTTCCTCTTCTGCATATAGAGTCAACTAAAAATAGAAATCACATTGATTTTTCTACATTGGTTTCTGCGATGATCCGACATTTTCTCCGGCGACAATATCGATCCGGGCCTTATGTTGCCAAATGTATACGGTTGGAGTTATGATTGCAGTTTGGTTTTCAGATGTTTTGAAAGTTAGGGATGGGGTTAGGTATAGTTCAGGGTCCAGGGTTGAATTATGGTTAGTGTATGAAATTGACATTGCAGCAATTGTCGTCAGATTATGTCGTACAACCGATTTCTTCTTATGATAAAAGAATGGATGTGGAATATGTTAATAGATTAAGTAGTATCCGGGAATAATAACAAATTTCATATCTTCCTAGTGATTTTTTAAAAATCACTATAGCTGTTTTCTATAGGGGCAACACAAAAAATTTTGTCAGCCGACGGACTGGGCTATAACTCCGTTTGTGGTAACATATCCAGATGAAGCCGGGCCCTAGATTGCATTACATGGGAGGGCCATCGTTTACAAAAAATGAGGAAGAAAGAGTAAGTCTGTTGATAATAAATGATGTCTCCACTTGTGCGTTTCTTGACTTACAGTGATTCCTAACCCGATTATTAATATCGAGGCTGCATTCTTTTTTCTCAGTCGGAAATCTGTCAGAAGGGCTAATTACCCTCTTGCCCCTTCTTTTGCTAATAGCTTGTGAATAGGACAATCCATTCACTTTGGCGGAAGAGACTTTAAACAGTAATGAGTGTTCATTTGAATATCTATTGTTAGAATATTTTTAATATCGAATAATGGAATGAGATGGAGATTGGTTGAGAGAGAGAGAGAGAGAGAGAGATAGAGAGTATATGTGTAAGTGTGTGTGATCTAAATATAAGCACATGTACTTACTATCTTCTTGTGGGGCAATAGATAGAGATGACTCGATCTCTGTTAGGAGAGAGAGAGAGAGAGAGAGAGAGAAAGAGAGAGAGAGTATGACATAACATTGGTATAAGTTATCATATCAAAATGGTTTCAAAACATGAAATATCGCAACAATATAATATACTTTTTAAATCCCGACATTTCATTTCACTTCTCCTTCCAAAAAATACAATATTCTGATTTATATTCCTATTTCTTTTGGAGCAAACGATGAGTATGTTTTAATTCATCCAATTTTACATGCTGAATTTGAATCGATTTAGCTTAAGCCGGGCTGTTGATAAAATTATGTCAATGGACAGCCCTACCCCATTTTCCTCTACCATATACAATCCTGTCATGTCTGAAGTATCTCAAGAAAATTTCAATGTGAAATTAACTTTATGAATAATTGATTGTATTGTATTGTACTTCATATCTCACCTGCCTGAAGCCAATCAGCAGCAGCTTGATTACCAATCTGCTTCAGTGATTGGAGGAGCACTTGTGACGTAGCGCCACGTCCATTACGTTTCGTCCAATCAACTAGCACCTGATAAATGCATTCTTGAATGTTTCCACATTTTGCACTCTCGAGATTGGTCAGGCGAATCTCTTCAAGACCCAATGTCAAGCCAAGCCGTCTGTAGTCATCAGGGTGTAGATGCTCCGATAGCTCATGCAGACGGAGAGCAGACAATTGGTTTCCATAGCAATCCGAAATGGCGGACATAATTGCGATGAGTTCTTTTTTTCAGTTGTCTTGGTGATATAGGGTTTGCATCGGCAAATCTTTAATGACCGTATTGCCACGGTCTCATGTTTGAGATGATGCAAATCAAAGACCACCGGTACTGTTATGTGCTGACTATATTGACCGAGCAGGATGTCATTATGATAATGCAATCATATATATCGATGTGTTCTAGCTAATGTGTTTATTATAAACCTGACCTTGAAATTGTTTTTCATTAGAATCTGAAATCAGAAAGAATTAAAACATAGAATTGTATTGTAAATCAAGCCACCAAGGCAAGATCAATAACATTCACATAAATTGACCAATCGGAGCAATGCAAACAAATGCAAAGCGCAATTTAAACTGCATCAATATTATCTTCACTTTAATAAAAATAATCAACATGTATTTTAAAATGTTAACATTAACACATCTACATCTAACGTAAACATGGTTGCTTACTTATAAGCACACACATGCAGTCAGGTATAACAAACAAACCAAACCAAAAATATAACTTACTCAAGTAGACGTGAGACGTTTTATATTAAAAGGAACTATCGAATCAACGTGTAGCTTAAAAACCCTTGATACTTGTGTTCATTAGAGAATTTGAATATTCCTGAATGATTATGCATACAAAAAAACTTCAAATGTGTAAATTATGTTACAATAGTTGGTAAATCACAATGCCATCGATTTACGCTTTACAGTGTTTGAAAAGTGTTATTACAACAACGTTTGGTTGGAAACATCGGATCAACACACATGCACACAAGCGGGCACACGGAATACTTCCGCATGTATGTATGACCTCATGATCATGAAAAGGCTTACTGTCGGCTAGTAAATAACCCTGCTTTTAAATATAGAATGACCTTCATATTTCTTATTCGGTCTATTAAACCAAACTTGTCTATCATTTATGTTACACCGTCCACTCACTCCCCAAATTCAAAAATACCCAGGCATAATGCATGATCATAATTTATACCAAAATCTTGATGAACAATCATATTGAATACAATACTCATTATCATTTGAGGGGTCCACAATTTATTGTACAAGTTCACTAGAAGCATTGCTTTTTAGTGGACCCCTCTGTTTCCAATATGTATTCCTTAATTTGTGTAAATGATTATAATTGATTTGTGATGTTTTGTTGGAAACCGGAAATAAATTTTGAAATAGGAGAAGAAAAAAAAAATGAAATTGAACAATCAATGTAGTGCTACTCGTTTAGAAATATAGCGAGCATTAACATCAGCTCAACGGCACGATCTCTGCAGGATTGATACTATATACTTTCCGTGCACATCACTCAAACTTTATATATGAAATATGAACAGCGGACAGAAGTATATGATCCTTCCCTCGATATCATTAGGAGCTTACCTGGTTAATTAGATTCGAAATCAGATCTATACTGATGAAATCGATCCCAAGATGTTGAGGTACTCCTGTTTGTAGCGTATATCCACTAGATTATGGAAAGCAATGAACAAATGGGCTACCTTCCATTTCCGTCTCTTGTCCTTCCGCTCTTTTTTTATTCGGTCACCTCTCTCCTGTCTACACGGCAGGATTCGCTTTCAGCGTGTAATCTACAAATATAAGACCGCCATATTGTATTCACCAGTACCTTTACACGTTCAATGCATGACATGGAAATAGTACGTGTCTTCAATGCTGTCTTGGAATACAATAATTTCGGTCAACACTGAGCGCCGGGATATGATGAGTCACAATCGCGTTATTATCATAATAACGATCACCACTTCTCCCCGTCATATCAGAGACATCCAGTCATGTCAAGAGTAATAGTCTGTATGACGAAGACCTTATTAAGAAAACGGTGAGGATTCTTTAGTTTCATGAAATCTTGGTTTCAACATTATCCCTCCTGGAAATTAAACGGAAAACCATTACAGCGGCAAATTTATAACTTGACAAAAGGTGTATACCCCTAATTTTATATCAACGAATGTAAGCTTAAATTGGGAAGATATATAGGAGTCGATGACGTATGTGCAAGTGCACCATGGGTACCAAAATCAGGGGAATCCCTTCTGAGAGGGTGTTGTTTGGGCTCATGAACGCTGAGACATCCACTTAATTACGTCATCGTTTTGAGCACATAGTCTACAATCTCATACCCTAGTGAAGACAGCGCACAGTTTTGACTATTTTCGGCGAGCTAACGATGAGGAAAAATCTTATAAAAGCAACTGAAAATCCATGAACGTGACAAAAACTAATACCGTTCAGAATATAAGTTAATGAACTAGACACACACACACACACACACAAAAATCGTTTTACGGAGACTTTTGTCGATGGTGGCAGGGAAAGATCAGTGCTGCAAAATATACAATCATGGGCATAATTTATGTAGGCTTATATTTCTATGTATGAGCGTAGGATAATTTAGGATGATCTATAGAGTACCGAAGTGCTAATGTCATACTCGCTAGTCAGCCTGGTTACTGGTTCTAAACAACAGAGCATGCGCATGATCGAGTTCACTGCGAAATGATTCAAGCAATTGGCTGGAGCAGGTATGAGTACTATTTTTTCCCCTAAAAAATCGCACCCCCCCCCCTTGAGCACCAAAGGAGGGGCTCGTCTTCTTTTTTTTTAAACAAATAAAGGTATAATTAAAGTATTGCAATTTTAAGCAGGGGATGATCCCCGATAAACCTCTGTGGCTTTTGATCAACCCCTTTGCACGTTCATCTTTTGGTTTGATGCTTTTATATCTAGTGTAATTTATATTCAGATGTCTTTTATGAATCTGTGGAAATAAATGAAATGTTGGGAGCCCACTGGGGGCTTCCAACACTTTAGAGAGGCTTTAACACAAAATTGTTTTGATCCAGCAACATTGACGACTTGGCCCGTATGACGTCACACTTCGGTACTGTATGGCGTATTCGCAAGTGCATCATGGATATCACAATTTGGGAAATCCCTTCTGAGTGGGTTGTTTGCGTTCATTGAGGCATCTACTTTACGTCATCAAGGAACATATAATCTATATTCACATACACCTATGTGAAGATAGCGCTCAGTATATTACCGGTATAACGAATTTTATCAACGCGAACGGTAAGAAGAGCATCCTATGAAGCATGTACATGCCTGATTTTTCAGTTTCATTATTCATGAACAAAAATTACTACCGGTCCGAAATATTGATAAATGAGCAGGGAAATGCTTATTATTTGGACGCTTTTTCTGGCCATTATTGTGTGAGATCACGTAACCATTTGAATAAAAATATCTGCCCATTTATTTTCCCATTGATGTACATGTACTACTACGAACACAGGAGAGCAGGAATTGACATGCAATTTTAAAACATCGCTCACACTCTTGTAAATCTTTCGTCCTGCACTCTCAGGCTATAATGTCTTACGTCTGGTAGAAAGGCAACTACATTAGAAGCTAAATGCACTAAAACAAACAAACAAACAACAACGACAAGAACATTAACAAAATTGAAACACAACAAAACTATTATAGTTTTTCCCTATAATAGGGAAAAATAAAGTCGTGGTCAACTTCAACAGATAATGCATTAACATTTAAATTTATTGCATGAGGGTGTCGATGTGAAGGAAAAACTGCCTAGAATAGGCAAAGTGATAGTTGGCGCTGTTCGTATTTGTTTAAATATATCATTGCTGTTTGAGGCCTATAATATAATGACTTCTTTATATGATATTGTTAAAGGGATTTCATATCTTATTGTTCTAATGCATATCGCTAAAGACTAATTAATTTTTTACACCTGTTCGAAATCTGATGTTTCAGATCAAATATTTCTGATCAGTGAACCGTTATTTACAAAGTTGGGAACTTGCCAGACTGGCAAAAGCAGCACGAGCAGTACTTCCAGCGCTAAAGTCGAATTAGGCGAAGAGAGCAGCCTTGGCAGCACAGGCAGCAGATCCCCATAAACAACAAGCTCTTGAACGGGAGGAGTTCAAGCTGGAGCAGAAAAAGAGTAAGCTTGAGCTACAGACAAGACTCCGCGTGGCAATAGCTAAGGAAGAGGTTTTCTTCAAGCATGGAGAGAGCATGACTGCTGCTGCACATAAAGATGTCTCCCAACAGCGAGGAGCCTTGACGACGGAGCCCAGCATATGACTATAGATTTAGATAAGGGTGTCTACCAGCTGAGACAACCCTCAAAGTTACAACCCAACATGGTCAACACTATAGAGAAGGATTTCTCTCAGCATGGACAACCCTTGAAGTATGATACCACCACTAATCAGGTGAAAGAAGAGGATGCATGTACACGTCCTTCAGCACCTGCAAGAGTCACAGATGCAACAACATCAACTACTCGTTGTTGTCAGCCTACCACGAGCTGAAATGATGAAATTCGAGGTAACCCGCTTAGATATCATAAGTTCGTTACCTGCTTTGATAACATGATATTGAGATCATCACTGGACTTTGGAGGGAAGTTGATGAGGCTGTACCATCTGTGTCAGGGCCGGAGACTGGCTGCATGCCCATGGAGCCTGTGGAGGGGTTTGTAAGAGCTCGACAGCTGCTAGATGAACGTTTCAGATCGAGTTATAAGATTGGTGAAGCATGGATTATCAAGGTCACAGAAGAAGCCAGTCTGCATGATAATGACCATCAAGGACTGCAGAAGTTTTCAAGATGACCTACGGACATGTGAGCATACTTTGAAGGCCTTAAAACTCACGCAAGAAATTGGAGAGTTGGTCAGGATAGTTGACAGGCTACCGAACTATCTCAGGAGCAGCTGGATAAAGGTTGTGCGGCTTATACAATGTACGCTAGCAAGGACACTCACCAAACATCACTGACTTGGTGAGGTTTGTAGCAGACGCCGCCATAGAATTTAACGATCCAGTTTTTGGACGGCACAGAGGCCCAAGAAGTGCAACTGTAAAGGGATCATTTTCATTGGATCTGGTGATAATGTGAAGGTGGCGAGTATTGTGTGTTGTGTCAGGAAACGCACACTCCTCTTCGGATGTGAGAAGTTCAAGGAATTGATGCCAGAACAAAGACTCGAACTGGCTTCAGTTGTCTCAAGCCAGGACATAATGCTGATGAATTGTGTGTTGAATCGTACATGTTCCATAGAAGGTTGTGGGAGGAAACACTCACAACATTTCTCCACACCACCCGAAGAAGAAAGAGGACTCTTCAGGAGACGTTATAGACAGCAGTGAGCCAGAGTGAAACCACAGCACAGACCGGCTCCATTCAAACTGAGTCAGAAGCAAGTTATGGAGTTGCCATAGGGGCCGGTATGCGATGTGTACTTCCCATAGGTCCAGTGCATGTTCAGGCAGCAGATGGAGATAGATGTGTTCGGACCTACGCTCTACTGGACTCTGGTTCGACCACTTTCCTTCTGCACAGAGAACCTAGCAAGGAAAGTGTCAGCATAGGGGGAAGAGCGCATACTTTCCATATCAAACTTGGACAATCCTCATGGAAGGATCCAGACTCGAGTTGTGAGCCAGAGGCGGCCCTACCGGAGGGGGGAAGGTGCCCCCCACTTTTTCAAGTACCCCCAGAGTGCCCCTTTTTACATACAAAAAGTGCCTCTTTAACTTTGTAAGAAGAGCCATTTTTTACATGGGAAAAGTGCCCCTATTACATCATAAAAATGCCTCTCCCCCTTTTCACCTCTGCTAAGTGCCCCTTTTTTGACACGTGCCCCTTTTCCTTCGACAATTTTTCCTTTTTTCCTTTGCAATAATTGTAAATTCTTCCATTCTCATGAGCGCCCTGTTTCAGGTAGGATTATGATTAGTGCCCCTTCACCTCTGATAATTGCGCTTGTCAAATCTGAGAGGTGCCTCTTTTACTCTGACAAGTGCCCCTTCCCCTTTTAATAACTTATAAGCGCACCTTTAATGTTAACATGTGCCCTTGTCCTTTCTGAAAAGTGCCCCCATGAAAAAAATTCATAAATGCCCCTTTTCACCTATGAAAAGTGTCCCTTTTCATTCTTATAAGTGCCCCTTTCATCTATGGTAAATGACCCTTTTCAGGTACGAGAAGTTACTCTTTTTCACTTCAGATAAGTGCCTCCTTCACCTCCGATAATTGCTCTTTTCATCTCTGATGAGGGCCCCTTTTCACCTCTAATAACTCCCCCTTTTATTTTGACACGTGCCCCTTTTCCTTATTAATAAATGCTCTTTTTCCTTCTTATAAGTGCCCCTTTCCCTTCTTATAATGACCCCTTTTCATCTCTGAAAATTAGTGCCCCCTTATTTTATGATGTTTCTATTTTTCTTTTTAATAAAAGCGACTTCCTCTTTCTCATAAAAGCGGCCTCACAACTCCGATAAATGCCCACATAAGAATATGATGTGTTCTCTTTTCTTTTAAAAAATTCCCCTTTTTCATATCTGGCTAGTTCTCCTTTTCAGGTGGGATAAGTGCCCCTTTTCACCTCTGGTAATTACCCTTTTTAACAATATCACGTGCCCCTTTTCCTTTCTAATAAGGGACCTATCCCCTTTTCACCTCTTATAAATGCCCCTATAAAAATATGATGGGTGCCCCTTTTCCGTCGACAAATGTTCATTTCCCATTCTCATAAGTGCCTTTTTTCATCCCTGCTGAGTGCTTCTGTTACAGGCGTAAAAAGTGCCCTATTTTCACCTCTGATAATTACCCTTTGTACTTTGACACGTGCTCCTTTTCTGTTCTAATAGTGTCTTCTTTTATCACTTTCGATACGTGTCCCCTTTTCCTCTTATCAGTAAACGTGCCCCTAATCTAAACAACTAAGAGCAATTTTACCCACAGCTCGCTCGCTACGTTTTCTCGCATTTATAAATGGTATAATTATCTTATTTATTAAAGGTAATTTCAGTTTTCCGTCATTAGAATGTGCTTATAACCCCATCAGGATTGTTTTTTCCCCTCTTTATAAGATGTTATATTTCGAACCGCGACCTCACAAATCTGTCAAGACTTTCCAAGCTCGCTTCGCTCTCTCGCAAATGAATATTCAGACATCACACCCAACTGCAAAGTACAATGCTTAAGCAATATATTGTATGAAGTATAAAGAGACACAAAAATTAAAATAATCCATGATAATGTAATTACAATGTAGGGGTATATACCAATGTCTCATAAAAATGTAAATTTTCGTTTTGAGATTTCCCGCTGTAGGTGCCCTTTTTTCCAGAAAGTGCCCCTTTTTGTTAGTGCCCCCCCCCCCCACTTTGAAAGTCGCTCGGCCGCCCCTGATAAAAGTGAACAAAGGAAATTCAAGCAGGCGTAGTTGCAGGGTGTCATAGATTTATTATTCGTTTCATGATGCTAGGGAAATAAGAGGGCATTGATATTTCATTTTGAGACAAGTGCACTATGCAATGTCAGTGAATATGCATCAACGGGATCTGGTAACTTTGTCCCAGATTCTGAAACAAAATCCTGGATTTAGCTCATGGTGCAATGATATTTATAAAACTTTAGGTCAGTCAGAAACCCCATGACTTTTACAAGCCGATTGCCTGTCTGATTATCAATATATTTATGACTGGAAATCGAAACCAACTTTTGCGTTTCCTAGCGGTTTTGGGGAAAACGAGTATGGTAAAACCGGTCACTCAAAATTGTTTAATTTTGTTGAGGCACTTCTTGATCATTTTGAAGCGCATTTTTTAGGGCTTCAATATTACACCATATCACAGACACTGATAACACGATTGAACATTGTTAAACGATGCCTTTAATCATACAACTCATTTGATGCAAGGTCCTTTGTAAACACATTTTAAATTTGACATAAATTATTTATGATTGTTTAATTCTGATTAAATTTTAGGTTGAACCGCCTTTCGTTTACAGTATCTCAACAAGCTTGACTCGTCGCTCTATTATCGATGTGCTGTCGGTTTGATTAGTCAGTTATACGCTACACTGCGACAGGACATTAACAAAAACCCGCGTAAACCCTTCTGAGAGATACAAGTGTTATATTTAAGAAAAGAAATTACGTCCCTCCCGCTTATGATTAGAAATTTCGAACTTTCAGGAAACGAATCATGAACTCATATTCCCCGATTAAAATTCATGTCAACAATTTCCTCCCTACCCCACCTCCTATCTTAAAAAGAACCTGCATGAGAAGGGCAGGCGGGATACTCAAATCGTATTCCTGGGGAAAATATCAGTTTTTAAAGAAATTGTCACCCTACCCCTCCCCCTCTCTATCTCTCTCTCTCTCCCTTCCCCCCTCTCTCTCTCTCCCTCTCTCTCTCCCCTCTCTCTCTCTCCCCCCCCCTCTCTCTCTCTCCCCCCCCTCTCTCTCTCTCTCTCCCCCTCTCTCTCTCTCTCTCTCTCTCACTCACTCCCTCACTCTCTATTTATTCATCAATTACACTAGCTGGGGAAGCCGGGGTGATTTCTAATATAATTATATATTTCCGGAAAAAAATTCTGCCCCCTTTTTGAAAATCCTGTACCTGCCAAGACCCATGTTGACATAAAACGAATAAACCATGGAAATAGATTGAAACAAGTAAATAATATGCTAAATGGAGAGAAGAAAGAACACGGTTGAAATGATTAGAGTCAAATAAGGCACTTAGGCAACTAAAAAATCACAGCCTAACAATTTGTTTACATGGAACCTACTTTTGATTAAATTCATCTCAGATAATAAACAATCTCTTCTAGAATTTAATGACACTTCAATTAACGAGTTCTTATCCCATTTGTATGATGTTCCAAGATTTCATTTCGCAAACAATATCTGTATTTACTGTAATTGACACACAGGTAGTACTTTGACTATGTGGCCAGCAGAATATTACGTTCGTTTCTACTGCATATACGTCTTTCAATGCCAAGAACTACCATGCTCATTCGTTAAAAAGGTAATTCATATTTCTATATTAACAAATTATTTTCCCTTTTAGGCGTATCAAGATAACCTAGATATTCATCTCGTCTTGTCAATTTCTAACAATATGGCGGGGGGGGGGGGGGGGGAGGTGGCTTAACCTTGACCTTCATTAATTGTTTTTAATACTAATTCTACGTAAATGTCTTTCAATTTGGCAGACCCCTATTAATGGGTCAGTCAGAACAATAAATGGACACAGACAGTATCTATAACAAATAAAATATAAAATGAAATAGTCCAGTTATTCCCCTAAATACATGTAAGGATGGGTGGTAGGAGTGGCTTGACGTTTCGAACAGGTTGACTATCCGTCGTCAGGAGTGATTACCGACAATCCTTTTCAGGACTCCACAATCCCCCCCCCCCCTCCTCTCACATGGTGCAACCGTAAGCCTATGGGCAGCGGTTTCTTTTCATGACCGAGTGGGGAGGACGAAATGCTAGGGACGAGGGAGCAGTGGCGTAATGAGCAAATACGTTTGGGGAGGGGGCAAACAATAAATCCGCATCACCACGACTCTTTATAGAATGGTGTTACATGCAGACCCCGCGGAACGTTTTCCATAGGGGGAGGGGGGTAAAGTATTTACGATCAGGTAGAGCAAAGTGAGCGAAGCAAGTGTAGCGTAAATTGGCGTGGGGTCCAGGGGCGAAGCTCAGGGGTTTTAGGCACATAATTAAGGTCAGATGAGCGTTCAGGGGGCGGAGCACCTGGAAGCTCAGGGGTTTTAGGCATTTAATTACGGTCAGATAAGCATATTTTGATACCTTATTTGTGACACTGGCATACAGGTCACTCCGCTCCCAGAATACCAGGGGTTTAGGCATTTAATATCGGTCAGGTGAGCATCCAGAGGCCCGGCTTAGGGCCCTGGTGTGGTCTAGGGGGCAGAGCCCCCGGAAGCTCAGGGGTTTTAGGCAGTTAATAACGGTCAGATGAGCAACCAGGGGCCCGCTTTAGGGCCTTTGGTGGGGTCCAGGGGGGGGGGCAGAACCCCGGGAAGCTCAGGGAAAAATCATGCCATTTCAGCAACATTATGTAAACCACTGGTATCGAATTATAAATAAACCACGTTTTAGTCCGCCAGTGTGTGGTAGCATATAGTTAACAAGAGGGTGAAGGTGAAGGAAGTGACTAACCCATCACAGGTTTTTGAAGTTTTGTTGTATCAAAAAATTACATTCCTAAGCAAAACTATAGTATAAAAACAAGCAATATACTTTTTCACACTACACTTTTCTACAATATTTACTTGTACATTTTGAAGGATATTATGCGAGGGAGCATATAGTCTAAACGCTGCACTCTTGGGCCCTCTAGAGCCTACAAGTGTGTTGCAGTGCTTAGTCAGTATTTGCTATACATTTTTTTTCTTTCACTTTGTCAAATTTTCCGGGGGGGACGATCCCCCTAAAAAAAACTTGAGGGGGAGGGACGTTACTTACATGTATAAGCAGCATCTAAAACAATGTTTGTTTTGAATTCAGTCTTTCACTTTTTATGGCTATTGATCAGACACACACACACTTGACAATTCAATCAGCGATAATCAGTATCAATCAATACACCCGGAAGTGATATTTCTCTCCCTTGCTTCTTTAAATAAAAGTAGTTCATTTTTGCTTCTTCATCAGTTTTCCATCTCGTGTGTTTTTCCATTTTGTATCGTCTTCATCCCCTTTTCTATCTTTAAAATTCTTGCATCATTCCTTCAGTTTTCTCTCTCTTAATTTTTTTTACTTCAACTCTCTCTCTTAATCCCTGCTTCTTTCCAATATTTGTATTCCTCCTTTCCTTCGCTCTCTCCTGTTACATGTATGTCTTCTTTATCTATATGTTTTACCGTCCATATCTCTCTCCTTCTCTTTGATCTGGTATTTTATTATCTCTTCCTTTTCACTCTGTCTTCCCTCTCTTTATTTTTTGGTTGCAAAAGTTTGAACAAACATTTTCGATTACGTAAACCACATCATGTTTTAAAGATAAACAGGCTTGAAGAAAATGGTCTAGGAACGTGAGACGTAGCTGTACTTTACAATTTTATTACGAGCTTTCGGCTTGTGAGGCCTTCTTCAGGTTCTGAAGTGCAAACACATACACAAACAAATACATTGTATGAACAAATATACATGGCATACAAACTTAATAACACTCAAAATTGTAAAGTACAGCTACGTCAGAGGACTCTCACGTTCCTTTATAGACCATTTTCTTCACGCCTACATATTCTGGAACACCTGTTGTCATGTCAGAGTTGAGAATTCTCGCACCTGTATACATAATATATTTACAATATATTGTTTTGAGCGATTAATTAAATAATCTATCAAGATATCTATCGTTAATGACAAATCTCTTAAAGGCATATAGCACATACATAGAATGTTAAATATATTCAATTATAATAATTTTTTAAAAGGTTATAATAATAAATAATAATAGCTCACATTTATATTGCGTCTAATACTTTGATTCTAGGCGCAGCACAAAATTATACTTAAGAAATATGAGCATGAATAAGTATACAAAAGTGATAATGATTAATATAATATCTAACGTACAACGTTATTCCACTAACACCTATGAACAATATTAATCTTATTCTACAGTTCGATAGCATCGACGTATATTGAATGTTCGCTCCTATAAGAGACGCTTATATTGAATTTGTCAACGTTTTAAGCAACTTTTTGACTTACATCATATTTTGCTAAAAAATGGGAACATCTGATCCCCACCCCCTCTCCTTTCGGAGTGGGGGAGGGGATGTATACCCCATCCCGGGATTTATAATGTATGTTCTTGTAATACTCTTAATCATAGTGATATGATAACGCATTCATCACATGACTGCATTTCCTTTCGACCTCTTCTCTAACCTCCTCTGAAATACTGTTCTTCCAGGCATTGATGACTTTCTCAGTGTCTCGCGTTCGTGAAAATGGGCTACCAGTCCCCTGACCCTTATTTCCATGAGTATTATTCTTCAACCAACCGAGTACATCTTGATGAATGTTAATTCCCACATGCTGATAAATCCGCTGTGTTTGTTCTATAGGGTCTTCGGCTACATCCTCAAAGCGTACTAACATGTATTTGCCCTTTAGCCAGCTGGGTGGATCATCCTTGTACTGTAAGTTTCGAGCCATATGCTCGCACAGATCCTTGATTTCATCTGCATCGGGACCTTTCCGTCGCAACAGATCGGAGTTTGGTTCTTTGAGTTTACGACGCGAATTCATGACCGCTCTGGGATCGCGGACTAGATGGATAATTTTGAGGTTTAGACTTGGATCCTCAAGAAAAACCCTCAGATCCTTAATGTCGTTAACACGTATGGTTTTAAGAACTGTGTAGGGGCGATCTAAACACAGTTTTGAAATTATTGGACCAACTTTTCGATCGGGTATCTTTCTTACTGGACAGAGAAGCTTGGAGCTTTTCAAGGCTCCTGATAGCTGACAAGTGTTCAAACCACCTCGACTCAACCAGTTCTTAGTCCCCTGGCTAAATGTTGAATAGTTACAACGGAGGGTGTGGTTCCACAGCAAGAAAATCAAGGACTCGGCCTGTCTGTTGTCAATACGGTGCTTCAATACATCAAACGTCACTTGAAACAATGGTTCGTACATGTAAAAAACTTCTGGATTCGAATTAAACAACTCTCCTATGAAAGATGATCCAGAGCGTTTTGTTGTGACAATAATGATTTGAACACGTTTGGCTGATGCTGGCTTATCAAGGATTGGAAGCGACGAGCGTAGGATTTCAACATTACTTTTCCTATTTGAAATTGCATGTTTTTCATATGGCATATGAAATTCTCTAGATGTATTTTCTTTGGATACGCTGTCACTTGAAAACCGTCCATCCTTGTTATTCTGTACTTCAATTACTGCATTTCGTCCAGATGTCGCAACAATGTTAGCAAGAGTATCAATCGCGATGTGCTGTTCAGGATATGATTCTGTTGAACCTTTAATTGTGCTTCCATGAAACTCCCAGGTATTGACGGCTCTGGATGAATCATTAGAATCGTCATTTGATGCTCGTGTAAAATCATATTGTTTTCCATACTTCATCATTTTCTTCGATTCAAGGAAGTGTGGAATCACGGCATCGTCTGAGGAAAAAAGAAACACGACATAATTATGTTCATTGAAGCAGCGGCGTAGCTATGGAGGATGGGTACAGTGGGGGAATTGCCCCCAATTAATAGAATTACAAGGGGAAGAAGTGAGAGCGAGGGGATAAATACAGGAAAAGGACAAAAGAACATGGGATGATATAAGGAGATATAAGATATAAGGAGATGCTTTTCAAAGATTATGCCGTTAGCGATGGGTGCGCATAATGTGTAAATTGTCTTGGGCTGAAAACAGCCCATCGCACCGTATTGCTACCGTATTCGCTATACCGTATTGCTGCGAACCGAATTTCGAAGAAATAACAATTATATTAGAAATGGAAATATAAATAAACATCGTCTTCCTTCTTTAGGTTATAAATAAAATAAGAATATTATCAACCTGAGTTGTATTGTATTTAAGAGAAGGTCGAGTTCTGGAAAGAGGTGAAAAATAATTTGTGAGTGTTATCATTGTATTAGGCAAGTGTGGAAGAACATCAGAGAAAAAACGTTCTTGAAAAGCATGGCTCAAATGCCTAAAATTCTAAAAGTGGCATGTATTAAACAAATCCACACACAAAAGACAAACACTTCAACGGAATTAAAAAAAAAAAATGAAATGTCAAGTCGACTAATTGAAAGCAAGAGTGAACCAATAGAGGTGGTTTACTAAAATCTCAAACATGTACTTATAAACTATAGGTCAAAATCCTTAGAATGTTTACTCTGAAATGTTTGCATGTTTGTAATTGATGAAATCGTGTCAAACATTAACCAATCAATCTTGATCCAATGCTGATCTCAATCGTATATTTCTCAGTATACAGCTACTTATGGACATCATGATAATGAATATTACAAACATGGAATATCTTTTACATGAAACTAGTTACTATTATTATTATTATTATTATCATTATCATTATTATTGTGATTTTCATTATCATTATTATTATCATTATTATTATCATTATTATTATCATTATTATTATCATTATTACCATTATTATTTTCATTATCATTAGCATCTTTATTTGTATTATTATTATTATCATTATTATTATCATTATAATTTTAGTAAGAAATGAATCCTGACTTACCCCACAAAAAGAGGCAGAAGTAGACGAAAGAGAATAGGCCTACAAGTAAGATGATGTAAGTGCTCCGTTTGGTAAAACCACTTGTTTGGGTTGGTCCCATCGTGAAAAAAGGTCGTGGCTTTGAGTCTCTTTGGACCAAGTAGTTTTATTGTTATACTAGTTCATTTCATATGACGACAGGCATATTTTAGATTTACAAGTTACACACTCAAGATCGAGCTTATTTCTTCGTTGCTTGTGATCTGAAGAAAAATATGATGCATGATAGAAACGAGTTTATGTTTCTATCAAAAAAAATAATGTTATCATCAAATTATGAGTAAACCAGACCAAGTTGGTCACATAAAAAAGAGCATGAAAACACATCAAACTTAGCATAAGAAATGTTACAATATAAAGAGTTCCAATTATTACAAAATATTATGATAACTTTTTAAGTTGCTTTAAATAAAGTTTCAATATTATATCTTAAATATTACCTATTCATTTTATATCCCGTATATTTTGGGCGGTGTTTGTTAATTAACGAACGTTTATATGGGCAACATCAAAATATATAGGCCCCTCAATACCCTGCTGGTGACCTCTCGATTCTATGAAAATAAACAGGAGCACCAAATAATTTGAAAGTGATATTGGAAATGATTTTTGAACAAAGATTAAAATTCAACTAATGATTTGATTTATTTATATTCATGCTGCTTCATGCTGTTTATTTAGATTCATTTTGCTTCAATCTATACGAACGTGATCGAACCCGATTGACGTTTACAACGTACGCATTTTTAAAACCCCCAAATTAATAAATTTGACATCACGAAGCAAGTGTACAAACTAAAGTATAACGACCACATTCGAAACAGATAACCTTTACAAAGAAATAAAAACTCGGTTGACTCAATGTCATACGTTCAGTATACTTTGTCTTAAGTCACTCGAAACCCATTCACCTGTAAATCGTTTGCACCCATAATAGAATAACCTGTACCTTCGATTCTATTAGAATGTTTGGCGGATAGTTACTCTAAGTATAATTGTTCCTTGGCATACACCTTACAAAGAAAATATGTTTATGTGCACTTGGCTTGATAACAACTCCAATGCACCATTCTTTTTGGAAGGAAATTACCTATTTCCCGATATTTAAAACTTGTCAATGTAATCTTTTTCAATAGAACAATTTATTCTAGAGTTTTGTCGATGCTTATCTGACATAGCAAGACATAGTTTACTGATTACTAAAACCATTTGTCAATCGGGGTAAGACTTTATTTTATAATATCACATAGATTAACAAATTGCATTTTAAAAAGTTGCGTAAACGTAAAAATGAAGAAGAAAACGATAAATGAATAACCTTAGAGTATACTAAAGTCTAAATATTTAGTACTTTGATTTAAAATATAAGATATCTGTAAAGAAATAGTTAGTACTCTTACCAGTTTTTGAATCACATTTAGAGGCTTATAAGTATAGGTCTTCAACTTGAGTCTCCTACACTATCATGTATCGCTCTCAACTCTTCTGATTGGTGCTACTACGGTTCTCAAAGTCACAATTCAACGTACTAACATGATTAAGAGGTAGAAAAGCATACGCCTTACCACAATGAAAAGTGAAGTGGATAGTATTTGCTGGCAGTTAAATCCATATTATAATTATGCGACCCTCGGATGGCGTGGTGAGCTGGAACGAGCACGTCAACGAGTTTAACACAATCATAGATGTCCAACAATATGCACCCCCTCCTCCTCCCACTCCTTTCTCCAGCTCTCTCTCTCTCTCTCTCTCTCTCTCTCTCTCTTTCTCTCTCTCTTTCTCTCTCTTTATTTCTCTTTTTTTTTCTCTCTCTCTTTCTCCCTGTGTTCGGGTGTATATGTATACCTAGGTTTGCATCTGTCCATTTTTCCCGGCGTTTTTCTCATTTTTTCTGTTTCACCCCGCTCTCTCATAATTCAAGGAAATGCTTCATTTAATATCAGAATCTTCGTTTTCACGTGTTAACTAATGGCAGACTACTTTGTCTCAAGCATGTTTATTTTCTGGGATTTGTATATCTTTATTGGAAATGAATGTTTAAAAACTGTTTGTTAAACTCTTTATTTTTTCAAAAAAATCTGACATTGAAAAGGTGGAATAAGGTATGAAATATCCAGGGAAAGGAGACATTTTTTCACATGTTAATCTATGGCAGACGTAACTTTTCGGGTTCTAGGACACCTCCTGGACATCCAACCCTCGGATAACCACCCCCAGTCAACTAGCCCCTAAGACAACTACCCCCTAGGACAACCACCCCCAGTCAACTAGCCCCTAAGACAACTACCCCCTAGGACAACCACCCCCAGTCAACTAGCCCCTAAGACAACTACCCCCTAGGACAACCACTCCCAGTCAACTAGCCCCTAAGACAACTACCCCCTAGGACAACCACCCCCAGTCAACTAGCCCCTAAGACAACTACCCCCTAGGACAACCACCCCCAGTCAACTAGCCCCTAAGACAACTACCCCCTAGGACAACCACCCCCAGTCAACTAGCCCCTAAGACAACTACCCCCTAGGACAACCACTCCCAGTCAACTAGCCCCTAAGACAACTACCCCCTAGGACAACCACCCCCAGTCAACTAGCCCCTAAGACAACTACCCCCTAGGACCAGGCCCGTAGCCAGAGTTTGATGTTTTGGGGGGCACATACATGTAATTGATCGACGTCCTGGGGAGGGATCTAAAAAAGTTCAACCGATCTTGGAGAAAAAAATGGGGGGGGGGCGTGCCCCCCCCCCCCCCCGTGGCTACGTGCCTGCCTAGGAAAAACTACCCTCTAGGACAACTATCCCCTAGGACAACTACCCCTAGGACGATTATCCCCCGGACAACTATATCCTAGGGGGTATATAGTGGTGTACATGTTTTGAGTATGCCAGTAACCAAGCTAAAGGCTAAAGCGTGTAGAAAGAAAAATGAACATTAATGGCATGCATTTTCATGGAAGACAGATTTAAAGAGATTTAAACGTTATAAATTTCATACAAACATGCATTATATTCTCTAAGTTCAGCATGTATTTACGTGGTGATATTGTACAATGATGGTCCAATTAAGAACCAATCAAGTAATGAGTAACAATATGAAAATAATTCACTGGTATCAATATTTTGCCTTTAAATTCAGTAGATAATGAAACACACACTGGGTCTCTGCGTGCAGCCCAACCCCATGTTGTTGTTGTTGTTGGGTAATTGTTTATTGGCGTTCATTCAATGTTGAATATATACGCCATAATTATTTTTAATTTTATAAGGAAAATCAGTTATAAATAAGAAAACTGAGGATAAAGATTTGTAATGATATAATTAAAAAGTAACGCAATTTTTTAGGAGTCTCTGGATGGTTTGCAACTTCGTGTTTCTGCTTTTTTTTAAAGTTTAATCTGGTCAGCCCGGTTTCGATGGCATGGAAAACTAGCTTTGCCCAACCCCATGGATGAATTACTGTTAGTGGTTGATTAGCTTGATTTCAGAATGACAGATCTATATTATTTTAGTCTGTGATAATCTTTGGATAATTACAAAGTTGATCATGAGCTCTATTACCTTCGAAACAGGTCATAAAAATACAATAAATCTTGTGATAAATCGTGCAGTAATTAAATAACGAAAATCATGCTATAGCTTATTTGAAAAAGAAAAAGATATCTGTGTTATCTTGTATTATACAACACCTACGTGGATCCTTGTCATTTGATTGGACGATTGTTGGTCACATGATATTCAATAGATGGTATATTGCACGGTCGTGCATTTTTGGTTATATGCGCCGTGCATTTTTGGTTATATGCAGACTGCGTATCTCTCTGCTACATGTGCGCGCGCGTATCCCTGCGTGTATCTGACGCGAAGGCAATCTGCATGTAATAGAGAAGGCTTGACTCGAACTGTAATTTATCTTTATAAGGAGTAAAGCATAATTTGTTGATTAACGTTCTATTAGGTCTTCTTCGATGTTGTATAAAACAAATAATGAATGTTTTTCATTCGTTTAATAGTGCAAATATTTTCATTCGTTGAAAGATTAACGTTAATTCTATTCAACTCGGCTGACGCCTCGTTGAATAGAATGTTAATCTTTCAACTCATGAACATATTCGCACTATTGAACTCATAACCATTCATTATTTGTATAACATATAACGGTACTCGGTGCTCAATTTATTGTTTCTATCGTTTGGCATTCTTCACATAGTCCAGTGCTGTTTTTTCTATTTAGATATTTATAATAGTTTAGGTTACATTTACCAAGTTGGTGAATTAATCTTTCATCCTTTCGGTTCAAATCTTTGATTTTAAAAACATTACTTACATGGCTTTATTGATTCTTACTTACTTGGGTACAGGCGCGTACGCAGGATTTTTTTCAAGGGGATGGGGGGGGGGGGGGGGGTATAACATTTTTAAATCGGGCCGAACATTTCACAACGACTCAGCCAGCCGCTGAATAAGCTGGGGGGGGGGGGGGGGGGGGGGGGGTAAGAGGACACTTGTTTTGTTTTTTTTGGTCTCGAAATTTGAAAATTTGAAGAAAAAAATTAAAAGTAAAACAAATTACCAAAGGGGGGGGGGGGTTCAACTCCCCCCCCCCCCCCCCTTCCCCTGCGTAAGCGCCTGCTTGGGTATACTAGGCTAGGCTAAAAGTGTCTTCTTTTCTCTGCTTTATCCCAGAGGCTTTGACACATGAATTTATAGTAAATATATGAGTTTCTTATGAACTCACTTTTGCTTCGGTTTACTATGATATATGTGTGTTGTTTGTTCGAAGCTTGTTTTGCCGGTTCATTTATAAATAGCGAGCAGACCCAAAATAAAAGTCTGACCGCGTAGACTACGTTATCTCAATGTGTACCATGCATGTGTAATATATCGGGTACACTACGCGGTATATACGGTGCATGTGCTGCAGTTGTATTATCCACCGAAGTCTGAAATTTAATCGCTGAAATCAAATCTATCTTTATTTAATATTTGTAAACAAACGATGGCAACACAAGGAAAAATCGTTTTTGTAACCGTAGGTACCACAAGCTTTGATGCATTAATAGAAGAAATTTCAAGTGACAAGACTCTTACTGTAAGTATTTTGTGAGAATATTGACATTGTTTATCATGTCGGCTGTGTCTGTCGCGGGAGTCAGCAAATTTGCCCGGGCCCACCCCGGCACAGAAGGGTGGGAAGCAATATACGCTTAGGGCCTAGGGGGCTTTAGAGTGTGGCCGTGCACTTCATGACTTGCACTGTACAGTCGTCCGGGTTGAGTATTTTTGTACTTGTGTGCAGTGCTGCATGCTGTGAACCACTCCAGCAAAGCATAGTAGACTAGTTAAACAGAAATAACTGTCTGGTATATATATATATGGGTCATTCTTTAATAAAACTGACATTTATCAACATTCCCCATCAGAGGGGTGCGGGCCAGATGAAATCTCAGCGGAACAACCGTCAATAATATCATTCAGAGACTGAAGCTTTCGGTCTATGTTAGTAGTCGATGCTATATGCCTAATGCATATTGACCTCTGTTGTATACGTGCTGAGAGGCATCAATCTTGTACACGTGTACAAAACAAATGGGAAAAAATAAGAATTATTGTTGAAATCCTTACATTTTAATGCGATGCTCCAAATTCATACTACTGGTAGTGTTACCGTAAATGACCGTAATAATTCAGTTCTGTAATTTCCAGCTGATTCACAGCTCAAAATCATTTAGAAAAACTGAAGAAAACCCTGCTTATTTTCCTCCATCGTGTCTCACTAATACGCATTACGGACCTAGCAATTTTTTCCAGAATCTAGTGCCTTTAGCTTTGGTTTTTGTTTAAAAATCTAGACTCGGTCATAACAACAGGTCGATGTAGAAAAACTGATAACTAGACAGAAAATAGATATAACTTTCATGTACTATAAAAATGACATTGAAAATCATTTTAAAACATTAAAAAATAAGGAATGAGAGTCTAGTTACTTTTAGCTACATAGAATGGCGAAGTGTGACGTCATCAAAATCTCCTAACCATTAGGAGCCAGAGCAAATATATTATTCAGATGGTCATATCTCAGCCAATACTTAACATATTCAATCTATTTTCAACATTTGAACATTATTTTTGCTGCTCTTTCGGAAAATGAAGAAAAAAATTAGAAATTCTAAAAACTGATTTTTATGACGTCACAGCTTCGGTACTCTATGTAATTTGTCAGTTTTTTTTTAGCTTCTGCACTCGATGAGATCACACACAAACTGCATAGTGTAACCTCCCCTCATTTAAGGGGAAGTCCACCCTGATACTAAGTTGGTTTTCATAGAAACATATAAATTAAAAGAGACACAGTTCAGCAAAAGTGTGAGCAAAAAAAACAATTGAAAATAAGAAAGTTATGAATTTTTGAAGAGAAAACAATTCAGTGGAGTGGAGTGGAGAGTGATTTTGCCTAATAGAAATCAATCGCACAAAAAATGGCAACTCTGTGACATATCTTGAGAGGTGCCCTCCCAAATTCCTTGTAGTAAATAACAACAAAAATCTTTGTTTTCCCTGAAGAAAATTTTCAAATGTACATTCACCCTAAAAATACTTATTTGCAAATATGTTTTTATGCAACCACTGTAAGAAACAAAGCTATTCTGTCATCAATTACTAAGAAACAAAAATGTATGGAATTTTCTGTACAGAGCAAATTGGAGAGGAGCTCTCAATGTATATGTCACAGTGTTGCCAATTTGTGTCACTTATGACAACTTCAAACATTCCTAACTTTCTTTATTTGAATTCGATATTGCTTAAATCATCATCACCATCATGAGAATTATTTATCTGATACTCTTATGTTTTTCAGTTTTCCTTGCTATCCTGCTAACAAAACTCAATACATTTTCTGTTATTTACTGTAAATGTAGGTAGTATTGAAATACCTAATACAGTAATACTATTATACCTAATATTGGCTATGTTTCCCTTTTGTCATTTTTGTAATTCATTTATTGTTTACCAGATTCTTAAGCGTTTGGGTTACTCTAAAGTCATCCTCCAGATTGGAAGAGGAAATATCGAGCCCCAGCAGATCAACCAACCTGATTTTTGCCTTGAGGCTTACCGATATAAGGACTCCATTGCAGAAGATATTTACAATGCTGATCTGGTCATAAGTCATGCAGGTACTGGTATAGACACTAATACCAATCTGGTTCGGGGAATTTTTCAATTCAATTCAATTTCAATTTCAAATTTATTCATGTTTCCAACAAAACATTACAAATCAATTATAAGCATTTAAAACAAATTTAAGAAATACATGTTGGAAACAGAGGGGTCCACTAAAAAGCAATGCTTGTACAAATGTAAACACCTCAAGTCTACCAATCACTAACAAATATTTTGGTCTGTGTTTTAGGTGTTCCTTTTGGTTATTCTATTTATATGGCTTTAAAGGTAATACAAAGTTTTGGTATGGGGTCATGAATTTGGTTCAAATGAACGTATTGGAAGCATATGCAATTTTGCAATTTTCAATGATCATTGTCGCGGTTAAAATTGATTCTAAAGTGATGAAATTGTAAATAATAATGTTGTATAGCGTCCTCTCAAGACTGATATTACTTCAGCTTTAAAAAAATGTTTCTTCACTACAATCGACCAATTTGCTATTCCCATTTGGAAATTATATATCAGAACTGCATATCCTGAGATTTTAATGGTCGCAGCTCCCATGGAATTGCCTTAGTTGCTATTTGAAATTGACTTGGAGCACCGGTAAATTTTTGATTATTCAATTTCTTCGAAAGCAAAAGGGTTTTAAAGGCTAAATTTGTTAGTGCTTACATCAACTGGGGAATCCAAATATCCTAATTTTAAAGAATTACTATCTATCCAATTTTCAAAATTTCCCAAAACTTTGAATTACCTTTAAATATTACTTCAATAAAGAGATGATGCATGTTTAAATTTACACATCATTAACATAAAAGGGGCTTGTGAGTAGGCTACATGTACTTGGCGCACCTGTTTACGCTCAAATGGAATTAGGGCCGACGCGGATCCCAAATCAAACTTGGGTTCCACACATGCAGTTTTATGTTATTCATTATTTTTCTTCATATTCCTTTTATAGATTTTTTGAGATCGATTTATACATTCTAGCTGTACATGAATGATTTTGTTGGATGATTGATGCTCATATTGAAATGAAAATTTAATTATTGCACTGGAAATTATTGCTTGACATTTAGTAATGCACTACCTGATGAACTTGTAATCTTTGGCCTGATTTGGTTGCAGGAGCTGGGAGCTGTTTGGAGACCCTTGGAGCAAGGAAACCCCTTCTTGTTGTTATCAATGAACTCCTGATGGGAAATCATCAGTTGGAACTTGCAGATCAGCTGTGTAAAGATGAACACCTATTTCACACAACACCAAGGTATGCTGTTAATCAAGAATAAAATATATGTAGCCCCCAAGGTACCATAACCAAATACAAACACAAATACAGTCAACCTCGCACAAGTTGACATTGCATGTGTTGAATAAACTCTTAAAGTGACTCAGTAACATTGTTGAAGGTTGATGAAGAAAAAAAGAGGGTAATTTTTATATTAAAAAACCATAGCGCTCAGTTCAAGGAGCGAATCATACCAGGTACCCACTTGTTACATCTGGGTCAAGTGTGGCAAATATGAATTTAATGACTTGTCAAAAGACGTTCATGCTGTGGCATGGATTTGAACCCGGTACCTTATGGTTCACAGTCCAGAGTCTTCTCCTCTAGACACCTTTCTATGACGACTGTTTCTTTTTTTTGGTGTCCTTTGATAACAGCAAACTGGCACATGATCTTGAGACGATGGATTTCTCTCTGCTAAAGCCGTTCCCTCCTTGCGACCCGTCAAATTTCTCATCCTTCCTGGACAAAGCTTTAGGAGTATCCTGAGATTCGATGCAGTGCAGCGATGCGATACATTCCAAATCAAGGTCCTTTAAAGGGAAAATTTTCCCCTTTTTTTTAATAAAAGCAGAAAGATGAGAAAGAAACAGATTACTTAAATTAGAGAAATATCCAACAAAGAATAAGAAGATGTATTTTTGAAATTCTAATCAATCAAACACAGATCAGCAATTCCTTGATATGCTTACGATAAAACCTCCCATTTTACTTCATTCTGAAATTTTCATAAATTTCCCTTTTTAGGGTTTTGATAAAGGATTAGATCTTTTTCATTAAGGGGTCATGTAGAAACATTTGTGAAATGATTATATTTAGGGCAGCTCATATAATGGGGATAATAGTAGCATAACATCTCATTAAATGTCGGTTAAAATAAAGTTTTCAGTGTACTAATAAGTTCAATCATATGTCACTGAAGCCTTAAAAACAGACATTTGTAAGGAAAAACTGATTAAATTTTACACTTTTCATTGATATGTTATGTCAGTAATGCTGCTTGTAAGTATTGGCTTGCATGGTGATGTAGACAGACAGTAGGCTTGCGGATGCACCATGTGAGAGAGAGGGAGGATTGAGGAGTCCTGAAAAGGACTCTCGGTAACCTTTCTTGAGGGTGAGTAGTCCTGAAAAGGACTGTTGGTGTAGTCTTAAAAAAAGACTGTTGGTTATCTTTCTTAGCTTATAGTTCTAGCGCTTGGAGAGGATGAGTGGCGGGAGTGGCTCAACGTTTCGAACAGGTTGACAATCCCTCAATCCTCCCTCTCTCTCTCACATGGTGCACCGTAAGCCTACTGTATATGTCAGTAATATCGTCGCCTGGGTGGCAAAAGGGCGTAAGCTCGAATATCAGGTGGCCGTGTTCTACATTAACAATTCTATTAGCCTTAGTTTTGAACCAATTTGGGGGACAGAAAGCAGTTTAAATATAAAACAAATCTTTAAATGCGCATAGCCATAATTCGAAAAGTAGTTTTTGAGTGGCTTGCGCGCTAACGCCCTTCTGCCAGCCGGGCAAGGATATGATCATTGAAATCAAACGTAGTACCCATTCTTTAGCTCCATTGCAAATACACCACTTCTTTTTGAAAGCCTTCAACCTCCCATTTAAAGGCAGTTGAAATTTTCTTACCGTTCATTTTGCTAATGGGGGGGGGGGGGCTGTTAATTATGAATCCACCCTGTCAATAATGATTGGCTGCTTAATATAGGATCGTTATGCTTCTTATTGTTTTAAATTTTCTATTTTTCATGCCTGTCGAGTTTTAGCAGTTTAATGTAAGAAATATCACATCTCAGAATTTGTTGAATGTGTTTAGGACATACCTTAAAGCTCTGAAGCTACATACAACTGGCATTTTATCATTGAAAAAACTATTTAATCAAACATCATTATTACACTTATGTTTATGTGGAATTTCTCTCTCGTTTCGTTCACAAAATATAGATACAGCTGGTCTGTGTGACATGATTTTGTTCATTGCTGATGTATTATCAAATAAAGATTGATATATTCTAAGATTCATAGAAATGTTTCTCTTCTTTTGTCTATTTATCATTTTATACTAACTATACACAGAGCTAAAAGATTTGTGCTAACATACAATGTAAATGTCATGATATCTTGGAAAGATGATCTATTGTGACAAAAAGGAATTTGGCAATGAGTGAATCTTTTCAGAGCTAATGTGCATTTCAATTCCGTTAGCCAGGATGTAACAACTTCCGAGGATATATATGTAAAACTCCTTTACATTAGGAGTGTTAGGTATTTTTGGAGTGTTTCTAGATGTAAAACAAAGGAGTGGCTTTCTAACAGGGGAGCAAAGGAATCCATATTCTTTGATACCCAGTAATAGTTTTACTTACTGGTATCAGTTTAATAATGTGTCGGACAATAGAGGTGAAAACCAATACAGCAATTAAACCATATTGAATGGGTGTGTTCCTCAAATCAAGCAAACAAATGTATGCATTCACGAACCTGATCCAGTATGGTATATACCTGTAGTTGTGGACATATGCAAGCGCTCTGAAATGGTGAGAAATACTGCACCTGGGATTTTTGTTTCAATTTCTAATTTTCATATGTTTTCATATTGATTATCAGGAGTAAATATGTATGCTGGAGATTAAGAAAGAGAAGGAGAGAGAGAGAGAGAGGAATGGAGACACATACAGGGAAAAACAGAATGACAGGCAGAAATAGAGAGATACAGAGAGAGAGAGACAGACAGGTAGACAGATAATGATTGCAATAGTTGGGAAACTACATGCAGAAATACATACATGTACATGAAGAGAATGATGACGAGAGAATGGAGACAAGAAATCTTTTGTTGAAATCAATTTTGTGGTATATCTGATTTCAAAGGCAAATATTTCTTTGGACATACATGTATGGCAATTTGTTCATGGTATTCATAATTTGTTCAAAAGGCATTTCAAAATAATTCAAGTCAAAAATTGACATGTACATTGTACATGACTCCATATAATTTAATGCTTTCGATGTGCAGCTACATTTATTCATAGATGTGTTCATGGTGAACAAGAACTTACACTTGCAAATATATGTAGTTCCTGTGCTAATCTATGGGAAGTAGTCAAAATATGAATTTTAAAATTATATAGTGACATATAAAGTCACTTATTCTGTATTGTCCTAAATAGAGAGATAATTGGGCTACCCATATCAATAATAGTCAACTATCAAGAATAGTGTATAACAATCTTTATATGTCTTTTCTTTACAGACTAGCATAAGCATACAAAGAAGCTGTTGCACTGCCATTCTTCATGATTGTCTGAAACTTGTGCAGTCACCCTTCATCAAGTATTGCTACTGTATGGTAAGTTGCTGACTGGGAGTTGTTTTTAGAATTGCTACTGCCACTTCTCCTGGCGATCTGTTGCACCATGTAAAAAAAGAGCTTGGGGTATACATATGTACTGAAAAATGAAGTTGAACGAGTACTGGTCATCAGATTACAATGTAAAATAAACTGCCAGGAAGAAAATTGGGAAATGTTAATACGTAATACAAAGCATATACTGTGAGGTTTAGAAACGATCAAAATGAAAACAAATCTACTAAATCTTGCTGAAAATCACATGCAATGAACACCAAATTGGATATATTGGACCACAAACCATATGTAGCATGGAAGTTTAGTGCAAACTTTTCTGCTCGCTTTTGTTATTTCAAATATGAGGGCATTTGAAGAGCGATGATCCTTTTCAATGGAAAAGGGGGGAGGGGAGGGGGGCAGCACTTGCCTCCTCCCTCCCTGACAAACCACCGATCAGTTGCTATGGCAAATGATACAATGCTAACTATCAATTCTTTTTGTGTCACTATCAGATATCGAATGTCGTCTTTCTGCTGCTGTATAGCTACATCATCCTATGTAACTTCAGAGCTTCAATTTCAATGCTCCTTATCATCTGGGTTGGTGCGCTCTACATCAAAGAGTTCATCCAGGTCTGTAGGGACACTTTCTCTGGCTTTATTTCGTCCAAATTTCAAGGCTGTGTTTCGGTTGTACGTCAAGTTTAGGGTTAGGTCCATCGTATGGTGTTGGGTCCATGGTTGAAGTAAGGAATTTGGTTAGTATAGGAAATGACTATGAAGCAATTGTCAAAGGAGGATGTTTCCTGCAACCAGGTTTATAACACTCTCTGTGTCATCTGTAATGAAGCACCTGAATGTAGGTGAATGAACCCTGGCTAAATCAACCAATGGCTTGAAGGAACATTTCAAGAAGAAGTCTTTTGAAAAGACTTTAAAACAAATCAACCTAAGACAATTGCATTAGCCTTGTTCATTTTAATAATAAAATTTGTTAATATGACAAAGAAATTTATTAGGTAATTTCAACATTATTTATCTGTTTTTTAGAAGATTACTATGCTAATTTTGTATACCTGTTGGCAACTTCATTCTCTCATTCTTATTATTTGAGCTTTTGGAGATCACCTGGTTCCTTTGAGCAATGGAGGAATCATTATCATTATTACATACTGGTAATTATCTTATTAGATCCAGAGTTCCTGGTCCATCAGTTGGCAGCATCGTATAGGTATGGTTCTCTAAATGCTGGAACCAAGTTGACCGTTTGACCTTTGCAGCATTCACCATCGCAATGGCCCTAAAATGTACCTTGGACAGCGTAGGGGCAGCAAGGGTCATCTTGGCAATGAATCAGATGGTCCTGTACATCCGACTGTGCCTTTAGTTCTTGAAGGCCCCAAAACATGCAGGCCCTCTTCTGTCTATGATAAGAAAAATGGTGAGAGTTTGTGATAATCATTTTTTTTTTGCACTATTAAGTTTGAATTCTGTGATACATGTATATTGCAGGACTTCTTTCAAACTTTAAAATGTATGTGTAGGGATCATATTGTTTGAAATTTAAATACATATTCTAATATCTCTGAATGGGATAATCGTTTTCCAGAAAAATTAATTAATTGCTATCCACTTTGACCCCTGCATTAGAGCCCGGCTTGTTGGATTGTTTTACTAGTGTTCAGTGCAATTTTTGCAATTACTCCACTGATGAACGTTGAGTAGTCAAAGGAGAAGCACATAATCCGTTGTCATCATAACCATTCTCTTCACAATTCTTATCTCATTTGCATAGTGAGAGAAAAAGTGATATAGCCTACAGTATCTAACATTTCCAGTATAGAAAATAAAATAAAAAAAATATATTTGGGTTGAAAGAAACCCACTGAAAATATGTGCTAATGACTGTTACAATTTGTTTAGCTTTGCCTGAATTAATAGGTATAACAGTAGATTAAAAATTACTTTTTATACTATTAAGGGCTCCATCTTCTAAACAGTAATGATTTATTAAAATTAATTGCAATTTGATATAATTTGCAGCTTTGTACTAAAGAGATTGATTGGAGGACTTGCTACATGTATTAATCCAGATCAACTCTTTGTAAGACAGGCCCTTGAGTTTATAACCCGAAACTTTATGAGTAATGCATATTCATTCTCTTGTTATTGTTTGACACTTGACAGATCTGTCTTACTTCCTGGGTATCTGCACGGTTATCCACGCAAGCCAACCTCTTCCCTAACACAACAGACCTGACCAAATTGATGAATGGTGTGTTTAAGAGAGCATACTTCCATATGTTTGGGGAGCTCTTTCTGGAGGAAATAAATTGTGAGTTTTAAAACAGACGAGGGTGTTGACACTTTTCATGTTTTTGTTGAATGCAAAAACGAACTGCCAGGTCAGGTATTTAGGAAAGTTTCCTACTGTACTATTAGACTTTTTCCCATGAACAGTAAAATCACTGTTTGAAACTGTCTGAATCAGTTATTTGTCAGGATTGAAAATGTATTCTTAAGGAATACGATCACAAAGACTTACAGAAATAAAGTCAAGGTCTATTTCACTACCCCATTGTTTTGCTTATAGAAATCATGTTATGTTCACACATTTCTTAAATGGATGCACAAGGCTATTGAAACAGTTCATGTAATGCATAATTTGTATAGTTACTTTCATGACTTGAACATGCTGTGTCGCATATATGAATTATGAAAGGAATATTGAGTAATAAGAGGTTAACTTATCCCATTTTGATCACAGTTGACTTTGTCTCGTAATGAGGGTGGGAAGTGGGATATGGGCTAGACTGTCCAGTATATCCTACTACCATTGAGCTATTGAGGTAGAATGCCATAATAATCAAAGTTAACATCATCAAGTCAAACATTTTTAAACAGGCTGGTTGCATGACGCTGGTGGCAAATGTTCCATAGTAACCCTAAACCTAAACCTAAACTAAAACCCAATTACAACCCTTACTCCACTGGTCGATTGGTCCGTGTTCTGCTTATTCAGTTAAACATTACCCCGAGTCTAAATTCTAGTTCAACAAATAACAAAATTAGACCACGGACTAACTTTCTTTTTGGACAAAACCTTAAATCTAGTATCAGGTTTTAATGTTAGTAGAATACTGGCCAATGTCATTGACAGAGCTTGGAGCAATTGTCGGAGCACCTGATGGCTTTGTGTATTATATTTGTTTGGCAGGCAGACAGGCATGTACAGGGGATGTACATCCATGACTAATGTTTTTACAGGAATATCCCATTAACCTCATGGTCACCATCATATTTTGGAAAGTAATGCCAAACAAACGAAAAGCATAATGAGCCAATATCTTCCAAACTTTCAGTTTGTTGAACAAGGAACAGTTTCAATTTCATGCTAATATGTGATAGAGATATTTTTGTTTAAATTATATTATTGCTCATACATGTAAGTGTTTGACAGCCCATGATTAGTATCCTAAAAGTGTATATTGCTAATAATGACGATAAACAATTGAGTGTAACTATGGAATAATATACCATAGTCAATTTGATTTGTTTATCGATGTAGATTTCTTTCACAAACAAATGATGCAAGAATGCTATACACATCTAGGTATTACTATCTACTTGGGCAGACCCCACGAATGTCCCTATTGTCATAAACAGTAGCTGTCAAAAGGTGATTGATATTACATGTACAACTAGACTTGACTCCTCCCAATACTAGTATCACGATTGTAGCTTTCTCTCACTCCCCTTTCTCTCTACCCCTTCTCTTCCTATGCTCTTTTTCTACCTTTCTCTCCAAATTTGTATGCATCGCTTCATATTGTATGTATGGTTAATTTCATTTTCTAGAGGAGATCACTTCAAGCTTATGCTTATGACAACCCTTTTCTGTATATATCATGTCATTATCATTGATCTAAAGCTTTAAAGGTAAAGACCAGTTATGGTCATGCGATTGCATTGTGAAAGAAACGTTGTGGAATCGATCAGAAAAGGTTGATCATCTAGCATCTACAAGGTTCTGGAATCATCAAAATGATAAGAAATTTGGCCCATTCTTCGTAAAGTTGCAAGCACTATACACAGAAAGATGTATATGGGACTACCCTATATCTCTCACAGACCATGAGAGAAACAAATTTACCAAATATATGAATTAGTAGGCGGTTTCTTGGCAAATTTTGTATCATCATGTATTAGTCAAAACATATTCTTTCACATGGTTGGTAATGAGAGCTTCCATTTCATTTTTTGAAATTGGGGCGTTTCCAATACTGGTCTTTACCTTTAAGATGGTAAATGCATATGTATATATATATATGTATTGATGTTTATGGAATATGTCATGTTTTGTCAGAAATAACACCCTGTGTAATATTGCCTTTTCGGTACACCTCTTACAAACACAATCTACCTAAAATTGAGGAGTTGTGGTCCGGTTGATAAGTCTTCTGACTGTGAACCACAAGGTGTGGGGTTCTAACCCCTGTCTCAGCACTACTGTCCTCTGGTGAGACATTAATATACAGTTTCCACACTCCACCCAGTTAAGGTACCAGTAAATGGGTACCTGGCAGGAATGAATTCCTTAAAATGCTTTTCGCTGTAAAGCCAGGGTAATAATAATGGAGCACCAGGAGTGGCATTGTGCCAGACATGAGCACTATACAAGACTCCACTCTTTATTATTAATATTATTCATATTATCATTGTTATCATTATATTTTATTATTATTATTATTATTTTTATTATTACTGTTTGACTTTATATGACCAGGAGAGGTTATTACAGAAAGTTAGAAAGTACTTGTTCTTTCTTGTTTTTTTTTTATTTTAATTATTTTTTCTCTTAGGAATTATAGTGAATTAGGTTCTTGGTTTTCATGTATCTCTCTCTCCCCCCCCCCCCCCCCCCCTCTCTGTCGTTATCACCAGAACTCTTTGTCACATGTTCACACTTATTTATCAATTTTTCCTTTGAGATTCTCTTGCATTCATGCATGTAAGGCACAAGTAAGATTTTATATAATTTTGCACATATTTATTGAAACAGCAATTCAATTTTATTATGACTTGTGAAAAAGCTGCTTAGTTTCTTTGTAATACCATGGACCTACTTTCGTAGTAGGTCCATTTCAATACATCGCCATGCATATTTTTTTTTGGTGGCAGTCGGTGCAATATATAAGTTACACAATAGTGATAAAGATATTTTACATCGTAGAATTGTACAGTAATATATTTTGCAAGATTGTCTAAACATGAATCATTTATATACACATCTATGCATAAAAGTACTGAGTAGCCATAGTTATTTACAGATTAAATGCTCTTTATGAAACAAATACCTCTTGTTATTCGTAATGTTTATGGATTTGATTATTTATGGTATTTCATGTTGTAGAATGGGTTTTTCCAGTATTAACTGCTTGTAATTCCTAGATAAATCCAGGAAAGGGATGTGAGTGCTACACAAGTCACAATATTTATTATGACAAGAGGATGTGGTTGTCTAATGTACATATTTAAGGCATACAATCTAAAGGATAATTCACCTTCAAGTTAGGTTAAATATTAAAAACTCAAATGAAAGTTCTGAATTCATAATCAAATTGAACAATTCTAGAATAAAATGGCAGTGTCTTCCTTCAATAAACATTGGGAGCAGCAGAGAGTTAGATGAACAGTAACATGTCAATATTTTTTTTTCTGTTCATAAAGTTAACACAATATTGTCATTTCTATACAACTTTACAGTATAACACAACTTATATACACTATAATATTAATACCCTAAAAATTGTAAACTTATTTTATACTTTATACTTGTAAAAATATAAATATGTGAAAAATAGAGATTGTGACATTTCGTGTGCATTTTGGAATTCTTATTTTTTAACGGGTTCTCATTATGTTGCTAATTTAAGGAATACAATTTTATCAGTGATCAAATCTCTTTAAAACAAAAGCTTTCTTTCAAAAATCATCATTATTCATGAGATCTGCATGAATCCACATTAAAAAATACCAATCATTGAATAGTGAACTATACCGGAAGGTTTTACAAGATACTGATCCTCAAATATGTTTTTGGAATTCAATGATTAAAGGGAAGCCCACCCTGAAATTAAATTGGTTTCAATAAAAGCTGAAAAATGAGAGAAACAAATTAGGAAAGTTAGTAATGTTTTAAGTTGACATCAGTGAAACACAAATCGGCAACACTGACGTATTTTGCGAGCTCCTTCACAAATTGCTCTGTACAGAAAATTTCATAAACTTTCATTTTCTTAGTTATTGATGACGGAATAGATTCGCAATAATTATATTAAGGATGGAAGTATGATCAAAACAATAACATTTAGGTTTTGTCAAGGTTTTAAGTATAGGGCATGTGGGAAGGAGCTCGCAATTTATGTTTTATTGATTGCACCTTCAAAAATTCATAACTTTCTTAGGTTTAATCGGTTCTTTTGCTCAAACCCTCACTGCCCTGTTTCTCTATTTTTTTCTATAAAAACCAAATTAATATCAGGGTACGCTTCCCCTTTAAGTATAAAATACCCTCATAATATAACAAACCATTTCCATATCCATAGCATATGAAATTGAGCATTTTGATTAACAGTCAAACCATCACTTTCATAAAGAATGACGGTATTGTAACACAGGTATACAAATATTATATTGTAACTTCTAATTTCCATCTTCAACCAAAAAAGTGATCAACTGGCAGAAAGGGATATAAGCAATAACGCATATGAATGACAATCTTCCGTACAATAGTCATAAATCGAAGACATTGTATATAAACATGATTTGTTTTTGTTTGTTTGTAATGAGTTCCAAACTACATGGATTTTATATTGAATGTGATAATATTGCCAGTACAGTCTTACAAATTTAAGATTGCATTACAAGAATATTTAAAAGTGTACCAATCACCAAAATATATTTTGTTCTGTTAATTACTTTCAAACATTACTTCTATAGATACAGTTTGCACGTTTAAATACACTCTTAAATACCATAAAAGTGACTTGTAAATAAACTACTTGACATGGCATATGCGCTCGCAAAAAAACAGGGGGCTGAAAGTGCACGGTTCCATGTTATTCTTTATTTTCTTCATACTCCTTATCCATTAGCCCATAGAACTTCAGGTGAGGTATTTTATAGATCGATTTTATAAATTCTAGCTGCGCACAAATTATCTTTTTAGGTGATTGGTACACTTTAACATTAATCAGGGACTTGGGATACTCTTTAAATAGTATACCATGTACAGGAAGCTGCAAATGTAATCTGAATTGAATTATATCAACATCTAGTCCAACACTTTTTAATCAATATGTTATTGTTTACTGCACTGTGATGTATAACACTGTGTTTCTATCATTTGTACCCTGTTCATTCTACTTTTTTTATTCATTCACTTTCTGTAGGCCTGCTTTTTAAATTTTCCAAAAACCAAATGTACTCATAAACTAGATTTTTAGGTTACCACCAATCATTCTATTGGTATCAGCGATATGTTGCAGTTGGAAGAAAAAAAAAACATTATCCCCGTGGAGTGTTTTTGACAGTAACTGAACCACTACATCTTTTTTTTTCATTTCGAGGGTCATTCCAAATCTGAATTGCCTATTCTAGAGTCTTTTTTCCTCCTTGATTCATTTTTTCTTCATGCTCTTGGTTTTGGACGTTGAGGGCCTTGAGAGTTGATTATATTCTTCACTTGGAGAGATACATGAGTAAGGACCATCAGGCGCTGTAGGGGTACTGGTATTTATCATACTTCTTCTGTTGCTGACACGACTACTCCTTGCACTGCGGTTGAGTTTGTCATATGCTTGTTCTTCCAAACTATACGTCGAGGATCTTTTCCTCCCTCCTGGATAGAAGGTTAATGTTCCTTCTGCTCGGCTATTCCGGTCATTACCAAACTCGTTTTCTGACGAGCTCATATAGTCCTGGGCCATAGATCCTAGACTCGACCTCTCTCGAGGGGTCTCCAACTGAAAATATGTAGGTGTCTTTGAGGCCGCACCATTTAAATGACTCATGGTGGAGTCATTGTCAACACATACATCAAAGTGGTTGTGTCTAAACACGGAGCCACTGATTGCACATTTATCATTTTTATAGATTGTAGCTGTTTTTTCATGTTGATCGTGGTATGATTTCTGCTCATCACGCTTCTTTCTCTTCTTGGTGTCTGGAGGCAAACTACTAGGTTTCTCAAAATATTGCTTGTTGTTGGTTTCCTCATTCAAATTTTCCAGCTCAAAGTAGTGATTCCTTGATGCATTTGGATCCTCCAACTCAAAATATGGATTAGCATCAGGGAAAACACTTAAGTCTGTTTGGTCATCTGTGTTCTTTGCGTGATAACCCGTTGGTTTGATTTCTTCGTAGGTACGATATCCAGAAAGGGTAGAAACCATTGGTTGACTGTGACTGCGTTGGCGTGATATCCTTGGGGATTCGTTCGAAAAGAAGGCTTCGCCAACCTCCGCATACGGATTCTCACCTTCGATTTCAAGTGGAGTAGATTCCGACTTCGACACAGGCTTCTTTTTCTTACTTAGTGTTGCTACCAATTCTTGAAATAAAGCTCCATCTTTGGCACCGTCGGGTGGACTAGGACTTTGTTTGCTGCTCGATTCCTTGCAAGAAGCTGATGCCTCTACCTTCTTCTGCTTGCCTTTTAGCTTGCCCTGCCACATGGATGAAGATGTTGTGTTTTCGTCACTCCTTTGCTTAAAGTGTTTGGACGTAACATGTTCCGGAGACATCTCACCGCTGCCACCATTTATGGCAGGTTCTTTGTCTTTATCATCAACTGTAGGTTTCTTTGGTCCACTAAGATCTACTGGATCAATATATTCACCTGGCAGTTTAAACGAATTAAAAGAAGAAGACGTGCTCATTCGTTTGTCGTCGAACATGCACATAGGTCTATTTACAGATTTAGGCACAATGGGCTCCTGGTATTCTGCAAATATGTTGAATGAGGCTGATGTGTGGTTCCCTCGTGATAGTAGTGCAGAGTCACTTTGCACCAGTTGTAAGCCAGCATAGCTTGACGTTGATCTGTCATGGTAATACTCCGCGTAGGGACCAGTTGTTACTGGTTCAAGCTTCAGATCGTTTGATGACGTCAATGGCTTCTTGCTCTTCTTTTTCGTTTTCTTCTTTGTTTTGGGACTTCCCGATTCAACCGATGATTGAGGAGATATCGTAAACACTATAGAAGAAAGAAATAAAAGGAATATAAACTTAAACATTGCATCAACAATTGTGGTGAATGGTTTACATATGAAAATGTGTTTGATGTACAAATCTACATGTAGTATTCTATTTCTGGGGTAGAATCGATTCTTTTATTAGAATATATACTTGTTTTTTTATAATCATCTCATTGGGCACAAACGTATAAGCATGTGTTTGATTAAAAAAAAGTGCATGCACATCAGAGGCTCTTTACTTCGTATCCATACTATTTATGTAGAATTCATCTTTAGACAAATGTAACCAGAATCAGATAATACATAAAACGCTTTCGCAGAATGCCATCGTTATAAAACCTAATGAAATATACATTTAATATTCTACAATTAGCTCAAGTAATAATGAACTCACCAGGTCTACCATTACCGTGATGGGGAAGTCTTTCAATGGTACTGTAATGGTTGCTGTCCACTGGCGGGTAGTCCGATCTGAAGGGGGAACAAAATAAAATTGATGTCTTTTCATAGAATTCCGTGACTTAAAGGTATATCCCAGCTCTGGTCATGCGATTGCATTGTGAAAGAAACGTTGTGGAATTGATCAGAAAAGGTTGATCATCTAGCATATAAGTATTGGTGTGTACTGCAAGGTTCTGGAATCATCAAAATGATAAGAAATTTGGCCCAGTCTTGGTAAAGTTACAAGCACTATACATAAAAAGATGTATATGGGACTACGCGATATCTATCCAGTCCGGATAGATATAACAATTTACCAAATATATTAAATAGTAGGCGGTTTTCCCGGCAAATTTATATCATCACATATAAGTAAAAACATATTCTTTCACTTGATTGGTAATAAGAGCTTCCATTTCATTTTTTTGAGGGGGGAGGGGCGTTTCCAGAACTAGTCTTTACCTTTAATAATACATGTATCAAAGTAAAAACATAGTGACCATTACATTTACATGTAAATGTATACATATCATGTTGTTTTACAGTGTAATTAAAGAGCAATACTAGGTATCGAATAAGCAGATAATGATGTATGGAAAAACAAGATTAACTTGTTCTCATATTTTTGCAATATGAAAGTTCATCAATTTGATTTCCTTTTAAAACTAAAACAACCAATAGCTATAATACATTTATATAAAATAAGACATTCAAAATTTCTAGAGAGAACATCTCACAGAGACTATAATAAGTGTCTTATTTGTAAGGGTTATTATAATTATATATGTCTTCGTTGTTAAAGGTAATACAAAGTTTTGGTATGGGGTCGTGAATTTGGTTCAAATGAACATATTGGAAGGATATGCGATCCTACAATATTCACTGATCGTTGTCGTGGTCGAAATCGACTCTAAAGTTATGAAATTGTAAATAATAAACACTTTATGTTGTATAGCTCCCTCTCAAGGTCAAAATATTAATTAAGCTATAAACAATGTTTCTTGACTACAATCAACCGATTAGTTATTTCCGTTTGGAAATTATATACCACAACTACATATTCTGAGATTTTCATGGTCGCAGCTACCATTGTACGGCCGTAGGAGCTATTTGAAATTTAACAAAATTTACCGGGAGCACCGGTAAATCTTTATATTCAATTTTTCTCGAAAGCAGAAGTGTTTTAGGGGCTAAAATTTCTAGTGCTTTTAATACATCCACAGGGGCATCCAAATATATCAAAATTGAAAAGAATCACTATCCATCTATTTTCAAAATTTCCCAAAACTTTGTAATACCTTTAAGAAGGGGATGTTGTAGGCCTGTCATATTGATTTTCTAAATATATATTCTTTTCATTTTATTTCTTCTTCTTCGTATTATTATTATTAGTAGTAGTAGTATTGTTACCATCATCATCATCATCATCATCATAGTATCTTCGCCATGATGATGATGACGATGAAGATGATTATTATTATTATTATACATTAACATCATGATGATCATCGTCATCGTCATTTCTATCATATTTTTAAACCCAATGTCAAGGTTAATGGATGTCATACGCTTAGCAGCTTTGCAGTTTAAACTACACAAATCACTTCAACTACAACCAAGGCATTTACTGTTTTTTGTCATCCATCATTATCCCCCTTTTCTGTTTAATATAGCTCATTCTTATGATACAGACCGTAGTATCAAACTAATTTGCCAAGTAGAGTGCAAGAGGTGATTTGTTTTACCTGTCTGTTTGTTGATCTTGATGGCTATTCCTGTTCATCTTCCGGCGGATGTAAATGACTAAGCAGCAAACCAAGATAAAAGATAACACAGCTACACCTACACCAACACCAACTCCGATTATGAATGTTCTCAGCTCTCCTGTTGATAAGAAGAACAAAACGAATTATCAATGTCGCAGTGACATAATTTCAAAAACATTAAAGAGGGAGAATCAGACAACTAATGCGATTACACAAATAACAAAAATGTATGGTCTAATCATGGACTTACTAGTCCATGGTCTAATATTAGAGTAACTGCGATTCATTTTAAGTATAAATGACCCATGGATAGGTGGCCACCAAGTTTAGAACTTGTGTAGTATAATAGAACACCATCAAAGTGTCGTTTTAGGCAACCGTTACCCTTTTCACGCCTCTACAAGTATTGTTAAAGTTATACATGTAGATGCACTACCGGTTATCACAAGAGAGGTTTTCTGCCTCTCAGCTAGACCTTCGCAAATTTGTAAATTATCGCTCTGGACAATTGTCAACAGATGACACACAATATTTTATTCCCATTTTTTTTCTGATTATTTTAGAACAATAATTGTGGTTGTGATAAAGAGAATGACAAGGCATTGATAATTAACCACATAATTATTCCAAAAGCCAAATTTATCACAGTTCATCTTCATTATTTTAATAGTTCGACACAGATATCAGGCATAATTTGCATGTGATCATAATTGTGTTGCTCCTATCTCGAATGTTTACCGTGTAAGTCATCTCTTTAACTTGATCACACATTTAATCTTGTTACCATAGTTACCTATGCACTGATCATCCATTTTGCCATATAAAATGATTGTAGACAATGCTTGATGATAATGATAACAAAATAGAATTCCTTTGAACTGTAACATTAGGCATGATTCACTGATGACTTTGATATAATGTCCATCAATAATACATGGCGATATGTTTATAATCATATAGATCTGATTAATACAATACTGTAAAAAAAAAAAAAATCACACAGTTACACACACCACACGCACACGTGATATTAGTTTGAATTTAATAAAAGCAGATATGTGCGAGAACCAAATCAGTAAAGCTTTGAGGACAATCCGATAAAAAATAAGGAAGTTTAACATTTTTATATTTGAAGTCAAACACAAATTGGCAACTTATTGAAGCAGCTTTCAAGGTACAACTTATACTTCCTTCGTACTTGAAATGTCAACAAATATTTGTTCTTGTTTGATGTTGAAGGAATTGATATATTTCATAAACGCGTTGTGTAAACAACATAATTATTTGCGCCACAATTATATCGAGGGTACATGTATGCTTTCACTTTTTCTTCAAAAGAAAATAGCAATATAGGATTAGTTATACTATTTGTAGTAGGCCTAAACAACAAATGGAAGAGGTGCTCCGTAGGAGAATTAATTGCCCATGGTGTATGATCGATCGCACTTGCAATACTTTATAACTTCCGTATTTGTATAAGATTTCGTCAAACTATTCACTTATCTGTTACTCAGGGGCGGATCTACGAGGTGTGGGAGGGGGGGGGGGTGGGGGGTTGAGTTGCCAAGTGAAAAAAAGTGATGTGCATTACAAAAAACGCCATCATGTGTCCAGGCCCACACAGTATTAGTAGATGTTAGTAGATGCCAGGAAAACATCACTTATGGGGGTTAAAAATAGCTCCCCGAAGTCGTCTCGCCGCTTTGCGGCTCTCTGCATCGTCATTGGGTCAACCCCCCCCCCCCTCCCCCTTGGCAAAAAGCTAGATCCGCCCTGAGTTAATCTTATTTAATTTCTGCATCTAACACCATGGCTCAAAAATATTAACCTCAATATAACCAATGTTTTGAAGGAAATAAAACCGTATGGTTTTATATAAAAGCTATAGAGTTGCTACAAACATAAAAGTCTACCTGGAATAAGTCCGGGTCCTGTAAAGTTTCCTGTATTTCCAGAATCGGGTGGAAGACCGCTAGGTACGGGTGGACCGGATGACGATGTGGTAAGAGTTCCTTCGCCCGGTAGACGAGGCGTTGGGACACTCGTTGCCGTGTTGGTACCCCTGCAGGATATGAAACAAAATGATGGTTACTTAAGTACTTAAGTGGTATTTTTTTCTTTAATATTTGTTGAAAAAAGCATTCTACAAAGTGACAGGAAGCCATGATAACGACGCGACGTGGCGACAAAGGCATGTAATTATTTTGCCTTTTTTGGACTTTATTTCTACAACTATCTTGAAGATGCCCAAAATTACGAAACAATTTTTTTTGTTCATCCTGTATGAAAACTTAACATCGTTTCTCCCTTACCATTATAACATTTAATACTTTTCATTGAACTTTCAGGTTATTTTTTTCTTCTTCTTCATGCCAAACCAAATTATTGGTTCAATTACCCATAGCAAGACAGTGCACAAAGAATCACCTTTTTTTAGGGGGGGGGGGGGAAGGGGCGATTTAGTTATTAATAAGATTTGTGAAGCATTAAGTGTTTGCAGAAACGGAAGAAAACATTGTGCTCTCATGCTCAAAGAAGGACAGTAGTTACGGGAGCTATACTGTAACCATGGAAAGCACTATAGAAATCATAAAGTTTGAGCAATCATCCTAAACTCGATAGTCTCTGTATAATGATGAAGCACATATTGTAACTTTTTATATTATAGACATAATATACACCCGCCCCCCCCAAAAAAAAACCCCCCCCCCCCCCCCCCTCAAAAAAAATAAAAAAAAAAAAAAATAAATAAATTGATAGCCCTTTAAAAAACGGTAAAAATGAAGTCCCCATAACAATAAATCCATTAAGTTATTAAGTACCTGTTACATATACTGCAGCTATCTCCTTGAGGTGGAGACGTACATAGTTCGGTGACATTTAGACATTGGTCGTCAGTGAGACACACTTTCCAGTAGAGTCCATTGCCACCGCCTCTGACTCGCTCCAGAAGTGCTCCCGCCATCGCATACGGCAAACAATCCTTTCCTTGAACGAGAGCACCTCCACTCGGGGGCCACCATCTGAAATAACCTGAGTCTAGTACCACCGGGTCGCAGTCGGTGTAACCTGTTTCAGAGTGACAGAGAAGTTGAGATAAACACTTGTCTTTTAGAAATATCCCTATGAAGGTACCAATCAATAAAGATAACCAGGCCGATAGTAGGGACATACCGGGGTTTACAATATCATATTACCCTGAGGTGCCTTTTTTTAGTGGGAGGGGGGATGACAGCTCTAATTTTTCTCCACGCAGAAGAGATTCATTGGTTTCATGAGATAGGATGGGGTATTTCTTCAGATGCTGGGGTTTGTGAGATAGAAGTTCCAAGTTTTAGGTGTCTGAATAATCAAAGGCAAACCCAGGATTGTCAGAAGAGGATGTAAATTATATTAAAAAAGCGTATTTAGAAAACCGCGAAAGCTCACGATTCCTAGATGTACTTCTCCCAATTATGTAGACCCCCAATGTTAAGGCCAGTCCTCACAGACCCAACTCGGATACAAGGGAGGGAGAGATTAAATGAAAAACTTCTTGAAGTTCATTCGGGACATGAGGAGGAGCAATTGTTTTACCCCCTAAAATACTTTTACTAATCATAATGATAATATTAATAATTAAAACAATCATAGTCATGTGCTTTTTATTCTTGTTATTTTGATTCAATAGTTGTTGTAGTTGTTATTCATTTGCTTTCATACCATTTATTCATAGATCTATGTGTTATATTTTCTCCAGATAGAAGATCAATGAATTTAATTACAAATATAATAATTTCAAGCTTTGAAAGTGAAATGATATTCCTCGTTGCTATATAGGAATATACTCTTACGTCTTAATTTGCCGTCTTCGGAGAAACTTTTATTCCAGCACTCAGGAGAAGCATCATCGACAGTCGTATTGGCAAATATAAAGTTAGATTCCACCTCGCTACAATCACACCAACCCTCACAGGCAATCCTGGAAGAAGGAAAAGAAAAGAAGAACAAAAATTCACATAGAAGGGCTGTGTATTATTTTTCGATTAGGAATATGATTATGTGTAGCATTTTGTATAAAGTTCATCCGTATAATGTTTCGAGTTTATAGGACAACGAGGAAGGAAATTGTGTGTGGGCGTATTTTTCAATTTCATTTTATTTTGTTTTGGTCGGGGTGCTGTAAATCGTTAACATTCAAGTTATAGACAAGATAGAACAATTTATAACACGTTTACATGTCATTAACCGGTATATAATACGTGGTTCCTATTATTGGTATACAAACTTATTTATTGAGGTAAAAAGAAGCAATCTGGATTGACAAAAGAAAATAGGTAAAGCAAAAAACATTTGCTGTGGTAAAAGAAAACTGCTGTGAATTTTATTTCTGATCATCTTAGAGGAGTTTGTATCGGGGCTTAGGAGGGGGTGGGATGGCAGTCTAGTCGTTTGTTGACAGGATCAAAGGGGAGAGAAGCAGCAGAGTTGTTGATGATTTAGTAGTGAAGTTACAAAAATGTAAATGAATATAATTTTTTTTTTTTTTTTAAAGGAGACTTTGAGACAAGTACGGCATTCGTACTTAATGTATATATGCTTGGAGTTCAATGTGTTATTATTGTAAGCTGTCACATGTACTGCATAATGACGTTAGCAGTTCCTATAGTATTCAAATTATGCAAGGAAACCCGTTTAATTTCTAGACTTCACTGTCAGACACTATTGAGCGACTGACTAAAACCTTTTTTTTTTTCTTTGGTAATAACATACATGAAATGAGCTGTAACAGATATGAGCATTTGTCTACACACAATAACCCACTACTTGTAATGGCCAAAATTAAACTGATTGAATATTTTTTCTACGAATCAGACTATTACTTAGGTGATTGCAATCACTTATCGATTCGACAACTAATGGTCGTTATTTTCCAACAAAAAGCCATTTTCAAACCCTTTCGTTTTGAGGGAAGTTCTAAATAAGTAGTGTCGTATTGTCCGTTGAAATTTATCCTGTTCATTTTCTGACCTGCATTGGTACCTTTAACAGCCTATTGTTATCGGTGCATGGTATATTTTACATAAACAAGGAGTCGAAGGTCGGAAAACTTTCGGTTCAGTAGACGAAATACGAACAATACACATTCGATTTGAGTAATGAAAATAACCTAGTACATTTAATACTCTTTGCGGGAGGGGCGAAATTGAATTCAGACAAGGATTGAGAATAATAATTTAGTGCAACGTGAAAGCTTCCGCGCTTCGCGCCGGAGGGGGACAACTGAATTCAGACAAGGATTAAGAGTCGAGAACGCTAAAACGAATCGTCTTCTTTCTCGAATAATTTAATGAAACGTGAAAGCTTCCGCGCTTCGCAAGGGAGGGGGGGAAACTGAATTCAGACAAGGATTAAGAGTCGAGAACAGAACAACGAATCGACTTCTTTCTCTAATAATTTAATGAAACGTCAAAGCTTCTGCGCTTCACGCAGGAAGGGGGAGGGGGAACTGAATTCAGACAAGGATTAAGAGTGTTTTATGGGGTTAAATTGTAGACATTGGCATTAATATAATTGTCGGTAATTGGTGGCTAGTTTTGTAGGTAAGCGGTTGCCTCGTCCCCCCCCCCCCCCCTCACTGAAAAGGTCTAGCGACGCCCATGCACACTGGTCCTATATCCAACTGGCCCTACAACACATTGGTCTTGTGTCCCACCGTTAATCACATTGGTCCCATTGGTCCGAGGAAATACATGTATAACCCTAATCCTAATCCCATTTCCGAATGAGATGTATGATAAATGGGGCAACAAAATAAATGAACTAAACAATAGACACACAAACCAAAAAAGCGTTCGTCCTACTTCTTTTTAAATATTGAAGAATTATTTTTCATTCTTAATAGATCATGAAAATAATGTAGCTATACACTGATCTTCAAGAAGGGCTTTGATAGACAAATTAAGTCTAATTCAGACCGTTAAAGCCTATCTGCACTTGTTTAGCCTAGAGGGATTATACCTCCCTACGTGGTCACTGCCAGATGGTTATTTCATCAAATTAGCATTCAATATTAATAAAAAGGGAACCATGGGGATCAACGGGTACCGCTTAGGCATATTGTTGGCGATATAGATTATAGAGGGCGCAAGTAGCTGCAAGTACAGTAGTGCAGTCCTGCTTTAAAGTTGAACTCTTAGAATAACTCTTATAATAACTAATTAGTCAATCAGATCCAGGACTGACGGATCATTCACGTCATTTTCTGTTGCTCCTGTAGCTATGACCACATTCTAACGTATGACCATACACCTATCCGTCAGCAAAATATGGCTTTTAGATGACGTTCAAAGGATGTGACTATTTACGGTATAGCCGTTTTGAGGGCGTCATGTAATTATTGTGCTAATCGGCCATTCTGACAATGACATCGGAAGTATTGGGTCGCACAGGAAGCACTTTGTTAATAGGCCTATCGATGCCATATTGGTTCTCATGCAACACTTTAAACAATATGATATAGGGGAGGAAGCGAAGGTGATAGGTGTCAACTAGTATTGACTATGAGGGTAGACCTAAAGACTCATCACAGGAAAATATGAATAATTTGGTACAGTTTGGAAATCTATTAGTATTACCCTATCCATTTTTACGTGACATTATCATTTTAGTCTTTCTAGTCGCCAATGGATTTGGAAAAATGTGAATGGAGCACTACTATCCATTTTAAACACATACATGTAGAGATTGGCTATAACGTTTTAGGTTCAGTCTTTAGCGATATTAAGATCCTGGTTTAAAACACTCACTGAGTGATCAGTGCAATCAGTAAAGTAGTTTACTTGCTTGCTTAAGAAACAACAAGAAAAAAGGAGAAAATTATATGAAATTCGAAAAATTAGATTAGAATCATTAAAATGGAAAAGCTTAAAGGAGTGTGTTATTGCCCTATTATTGAAAGTATTACCTCTCTGCGGATGTACTTTCAAATAGATGTATTATCATAAGAAGCCAAAAATCAGTTGTTATTTTTAATGTTGGCACTAACAGGATTTAGTTCATTTCCCAGAACCCTTGGCTCGTATTTCATATTACTTCCGATTAATATAACATACAAGTAGTCACTATTATTATTATTAAAAACAGGGTAAAATTATAAAAACAAGTAGTTCTATTGATATGCATTGAATAAGAAATTATCAAAGTCTAAGTACAAAATAATGTTCATTTATTGATTTATATATGGACGAAATGGACTTTCATGATAAAGGGATGTTTCATGAAAGCAGGGAAGAGCTGATTAAAGGGAAGAGCTGCCTGTAATATTGAAGCCCTAAACAATTGATCATGAAGTGCCTCAAAAAAGTAAAAATCTTTGAGTGACCGGTTTTACCATACTCATTTTCCCCAGTAGACTGTAGTATTATAAAAACCGTTAGCGAAAACGGTTTTTGAAATTTCGATTTCCAATCATAAATTTCTTGATAATCAGACAGGCGATCGGCTTGTAAAAGTCACGGGGTTCCTAACTGACCTAAAGGTTTACAATTGTCATTACAGCATGTGCTAAACCCAGGATTTTTTTCCGGAATCTGAGACAAAGATACCGAATCCCTTTAAGAAAAGATTTGTAATTTTTTTTTCCTTTCCGTGTATATGGGAATTATAGATGATAACACACGTATTTGAGATACTCATTCGTTTCTATACCTTTATAGTTTTTTCTCAGGAATTTGCTTGAAACACTCAAAATAACATGCCTCAAACAAACCAAATCCTTAGCGATAATAAAGCCGCATCATGCATTGTTTTAGAAAACTTTGTCGGTCACGTCATGGGCAATCGGGGGCAATCGGGGGCAATCTCTCGTGGTTTCTGACATGTGGCGAGTTTAGTTGGAAATTATACTATGATGTACATGTATATACCAGGACGTGAATCATCCTGAGGCAGCCTATCCAAAATATGATCAACGAAATCATCCAGAATTCTCCTCGATGTGACTTGTTTTGTCACGGTCACCATGTCGACCTGGTTTGTTTGGTTGGACGATTTTTCTAGTCACGCGAAGGTGAAATACGGGAATAATCCTGCTTTACCTTGACTTGTTTTGGGTGAAAATTAAGCGGGTAGGTATTATTTTGCGCATGGGTCACGAAAAGTGGACGTGATAAATTCTTAAAACTGAAATGTTTTTCATGAAAGAGATGTGAAAAGACAAAATCCTGCTAAAGAGTGAAACTATGTCTGGTTTATGCTCAATCAATATTAAGATACATTAACCCTAGTAATCTTCTACTTTGTCCTTTCAAATTCAATAATTCGAGATAATGTGTCGCATTGTACAAGAACTTTAGATGAGTTTAATGATGAAACATTTTTAACTTGAAAAACTTGCCGTCGCAAAATCTTTATCCTATTGAAGTGTGGATATGATATCTACTTAAGAGTAGCCCTACTTGTAAATGACAGAAGTATATCATAATTAAATGGGCAAGTCTAGGATATTCATTCAGTATCCGAATAGTTACCAAGTGTTGAGGAATTATAAACATAACTTTATATGAAATATGTCATTTCACTTCATAATTAGTCTGATCCAAGCTTTTCGAGGACTGTAAAAATAAACCCATAATCAGAAAATGTACTGAAACTTAGATGCGGTCGGTAACGTATAGAACAAAAGAAACTTGGATTTGTCCAAATAGTGATGTATATGACATGCTATCAAATTTGCCTACATGACTCATTCAAATTTTCAATAATCACAATTATACTGTATACTTACAATGGGCAAAGGTGCGTCGACACGATTTCTTGCCATTCCATGTCGACACCGTTTATCGGAGTGCCTCCACCCGATGCTCCAAGTCCATAGTTCATCGTCGACAGAAGCTGAAGCAACACCAAGATATAATAACTGATTTCCATCTTTACTTTCTTGAGTAGTTATCTTATTCACACACAATATTTAACAGAAAATATTCCGACTCATTTGCGCTTTGATGTATCGTCAACCATCCTGTTATGCAGTATTTTCCAGCAGCTAGTCTCTCTTTCTCTCTTATGATATTTGATAGAACTGGCATATACTGTATATAGAAACGTGATCTTTAAGTCGATGAGAAAACCCGAATGACGACGCTGTATACTGTCTCACTGAAATCAAATGGTTTCCAACGAATAGATAAATGTACGGTGAATCATTGTTGATTTGTCCTCAATGTGACGAAAATCCAAACCGATTTGTTAAAATGATGTAAGCATCGGTGTAAATTCCCTTAGTGTTGCAACACAGCATCCTGTCTAACAGCTCAATATTTACACAGGCATTTATTCAGATCAGTCGTCTCTGCATTAGATAGCATCCGCCCTATGACACTATGGAACCATAATAAAAAGAACAATAGCTAAACTAGATCCGTCCTGCTCCACTGCCAACTACTGATATGAGCCGTGTAACTTTCCACCAATGTGATAATGATTCGTCGATCCCAATTCAGATCCAATATCCTTTCGACTCCGGTACTGTGGAAGTCCCATCCATTAGAATGGTTCAGCGGCTAATTTCGTCACTTTGCCCTTGATTCTGGCGCTCTTTTGACTCTTTTCGCTAGGACGCTTTCCTCAAACAGGTTTTAATGATGACAGGTCTTGTTATCTCGGTTTCAAATTTGTGTAGGTGAAATTAAAGTTATATTTCCGGCGGACGGATGAATATTAAACAACATGGAAGGGATGATGATAACCGGCGTTTAATATCGATATCCATAAAAGAAAACTTTGGAAAGAAAGGGCAAACCTTTAAAGATCTGAACTGAACGAAGTGGTCTTAAAGTACGTCTATAGCTGCAAGGTCAAGCAGCCATCTTTCGATGATGTCTTCAGTCGTCAGATCTGGAAACTGAGGCTGACTTGATAAACATGTAGAACTCACACTTGTATGCCATCGATTTGATTTGATGTAGAGATCAATAAATTAGTATTTCCAACAAAAAATTGATAACAGGTATAGATAATGCAACTCTTTCCTTAACATAGTTCCAGCCACCTTTCACAAACCAGTCGTATGCCTATCTGAATCATTTAATATATTCTTCTGAAAGATTTACAAGAAGTCTTTCTAGTAGCTGCTGAGTTTCCAACCGTACAGTAGCTGCTTTCAGAAATGACACTATCGGTGAAAAATTATCTCACAAGCAACTCTGCACCAATTACCGTGACGTCCTTGTATCTAGGGGCGTAGGTCGAACCCGAACAAAAATGCGAATACTTATTATGGGGGTGGGGTCCTTGATTACAAGAGATATGTTATTAGTTTGCGAACTTGAGAAAATGGTAAATCTGGAAGGGTGATGGTATCAATAGCTTTTTTTTCTTTCTTTTTTTAAACACGGATGTCGTTAACTCTCTTTCCTATGACTATACACTTGGTCATAATTGCATTTTAGCCATCTTCGCATTGTTCTCATGTCTTGTAGTCCTGCATGGTTTCCATTGTAAGTAGGCTAAAATGTATCTATATTAAATCATTCATTTATTGCAACCATAAGTTGGATTTCATCAATATCTGTCATAATTATGCCTGGGTATGAACATAAGACACGAGGGTGTAATTTATAATTATGTAGCAGTTATAGAATTGTTTGATGGAAGGGATTCGCAAGGATAATGGAGGAATCCACAGTCGATTATTTAGAAATAAATTATATCAATACTTGATGAGTAAACACACTATGACCAAAATGAAGCGAATTACCCTTTCCTCTCCTCAACTCCATTTTATCAGCCCTACGTTCTTCCTACATGGATGTCTCGATTTCTAATATAATTTTCGTTACAGAATGATATTAATTTGAACAAAATATCACGGTAATGCGCATGCGTGTACGATTAAAACATGTTAGAGAACTCAATAAATCCAATCAAATCAAATGTATAGACTGCGGTTTCACTTTTGCATTTTCGTATAGTGTTGTTATGTTTTGTAAACAATAGGATATGCTTGACACCAGGCATTTAATAGTTAAAGGCACTCTTTAACAATGTTTCCAGTTTCTACAGATATGTGATGCATGGCCCTACGTGTTATCAGTGTCTGTGATAATTATGATATAATATTGAAGCCCTAAACAAAAAAGTGCGCTTCAAAAAAGTAAAACATCTTGAAGTGACCGGTTTTACCATACTCATTTTCCCCAATAGACTGTAGTGTTATGCAAAAAAAACATTGGGAAAACGGTTTTTTAAATTTCGAATTACGATCATAAATATCTTGATAATCAAACATGCGATTGGCTTGTAAAAGTCATGGGATTTATTTCTGACCTTAGGTTAATTATTATGATTGCAGGATTTGTTTAGAATCGAGAGGCAAATTTACGGCATACCTTTAAGGCAGGATTGGGTTCAGGGAAAGTTGAAACTTATTGGTGAATTTTCATACTCTTTACGTTAGTGTGGACGAATACCGAAAAAGTCCCTTGAAAAGATGGCTCTTCAAAGTCATATTCGAAATATGGCAAGCAACAGCTTATGTCTGTGGACCACACTCTCATGTCTCTTGTATTCGTAGTCCCATTTACACGTTTATTATTAATATTATTATACTGTTGGTGATTCCCAAACCTCATAGTACGCCTATACATTATGTGCTACACGATAATCATTTTCCAATGGTGGATATAAAATTTCGTTCACAAAGCAATCACATAATCAGGCTTAACTTTCTCTTTAAGGATTATTCTTCCCAGTTGAAGTGAATTGAGATGAATTCAAACAAAATGTATCGATTCTTTCATCTTATGAACCCATAACACCATATTTTGAACGCAAGGAGGAGCTGAGTCCTGTTTATATTTAATAATTCAAGTGTCACATAATAAGCAAAGTTTACCTTGGTCCGGTTCCAAGAATACCTCCCTTACATGTGCATGCATCCCTTCTGTCTATATCCATCATTTGAGACGAACACAAACATAAGCTCATAAGGGAAACGTGTAAAGGGGGTATCTCCCTTACACCCCTCCCGTATACCACCCCTCTGATTGACTTGTCATGTGAAAACCAAGTACTCTGTTGATAGAGATAGAGTACCCTCAGAGGAAGACATCACCGTGTTGTCTTCCTTCCTTTAACCTTCTCACCCCATGTAGCTTTCCTAACCGTGATAGCAACCAAAGTTGTCTATTGTGCTGACTAAAATGAAACCAAATCGCTTCTAAAATTTGTTGAAATATACAAGTGCAGTGAGTAATTGGGCTCATGTATAAAGGGAGAGTGGGTAGTGAGGCAGAAAGAGAGAGGGAGAGAAAGAGAAAGAGAGAGAGAGAGAGAGAGAGAAAGAGAGAGATGCGAGTATTGAATCTACACGACCGATTGCGTTAAACTTATGGTGAAATAAAAGTTTGATGATGGATCATTGTACCTATCATCGTTATCATTACTTGTGATTACTAGTAGTAGTAGAAGTAGAAGTAGTAGCAGTAGTAGTAGTAGTAGTAGTAGTAGTAGTAGTAGTAGTAGTATTAGTAGTAGTAGTAGTGGTAGTAGTAATAGTAGTAGTAGTAGTAGTAGTAGTAGTAGTAGTAGTAGTAGTAGTAGTAGTAGTAGTGTAGTAGTAGTAGTAGTAGTAGTAGTAGTAGTAGTAGTAGTAGTAGTAGTAGTACTACTACTACTAGTAGTAGAAGTATTAGTAGCAGTATAATGCGTGCACAAACATGTGGTCACCAGGAAACAAATATTTGATACAACAATTGAGAAACGGGTCAGTGAACTAGTGAAAGTTGAGAGAATGTGATGTTTTTAAGAACCCTACATAAATATCCAACTCTGTCTTTGAAAACTACTATCCATTGGTTTCGTACGGATATTTTCAATTACATCAATTTGTGGTATAGCCTGTACAACAAATCTCGTTACAATTTTATTTGTAAAAATAAAAGATAAAATACTTGCATATAACAATGTACGAACTGGGAAATTGACAACAAAAACATTTTTGAAGAAAAATTGCTTTTATCGAAATGTAAAATATGTATTATGTTCATTGCATATCTGGAAATGCTCATTGTAACCCATGCCAATTAGATGGGTAATGCAGTAAGCGCTCTAAACTATGTTAAAGGTACATGTACTTTTAGCTTTTTAAAATAATATTTACCTTGACGGGATCATAATAAACATTAATTTTGTCAATGCTGTGCGTTTAGCATTTTTTTCTTTCACGGGTGTATTTTTACCTTGCATTACAAAACAAACACACACAAAACAACATCAACACTTTTACCCCGTTTATATAACCATATCAAATTGTTATTAGAACTCTGTCTTGAATGTGTTTGTTTACTTCTCGCGATATCTTTGTCGTGTTGTGTCTTGCTCAATTTTTTATTATGTAATGTACATAATTGTTTGGGTCTACAAAAGCATGACACACAACTCTTGCGGAAAAGCACAATATATTTACAAGCATACACAGTTATGTGGGACTGTCCGTCAGTTACAAAACGTGAGGTAATTATACTAGAAATATTATTAGATTTTATAAGTAAGTTCTAATAATGTTACATGCAAGTATTGTTTTCCTCCAAAATGAGATGAAAGTTTCTCATTGAAGGTGATCCCAATTAACTTTCTTTTCTTTTCCTGTCTATTTCCATGTATCTTGTTTTCTTCTCACGCACCTCGCCTTACCAAACATGCCAATTGATGTAGGTGTACTGGTGTAGGTCTGTGGAGTAAATGAACCTGGGCGGATTTGAAGGCGAGTGGTATGGACATTTTCTTGGCTCCACATAGCCAAATCCGGTTATGTTTTTATTATGTTAATCCTCAAACTTTGGCCAGGATACAAGCGAGACAACCATGACCCTGGAACATTTGTGTCAGCCGTCGACCGATCGAACTGCACATCAGATGTGCAAGAAGTATAATTGAAAATGATAGGGCAGCATTTTATATCAATATTCCCAGCCTAGTACGGAGTGCACTGATCAAGCCGATGACGTGGTCCAGATGTGGTTTAGTAGCCATATTTTATAATCTGGTAAAAGACTTTTTTTTTTTAAATATTGAAAATATTGTGATCAAAATTATTATCACCTCTTATCTGTCTGAAATTCATATCACAGTTACTACGAGTTGTGTGCACAATTAAGCCCGGTCTAACTTAAACCCCCGGCTTTAAAAGGTAACCCGTTAAACCAGAGTTTAACCAAACCACACATAGACCGCTGTTTAATTGAAACCCGACCTTTCTATACGGGCCAAGTTAACCCTACGCTAATTATGGATATTGTAAAAAAAAATATATATATATATAGAAGAAAGAGAATTATTGTAAATAACGTTAGGCGGGGCACAGCCACTATAGGAATCCATGGTTTCACATAAAACTGTAGGCATGAAGTATAGTTTAGTTAAATCATAATCAAATTTGTAATCCTTTTTACAGTTTGTATAAGGATTGTTTTACAAATTGTTGAAATATGAATTTGTATTTGCTCAGATAGTTGTATGGTTTTTGAAAATAAAGACGTCTGGAACTTTTATGTGGTTGTCTTTTAGCGACTATTTGTCTATCATTAAAAAGGGAGATGCTGTCTTTTTCCTCGATTCCGTTAATATGGACAACTGTGATAATACGATCGAAAAAAATTCCATAAGTCAACTTAAGGTCATCTCGATTACTTTGTCTAACAATTCAATATCGCGTTTTATCACCGTACATAATAGACAACAGTTACTATTTCATCCAATCCAATCCCACTGATCATTTAGCTGAATAATAAAACAAATTTACAACACTAGACCTTAATGTTTTTATACTCACACCCCACCCCCCCCCCCCCAACTCTTGAATTGAAAACAACTTAACTCGGGGGAGAAGAGAGAACATATGTCTCATCTTTGAATTCAACCTAGTTCGGATGTTCCACTTCAGACATCATTTCCGATTCTCCAAACCCCTTTATGAAGAATTCATAACCACTTCCTTCGGCAAGACACCAAGACATGTGAAATGATTTAATAATCCTCATAACTTGTATCACACAAGGAGATTCTTCTATATTCTTCATTAGTTGATTGGAGAATAGGTTGGGAACAGGAATGATTGCGCTTGATAAGGAAAAAGTTCATTTATTTTCATTTTATCATTCATTGCCCAATAGACGTTTGAAATGGAAATTTGGTTCTATCACATAATTAAAAGGTTCAGACATGTAATCGAGAACTTTCGGAGATGCAAAACATTAGATGCATGAGCTTTCACTCTGGTACGTGATAGTGTACTTCTAGTATGAGAAAGATCAGAATTAACTTGAGTTGGATGTTAAGGATTCCACTTTTTGGAGACCAATATGGGGATTGTAGTGGCCAATTTTCGACGAAAAAGAGGGCGCTCATGTCCGAAAACTCACGAAATTAAAGACCCGCGAGACCGAAGGCCGGAGAAATCACTGTACAGGGCTACTTACATCGATACAATGTGTATATTGAGAACCCAAACGTGTTGAATCAGAATATCATTACGACGAAATAAGCCACCTTTCACATAATACAGCCTATCTCGCGCTCAGTCAAAGTATTATATTATTAATTTCTAGCTAAACTGTTGACTAGGTAGTGAATTCAATTGGATGACAGATTATTTATTTATTTGCAAAAATAGAAAGTTCCGTTAAATTTCCTATCGAATTAGCATATCATGGACAAAAATTATGAACACACAATACTATTATAATCCAATGGGGTGTGAATACGAATTACTTTGTTTAAACAAAATTTGTGGTGTCATGTTTCAAACAACAGTTACAGACAGAGAATTGTGATCTTCCTTCCCTATTCAGAGTATCACGCGCGTTTAAGGTTTCCACATATAATCATTTCCTTATTTACTAGAGAACAGCTTAAAGCCCCTCTACAGTGGTTTTTAGTGTGGATTCTACTCTAACCAGAATAATCAAAATCTAATCTTACTCAATTAAGAGATGATCTCTTGTCATACCTTATTATTGACGAAGATATTACAAGCAAATAGAAGTGAACCAACGAATATAATTTGGTGGACTGAGCTATTGATTATAAACCGTCTTTCGGGGGACATATTTTGATGATGCAAAAATATACTCTTTCATGAATGTCTTTGATATTAAACACATTGTCAAAACTTCGGACAGGGGTAGGGTGTGCGCCTTATTAGGTTCTAGCATTTATCAGTTGGGCGATTCGCTTCTCTAATTGGTCCTGCACAGTAATTCTTTTTTCCCTTTTTTTCATCCAAACATTAACAAAATATATAAAGATAACCACTGACTTATTGTTCTTTCGCCATCACCGTCATCAGTTAATGATCATATTTATGAAGAGAATAAAAGACAGATGCCGTACGGGAAACATTGCATGGAATCGCCCCGCAGTTCATTCAACTCGATAATTGGTATTTTATGAAATATTAGTATAAAACAGACTAACTTCCTCAAAAGAGGATTGACATCCGTTAAATTACATTTTGAATCATATGGAAGAATGATAAGATATGACTAACCTGACAATATGGTGTGAGCTACATTAGCTGAAAATGATGAAATCACTCACAGTGGAAATAACAGGAAATTAAAGAATAAACGGGGCACTTCGAAGGGATGTATAAGGGATTACTCTTTATCAATACTACATAAAACAAAATTTACATTGCTAAACGCAAACTTGAGACATAGGCCTACATTTCAACAAGGAAATAAATCAACGAACATATACAATACACAAATAAATATTTCCATTCTAAATGTCACACAAACCATGTTTCATTCCCTTTCTCATTTCCATTTTTGGAGTACTTCCGACAACCTTTGCCTCATAAAAGACATGTGAAATACAAGAAGATTTACAAGAAATGTGTATTGAATGATGCAGGAATGGGAATAGATATTGTTTGATGAAAAGGTTGAGTTCTGTTCAAGGTACTTGAACAAAAATATCTCAACTTTCTTGTTCTTCAATGTTTGTTTGGAAGAATATCATAGTAGAAATGTCCCCTTCGAGGGGTTGCTCATCAAATACCCTCATATATGAAACATGGGGGATATGAGGGGGGAAATATGAACATTTCTGACCAAACTTCCATGTCACATGTGTGTAGTCCCATAAACTCACACTTTAGTGTGCACTGCAAGTGACTTTCAGCATGAGTGCGCGTTAATTTATTATCATGATAATTACAAAACCTAACATAATATTCTAATGTAATACCTAAATATCAACTTTTCCTAATCGCTTTCAGATTTCTCCCACAATGTGATCATTATGAGTAGACCTCAATTTTATCTTTAAATAGTCCCATACACTTCCTCACTACTCGGGGGCATATCATCCGGCGTTCTCTTTCGCGTGTGATCTACTGTCTCGGGGAGAGGGGCGGCACTAGATGGCGCTGCAAGCTGTTCAGCTCCAGTCATATCAAGCTGTCCATATTTTGCACCGCTTTCCACCTTCAAGCTTTCATCAACTGGCTTCATCATTGGACTCCTGTCCAGGGTCTGATACGTCTCTGCTGTAGGACACCCCGGAATATCTCCTGTATCACTGTATACATAAACGTTACTAGTTGTTTCATTTTATATTCAAATACCTTGAAATACCCATTACATGCATTGTGTTGGTGTGTATTATTGGTGTTAAGTGCATTCCCTTTCACTAACCCATCTTTCTCTTTTTCTGTTTTTCTCTTTCTAAATATCTTCCTCTCACTATGCTCTCCCTTGAACTCCCCTTTTCTGTGTTTCTCTTCCTACTAAATATCTCCATCTTACTATTCTCTCATCCCCCCTTCTCTCTACCTGTCTATTTTTTTTCAAGAACTGCTTGTGAGGTTTCTCCTTCCCTCCTCTCTCTGTCTCTATCTTTTCTCTCTCTCTGTCTCTTACCCTCTCTCTCTCTCTCTCTCTCTCTCTCTCTGTCTCTTCTTATGTACTCCAACTTGCTTCCTATGTCTTGAATATTACTATCATATCACTCTCTACCCCTTTACCATCCCATCTTCACACTTGCAGCTGCAATCCAGATAGATCATGTGAAAGCATCTCAGGAGAGTTCTAATAATTAATATGCTTTTTCTTCTTCATTACTCAAGTATGACAATATCTCTTGCTCAATTGTATATGCATGTGGCAGGTTACATATTGATTTGTTGTATTTAATCATCAAACTTGATACGTGACAGGAATGAAAAGAAGGGAGAAGGGGCTGAGGTAAAGACCATGATTTGATTTATTTAAACATAATCATAGACAGATAACTACAAAACATCCTGCTCCTGATCTAGCTGTTATTATATAGACAGCCCATGAAATTAACAAGGTAGGTCTCTTGCAACTCAGAATTTGTCAGAATGCACATATTAGACTGACATTCCGGTTTTGTGAATCCTCGAGTAATTTTTCAGAAGAACATGCAGAATGCCGGAGTGTTTATTATGGTGTAAGCTATATTCAACACATGTAGATGTTGTATAAAATATGAGCCAAAAATGTGTTTTCTTTTCTGTTATTGAAGAAAAAACATAAAGAAACGAATAGCACTTTACATATCAGACTTGCCCCTGAAGATTTATCTCTATGGTATTCTATCTTTAATTTTTTTGGTAATTGCGTTATAGTATAGCTGATACATTTCTTCCTTCAAATTACTACAAAATATTTGCTAAGTTGGTAAAAACACATTTTTAAAAGATCTTACAACCATCAAAATACAGTTTATTGCATTGATATTTTTTTGATTTTATATAAAATACACATGTATATACAGAAATCAATGCGTATATAGACTTTTTTGATACAGAATAAGTTTGATTAATGTAGGGAAAAGGGTCTGACTATCAAATGTGATAAGGACTCTAATGTGATAAATATCATATTGATCTAGTATCTTATGAGTCGTGAATCTGTCTGGTTGCAAGGGACATCAATTGAAGCGGCACAACAGGGGTGCCTATATTACCAAAATTAATATTCCAAAACAAATCTCAGTACTTCTATTGCACTTGTTCGCACCCACAATGGTTGGGTTTGCATTTTGCCTTGCAAACCCGGCATGTCATCTTAAAGACAACAAATGTCATACTGGCTATTTGTCAAATCAAATGGGGCGTGGCCTGGGCCACGTATTTAATAAGGCTTATTTTTAAAGAAAATAATTATAAACGCCTAAACTTCTTATACCATTGCGTTTATTATACTCTTAAAACGAATGAAGATTCATAACTCCGAAAGCATTGCGTCAAAGGGGTGGGAGTGGGGAATGACTTATAAATAATTTCTGATTTTTGTTTTCTTCCTGTACTGGAATCCCTCATGCAGACCAGTTATTTACCCCTAGATTTTTGTCTCCGTTATTTTCATTATTACATTTTCTTTCTCTCTGAAGGGGGACCGTAGCCGAATCCTTCACATTATGATTCGCCTATTAAAGCAGATGTGGTGATATTATAAAAATTCCATAACTCGCCTTTCTTTCTAAATTTGGACTACCATTTCGAAATTAATCTATTATGTATTTAGATGCCATTTCAATGAGATAAAATAAAATGGAAAAAAGTGTGATGGCTATCCACTAAGTCCTAAAGCAACTAGAAATACTACAGCCTTGTCGAAAGATCAAACAATCAGATAACAACAGGACTACAACATCTAGACAGGCCTCTGTATTTTTCTACATCATGTCTTTCACACAAAACTCATAAGTTGATTTGAGGGGCAGACTGGAACTGAAAATTGGTTTTGAAAGTTGTATGTAACCAGCCCATTCAATATATAAGATGCATATACAGTGACTCTCAGACCCCAATTGACTGGACCTTGATAAGGCCAAACAAATAAACAGCTGCTCATGGGGAAAATTCCCAAAACTCCACACGGCATCGAGTTACGGGACCATACTGCTATAGCTGACCTGAGATGGCGCTAGATGGGATTTTGCAGAGCAGTGCTTCTAGACAGTATGGCTTTAAAGTTCAACTCTGCTTCGGCTATATACGGTAATTACACAATAATTATGCAATCAAACTCAATCCGTCTTGTGAGATATGTACTAATAAACCTAATTCTATCCTTGTTTATCACAGCTGTAATTCCTATCCTATCCAAAACCTTGATTAAAAGGCCTAGCGCACCCTAAATCCTATTCATTATATAAAAAAAAATATTAACACCAACAACAACAAAGATTATCTCCAAGTAATGTCCTATAATATTTTGACAAACTCGCTACATTTATAACTATATATAGAGCTCATGCTTTACAGTCAAACGCGTCTTTGTGGCCACCTCTCTATTAAGGCATTTTGTCTCCTTTGAGAAAGAAAAAGTGTGTTGTAGAAGCTGTTTGCACCTAGTGGCTATTTTATGGGGATTCCGTTGGGTTACCTTTGTAGACAGTTTGACTTTAATTTATTACCTCATGGAATCACTTTTAATTAAGCGGCTCGTACACCGGCTTATTATTACCATCGGCCTCTCCCAAGTATGATTTCTGCACTCTATCTGTTTGCTTCACTATTGTTTGATTTTCATAATCTACCTCCTCAATTGCTTTCGTATGGCCTCTATTTCCGTCTCTAGTTGCTTTGAGGTCCTCGTAGGCTGGTTGCTTCATAGTTGTTGCATCTAAGGACGTGTAGGGATCGAGTTCCTGGCCCTCTCTGCAACTGACTGAGTGCTCTCGAGCAGTGTTAGGTCCATGGTTAGAGCGTCTGAAATAAAGGAAAGAAAGATTATTGGTGAAAGGTAACATAGCATTCTTCTCAATATTGTTATCATTATTATTACTATTATAATTATCATAATTTATATTATCATGATGATTATTATCAATATTACCAGTATTATCATTCTCAATATTGTTAGTATTATTATTACTATTATTATTATTATTGTTATCTATATCATCATGATGATTATTATTATTATTATTATAATCATTATTTGTATCAATATTAATATTAATATTATCATTTGTTATTGTTATCTTTATCGTGATTATCATTATTATCAATGTAATTCTTTTTTTTTTTTAAAAGAATATGATGATAAAATTATATATTTTTTTATTGTTGCTGTTATTATTGTTATCATCATCATTATCATCATCATTGACGATAGGCATATAATATATGGAGTCAGTTACAGCCCCCCCCCCCTCCCCTGCCGCTAGTTTTGACTGATCTCAGTGTGCGTTTATAATTGTGCATGCCTGTGTGTGCACGTGGGTGTGCGTGTGTGTTGTGTGTGTGTGTGTGTGAGGGGGTAAGTGTGGATGCTCTATAAGTGGCAGGTGCCAAAGGGTAGGGCTGGGTGAGAGGTCACCTTTAACTCACCTGAGATGCAGGTACATCAATGTAATGATAATACCATACAAGGCAACAAAAGCAAGCAGTATGCCCACAACGATAATGCTGGCCACTATTGGGGAAGAAAAATATCAAATAATGAATTTAAAGACAATGTACAGGCTAAAAATCACAATACACAAACATAATAATTTTACATAATACTCATAAACAGTAAACCCATACGGAAACCTAGAATCGTGGCAATTTCTTTAATTTACTCTTATCATATTAATGTTCAGCTTTGAAATATTTGTCTATAATCTCGTTGTTAAGGCTAGGGGGACATTCTAACCAGATTTATGACTATACCTTTCATATTTCATATTTCATATCCTACGAATTAAGGATTACATTTGAAAATAATCTATTATGATGATAGCTTAGTTTTACTTCATTACTATTGCTTTGGAATTGTTTTAGTTCTATTCTTGTTAATATTCAATGCGGCTTTCGTATTTTTTGCATACTGGAATTGAGGGAATGATGCAATAATTATTAAATCAAATGTGTCGTCGAACTGTTTTATTAGACACAAACAAAGATATAGTACGAAGGAAATTAGTTATTATATCAGGGCTAACAAGACCATAGAATACAAAGAGATGGCCTGGCCAGACAAGAACCGTGATAACACAAGTTTGTTTCATCAGTGCTCTTTATAATGAGGTTCCACTGTATAGGTTTAAGCGATTAGCTTATTAGACTTGTCATTTAAAATCCATCAATTTATATGAAACAATGGAATTTATGTTAAAGAAGTATACACAAAAAGAAATAAGAAATTTCATTTTCTTGGGAGTATACCACTGCTCAGTAGCCTTTTGTGAGAAAAACCAGATAAATGATTTACTTTACTGACTCAATAATAACCCGAAAGATTTTTAAAAGACTTTGGTAAAGACTTTTAAGAAATTAACTTAATGCAAACATTCCATACCTTGTTGTATTGCCTATAAAGTGATTGGATTATGTAATATTTCATAGCAAATTTCACTCATTTACAAAAAGGTGACGGACAATTAAAACATTTGGTACGCTTCGCAGTGTTGTTTTTTTTTATTTTAAAGCTCCATTGTACTACTTGTAGCTTCTTGCTCCCTCTATAATTTCAATTATTCTATCTTAGCTGGGGAATTATTTAGAAACCAACTTTCTCATTTACAGAATGATGATGATGAGGAGAATTTTTTTTGTCATGATACGAACATACCAATTCATACAAATTGAAGCTCTGATCGTGCATACATAGGTTATAGTCACTTGCCATACTTGGCGCAAGCTGTTTGTCTAATCATATTTATTTTCATTAATATTAAATGTTTGGTTGCTATTGATTTCGATATCATTAATCGATGTAATTTAGCTACAATGTGTTCAGTGCATATTTCATTAAGAAACAGCTGTGCATGTCAAATGGGTGTGTACAAAATATGTTCCAATGCTTTTTAGGAAGGTCTATCTATCTCTGTTCATTGATTTGTATCTTGTAGGGACATGTAAACATCTACCATAGATCATGCTTGTATATGACCCGGTTGATGATGCAAAAATAATACTCTGAAGAACAGGATGGAGGCGAGGAAAATAATTTCAGACTCATTAATCTCAAAATGTGTCTTCCCAAGTCTAACATCTTCCAACATCAACACCTGTATAACAAAACCCTTGTCAAGGTTCTTTACACAGTACCCTACTACCCCTTGCCCATCCAACCCCCTCCCTCAACAATAAGTTTAGCGAATAAGCTCGTGAGTGACTGAGGAGAATGAGGACACATTCAAAAGATTACAAATTCAAGGTGGACAAAAGAAAAATCGGTTCACTTCAGCATTCTATTACAGTAACTATCAGAAAATATCCAAACCTTATCAGGGGGGGGGGGGAGGGAGGGGGTTCAAACTTAATTTGACTGATATTGCAATGTGTGTCAAAAAAACGCCTACATCTCTACGCCCTAGTTAGTCCTACAGATTGTCATTGAGAGTCTGACTAGTAGAGTACATTTATTACTTCTTCTTTTGTTCTTTTTTAGTAGGAAATTGAAAATCTATCTTTAAAATGAAATTTTGGAGATTTTCCATTTAATACATGTATGTATCAATACATATTTTGACTTAACCATCGATATTTGCAGATCTTATAGTCTTGTGCATCTTAGTGCCAGCAGATACTATTTGGGAGGAGGGGATCAAACTATGTAATCTATGTACTATATCACAGCCCTTTGGGGATAACTTTTTGAATTGAATGTGGTCTGCACTACATTTACATACATTACAGTACCACCAATATGAAAGACATTTAGTTTATTCATATCAGTCTACTATTTTTGCATCAAAAATTAATTTCTTTAATATTTATGGAACTTTTCTTTTCTGCTATTCTATTCATAGAATGTGTTTTATCAATTTATGTCATCTTCGATTTGAATTAGAATATTAAATATCTTTGTTTTGTACCACTTAGTATCATATATTATCACTGTTTTATGTAAGTCATTGGAATCACACTCATTTTGTCACATCTTATATCTTAATAAATTGTAAGCAATGAACTCGTAAACAGAGAGAGAGAGAGAGAGGCGGGAGATTGTGAGGGACACAAAAAGAGTGAGAGGTAGACAGACAGAGATACATGAAGCAGGCGCGGATCCGGGGGGTGGCCGACTTGGTCATGACCCCCCCCCCCCTTCCCCTGGAAAAAAAAGACGGGCCCTCCCCCCAAAAAAAAAAGTTTAAAAAAAAATTGTGACCAGAATTTTTGTGTGTGTGTTGCTCAAGGGGAGGGGGCGGTGGTAATAAGCAAAATACCGGCCGGCGCGATTGTCAAATTTCCGGGGGCAAAAAAAAGGAAAATAGCAATTCATGATTATTTATATTATATTTAGTAGGCTTACAAAACAAATGGAAAAGATTTCCGTAGGAGAATCAATTGCCTAGTTGTGTATGATCGAGCGCAATTACAAGACTTCATTACTTCCGTATTCTTGTTAGATTTTTTGTCAAACTATTCACTTATCTGTGACTGTTTTTATTTAAACCATCTTAACACCAGGTCTATACGGACTTCCCTTTCAGACCATTGCTTGCTATTTACCTCAAGAAGACCAATAGATTGAAGAAACTTAAACCGTATGATTTATATATAAGCTATATAGTTGCTACAAACTTAAACATCTACCTGGATTAAATCCGGTGCATCCAGAATCGGGTGCAAGACCGCTAGGTAGGATCGGACCTAATGACGATGACGATGATGACGATGATGATGACGATGTGGTAAGAGTTCCTTCGCCCGGTAGACGAGGCGTTGAGACACTTGTTGCCGAGTTGGTACCCCTGCAGGATATGAAGCAAAATGATGGCTACAAGTACTTAAGTGTTTTTTTAAAAATATTTGTTGACAAAAAGCACTCTATAAAGTGACAGGAAGCCGTGACAGGGAGCCGTGACTATTTTGAACAACAAAACAAAAAAACATGATAGCCCTTTTAAAAACAGGAAAAACTGAAGGCCCCATATAAACAATAAATCCAATAAGTTATTAAGTACCTGTTGCATATACTGCAGCTATCTTCTTGAGGTGCAGACGTACATAGTTCGCTGACATTTAGACAATGGTCGGCAGTGAGACACACTTTCCAGTAGAGTCCATTGTCACCGCCTCTCACTCGCTCCAGTAGTGCACCCGCCATCGCATGAGGCAAACAAGTAGTTCCTTGAGGGAGAGCACCTCCACTCGGGGGCCACCATCTGAAATAACCTGAGTCAAGTACCGCCGGGTCGCAGTCGGTGAAAACTGTTTCAAAGTGACAGAGAATTTGACATAAACACTTGTATAAATATCCCTGTATATGAAGATACCAATCAATAAGCATAACCAGCCGTATGGGACATACAGGGGTTTACAATATTATACTCCCCTGAGGTGTTTTGTTGTCGTTGTTGGGGGGGGGGGGCAGCTCTAATTTTTCACTTTTTGCAGAAGAGATTCATTGGTTTCATGAGATAGGATGGGGTATTTCTTTAGATGCTTGGGTTTGTGAGATACAAGTTCCGAGTTTTAGGTTTCTGAACAATCAAAGGCAAACCCGGGACCGTCAGAAGAGGATAAGCGTAATTAAAAAACCGCGAAAGCTCACGATCCCTAGATGGTTTTTCTCCCGATTATGTAGACCCCCATTTTTAAGGCCAGTCCTCACAAAGACTCAACTCGGATGAAAGGGAGGGAGAGATTAAATAACGGACCTCGTGAAGTACTTCGGGACATGAGGAGGAGCAATTGTTCTACCCCCTAAAATACCTTTACTAATAATAATGATAATAATAATTTAAAAAAATCATAGCCATGTGCTTTCTATTCTAGTTATTTGGATTCAATTGTTGTTGTAGTTGTTATTTAGTTGCTATATAATAACATTATATTCATAGATCTATGTTTAATATTTACTCCAGATAGAAGTACAATGAATTTAATTTAAAAATAATCATTTTAAGCTTTGAAAGTGTAATGATATTTCCTCGTTGCTATATAGGAATATACTCTTACGTTTTAATTTGCCGTCTTCAGAGAAACTTTTATTAAAGCACTCAGGAGAAACCTCATCGACAGTCGTTTCAGCAAATATAAAGTTAGATTCCACCTCGGTACAATCACACCAACCCTCACAGGCAATCCTGGAAGAAGGAAAAGAAAAGAAGAAAAAATATCCACAATGAAGGGCTGTGTATTATTTTTCGATGGGGAAGACAATTATGTGTAGTATGTTGAATAAAGTTTATCATTAGGGACTTTTAGATTTGCACGTCGACATAGTGGACTGCTACGTGTGAATTCTTTTAAAGGTACTGGCACATGTATTGAGTGTACTCGATGGGGAAGACAATTATGTGTAGCATGTTGTATAAAGTTTATCATTAGGGACTTTTAGATTTGCACGTCGACATAGTGGACTGCTACGTGTGACGTCCTTTTAAGGCACTGGCACATGTATTGAGTGTACTGTCGATGGATATGGTACTTACTAAAGAGTAGCCCTACAGAAGTATATCATACTTAAATGGGCAAGTCTAGGATATACATTCAGTATCCTAATAGTTACCAAGTATTGAGGAATTCTAAACATAAATTTACATGAAATATGTCATAATTAGTCTGATCCAGGCTTTTCGAGGACTGTAAAATAAACCCGTGATCAGAAACTGTACTGAAACTTTAGATGCGGTCGGTAACGTATGGGATGAAAGAAACTTGGACTTGTCCAAATAGTGATGTATATGACATGCTATCAAATTTGCCGACATGACTCATTCAAATTTTCAATAATCATAATTACATATACTGTATACGTACAATGGGCAAAGGTGCGTCGACACGATTTCTTGCCATTCCATGACGACACCGCTTATCGGAGTGCCTCCACCCGATGCCCCAAGTCCATAGTTTATCGTCGACAGAAGCTGAATCAACACCAAGATATAATAACTGATTTTCATCTTTACTTTCTTGAGTAGTTATCTTATTCACACACAATATTTAAGAGAAAATAATCCGACTCATTTGCGCTTTGATGTATCGTCAATCATCCTGTTGGGCAGTATTTTCCAGCAGTTAGTCTCTCTCTCTCTCTCTCTCTCTCTCTCTATTATGGTATCTGCTAGAACATACACTGCATATAGAACGAGGACACCCGAATGACGACGCATTGTTTAAAGAGAAGGTTGAGTTCTGGGAAAGAGGTAAAAAACAATTTGTGAGCGTTATCATTGTTATTATGCAAGTGTGGAGGAACATCAGATTAAATATGGTCCCTGAAAAGCATATCTCTTCAAATGCCTTCATATTCTAAATATGTCATGTAACATCGTACAAAAGATTTTTACGCCACGTGTTCGTGTAGTCCCATGTACATCTTTATGTGTACAGTTTTTGTAACTTTACCAAGACTTGGCCAAATTTCTTATCATTTTGATTTACATTCACCTAAAATGTAATGAAATTATAATAATATAGTTGTGAGAATTAAGGTATCAATGAGATCAGTTTTTCCCAATTGTTATCGTTAATAATATGCTTATCTGACCGTAATGAAATTCATATAACCCCTGAGCTTCCGGAGGCTCCGCCCCTTGACCCCAGCTGGGGCAAAGCCCCTGGACCCTACGCCAATTTTCGCTCCACTCGCTACGCTCTACCTGATCTTTAATACTCCACTTTGAAAAACGTTCCGCGGGGCATGCATGTAACATGTAAAAGTGGTGGTGATGAAGATTTTTCTTCTGCCCCCCCCCCCCAACGTTTTTGCTCATTACGCCACTGCCCCTGAAAGATGAGTCCCCTACCTGGAATGTCCCCCCCCCCCCCCATCCCAAATCCCAAAATGCTTCCGGCGCGCCTGCCCTGTTAATTACCCTCCTTCTTCCCTGAATTACCCTTATACATAAACAATTACATGTGGGAGATAATGGAATGAAAATGTAAGAAAATATGAGTGTAATACACACAAGGATATGATAAGTCGAGAAGGGTGGGGAAAAGCGAGTTCGAAAGGAGATAAGTTAGGCGCGGTAGATTGAGGTATAGATCGAGACAACTTATTTTGAACTAGGCCTTGGTAACATTGTAAAGATGAGAGAAATGGTGCAAATGTAGTAACTTCAATGATAGGTGTACAATTAAAAATAATCTGAAAGTTTGAGTTAAAACAGACTATTTAGATAATACTTATTTGTGACATTGGCAGGTCACTAATTGGCGTGGGGTACAGGGGGCTGAGCCCCATGAAGCTCATGTTTTGTTTTGGCATTTAATTATGGTCAGATGAGCATATTTAGATACCGCATTTGTGACACTGTCAGGGGGCGCCCTTGCCCCCCCCCTCCCCCCCCCCCCCCCACTTATGGCGTCTATGGCAGAGGGGGTATTGGACAGGCATTTAATCTGCCTTTTCTAAGACCACATTGTTATTTTGATTTTGGTGTAATTGCCAGATCTATAGCGATCATGGTAAATATAATTATACGAATCTGTGATAACATGCAAATGAATCAAGGATATCCTGTCCACAAGGTCCACCTTCCTGTAAACTCTGATGCATTGCACTAATATATACATTTTTCGGATTTGTTGGAAGTATTAAGTCATTTGTGATCAGTGCACTTTGCCTGTATGCCAATAAAATAATGACGAAACAATCCTGGCAATTTTTTCAAATAAAGTTGAGCTAGATCATACACATGTTGCTCAAATCAAAATTGTTGCCACCTATACAATTATTAAAGGTAAAGACCAGTATTGGAAACGACCCAATTTCAAAAAATGAAATGGAAGCTCTCATTACCAATCATGTGAAAGAATATGTTTTGACTAATACATGATGATACAAAATTTGCCGGGAAACCGCCTACTAATTCATATCTTTGGTAAATTTGTTTCTCTCATGGTCTGTGAGAGATATAGGGTAGTCCCATATACATCTTTCTGTGTATAGTGCTTGTAACTTTACGAAGAATGGGCCAAATTTCTTATCATTTTGATGATTCCAGAACCTTGCAGATGCTAGATGCTAGATGATCAACCTTTTCTGATCGATTCCACAACGTTTCTTTCACAATGCAATCGTATGACCATAACTGGTCTTTACCTTTAACGTCATCATCATCATCATCATCTTTATTTTAATCGTTGTCGTCATCATCTTAATTATCACCATCATCATCATTATTTCTAACCTCCTCCTCTTAATTATCACTTTCATTATCATCATCCTCATCATCATAATCATTATCATCTTTGTCATCATACTTATAATCATTACTATCTTTGTCATCATTCTGATCATCGTCATCCTCCTCCTCCTCATCATCATCTTTATCTTCATCCTCATCACCATTATCATCTTTATCATCATTCACATCATCGTCATCCTCCTCCTCATCATCATCACCATCATCATCACCATCTTTGTCTTTATTTTCATCACCATTATCATCTTTATCATCATTCTCATCATCATCATTCTCCTCCTCCTCATCATCATCATCTTTATCTTCATCATCATCATTACCATCTTTATCTTCATCCTCATCACCATTATCATCTTTATCATCATTCTCATCATCATCATTCTCCTCCTCCTCATCATCATCATCTTTATCTTCATCATCATCATTACAATCTTTATCATCATTCTGATCATCGTCATCCTTCTCCTTCTCCTCCTTCTCCTCCTCCTCATCATAACAATAATTATTATCATGGTCGTCGTCAACATCATCATCCTATCATTATCATCATCATTATCAACAAAATCATAGTCGTTACCAACCGCCATCGTTTTATTATCCTAATAATCTTACTTGATATTTTCACAGCAGAAAAAAGTAATTATACAGGACTACTTACATGTACATCGATACAGTGTGTATATTAAGTCCCCCAAATGTGTTGAATCAGAATATCATTACAACAAAATAAGCCACCTTTCAAATAATACAGCCTATCTCGCGATCAGTTAAAGCATTTTATTTTCAATTTCTAGCTAAACTATTTACTAGGTAGTGAATTCAATTGGATGACAGATTATTTCTTTAATTGCAAAAATAGAAAGTTCCATTAAATTTCCAATCGACTTAGCATATCATGGACAAAAATTATGAACACACAAGACCATAATATTCTAGTGGGATGTGAATACGAATTACTTTGTTTTAAACAAATTTGTGGTTTCATATTTCAAACAACAGTTAGAGACGGAGATTTGTGATCTTCCTTCCCTATTCAGAGTATCACGCGCGTTTAAAGTTTCCACACAAAATCATTTCCTTATTTACTAGAGAACAGCTTAAAGCCCCTCTAAAGTGTGTTTAGTTTAGATTCCACTCTAAACAGAATGAGTCATATTAAAGGCATCGTTTAACAATGTTAAATCTGAGATGCATGGCCCTACGTGTCATCAGTGTCTGTGATATGGTCTAATATTGAAGCCCTAAAAAATTGCGCTATAAAATGATGATGAAGTGCCTCAAAAAAAGTAAAAGTCTTTGAGTGACCGGTTTTACTATATTTATTTTCCCCAATAGACTGTAGTGTTATAAAGACCGTTAGGAAAACTCGAAATTTGATTTCGATTTCCAATCATCAATATCTTGATAATCAGACAGGCGATCGGCTTGTACAAGTCATGGGGTTCCTGACTGACCTAACTATTTATAATTGTTATTGCAGCATGAGCTAAATCCATGATTTCGTTTCAGAATTTGAGACAATGTTACCGAGTCACTTTAAGTATGACTCCCAAGTGCATTGTACTTCCACTCATTACATAGAGAGTGTACGATCTGACCTTCGACAGCATATTCACACGTGAATAAGTCGAATACATCATCACTGATTCTTATACTAGAGTATATGATGATGCTGGTCAAAATCTAATCTCACTTTATTTAAAGATGATCTCTTCTCATACCTCAATGTTGTCGAAGATATTCCAAGCACATAGAAGTGAATCAGCCAATACAATTTGATGAATTGAGTTATTGATTATAAACCGTCTTTTTCATGAATATATTTTTCTTTTCTTTTTTCCATTTATTTCATCCAAACATGAACAAAATTAAAAAGATAATCAATGTTCTTTCGCCATTACCGTCATCAGTTAATGATCATATGAAGAGAATAAAAGACTCATGCCGTACGAGAAACATTGCATGGAATCGCCCAGCAGTGCATACAACTAGAAAATGTGTATTTTATGAAATATTAGTGTAAAACAGACTAACTTCCTCAAAAGAGGATTGACTTCCATTTAATTACATTTTGAATCATATGGAAGAATGGTAAGATATGACTAACCTGACAAATGGTGTGAGCTACATGCATATTAGCTGAAAATGATAAAATCACTCACAGTGGAAATAACAGGAAATTATAGAAAAAACAGGGCACTTCGAAGGGATGTATAAGGGATGACTCTTTATCAACACTACATAAACAAAATTTACATTGCTAAACACAAACTTGAGACATAGGCCTACATTTCAACAAGGAAATAAATCAACGAACATATACAATACACAAATGAATATTTCCATTCTAAATGTCACACAAACCATGTTTCATTCCCTTTCTCATTTCCATTTTTGGAGTACTTCCGACAACCTTTGCCTCATAAAAGACATGTGAAATACAAGAAGATTTACAAGAAATGTGTATTGAATGATGCAGGAATGGGAATAGATATTGTTTGATGAAAAGGTTGAGTTCTGTTGAAGGTACTTGAACAAAAATATTTTAACTTTCTTGTTCTTCAATGTTTGTTTGGAAGAATATCATCGTAGAAATGTCCCCTTTGAGGGTTTGCTCATCAAATACCCTCATATATGAAACATGAGGGGATATGAGGGGGGAAATATGAACGTTTCTGACCAAACTTCCATGTCACATGTGTGTAGTCCCATAAACTTACACTTAGTGTGCACTGCAAGTGACTTTCAGCATGAGTGCGCGTTAATTTATTATCATGATAATTACAAAACCTAACATAATATATATTCTTATGTAATACGTAAATATCAACTTTTCCTAATTGCTTCCAGATTTCTCCCACAAAGTGATCACTTTGAT